TAAGAGATGGCAATCGAGCGGTGGCTGAGCATAATAACCATTTCCTCGTCCTGAATGGTTTAATACCTGTGAAAGTCTCATCAATCCCTTCCTTCTCTCCCTCCCTTCCTTCCTTCCTTCCCTCCTTCTCTCCCTCCTTCCCTTCCTTCCTTCTCTCCCTCCTTCCCTTCCTTCTCTCCCTCCCTCCCTTCCTTCTCTCCCTCCCTTCCTCCCTTACCTCCCTCCCTCCCTTCCTTCCCTTCTCTCCCTCCCACACAATCTCTCTCCCTTTCCACCCCCACAACCTCTCTCCCTCACCCCTCTTCGCCCTCCCACACAATCCCCCTTTCTATCCACCCCACACAACTTTCCTCCCTCATTTCCCTCCCACACAACCTCTCTCCCTCCCACGCAACCTCCCTCCCTCTCTCCTATCCCTCCCACACAACCTCCCTCCCTCCTATCCCTCCCACACAATCCCCCGCCCTTCCCTCCTACACAATCCCCCACCGCCTCCTTTCCCCTGGTCTTCCCATTCTCACTTCCTCCCTTCCCTCCCCTTCCCTTCTCCTCCTCCCGACTCCATGCAGTGTCCAGGTGTGTGGGCACTCAGGTGATTGTGGCGTGAGCAAGACCCATGATGAGCACACGCGGCTTTAGATACACCATCCTACATAAAGGTAGAGTTTGGTGGCGCCATCATCCACCACCACCAGTATAAACCTTTCCCACCTCCAACGCCTTCACCGCATCACTCACTACCTAATAACTGTAATTAAAAACAAAGTGATTCGTTTGGTTTTATAATAACAAGGGGGAATTATAGTAATTAAAAATGAAAAAGAGTTGTTAATTGCGTAATGACACCAGAGATGCCAACGACGGCGGCGGTAACGACTTAGAATCACGCTGACAGATGGCAGCACTGGCGGTGTAAACAAGCAATGCAGGCGGCGCGCGAGGTACTGATTAACTCTTAACGTCAACCAACCTCAGCCGTCTTGCCTTCCGAGTTCATTTTCCCAGCTCTTGATTTCCGTCATACCGCCAGGGTGATATTTAACCGTCTCAAAACAGCACTCAGTACCTACAGGAAGCACATCACAGATAACATGTTTCTACAACTGGCTACTGAGGAAAACATATAAAAAGAAACACACACACACACTTATGGCAGTCCATCCAAGTCGATGATAACGTTGCTCCAGATGAGATGATTGATGAGTTATGTGTTATTCCTCTGATGGAGTTCAATCCTGGAGGCGCAGATCTTGTTGCATAGGTGACGGGGATGTTGTTCATTGAGAGGAATTATGCCTTGAGCCCTCTGATGTCGTTGGGCTTGTTTAGTAGCTCTCTTTTGGTTCAGTGAGGTCTTAAGTGTTTCCGATCCTCTATGGCACTGAGCGCCATAAGGAACGGTCTGAGGCTAGTTGCTCCAGTGAGGATGATTGGAGCAAAGGGCCTGCGCAATGAGTGGATTTTGAGTGGGGATGATAGGACTGCTGAGCGGGGTCGCAGGAGTCTGCTGAGAACGCGGTTTATTGTGCTTCGCCTATTGCGTGACTCAAAACACAGTTTTTTCGTTAGGGGGTTGACTCCCGTAGTCTTGCACTTTACCAGTTAACCCACAAGACAGTGGGTTTAACATAATACAGAAAATAAATAAATTCCGCGGACTCGACTCACCATTTTCCCATTTTTATATCGTGTGGAGGGCAGACTACACAAGATTACGGCCAGTCTCTTCCTAACACTTTACAGAACGATTCTCTTCTACAGTGATTTGTATTGTATTTGGGGGAGGGGGAGACTTAGCTACTGATAATAATTATGTTAGTTTAGTTATATGTAAGTATTAACAGAGGATGTATGATCAGCCAACCATAGTTAGTCCCCATTATGATCAGCCAACCATAGTTAGTCTTCATATTATGATCAGCCAACCATAGTTAGTCCTCATTATGATCAGCCAACCATAGTTAGTCATATTATGATCAGCCAACCATAGTTAGTCCCCATTATGATCAGCCAACCATAGTTAGTCCCCATTATGATCAGCCAACCATAGTTAGTCCCCATTATGATCAGCCAACCATAGTTAGTCTCCATCATGATCAGCCAACCATAGTTAGTCCCCATTATGATCAGCCAACCATAGTTAGTCCCCATTATGATCAGCCAACCATAGTTAGTCCCCATTATGATCAGCCAACCATAGTTAGTCCCCATTATGATCAGCCAACCATAGTTAGTCCCCATTATGATCAGCCAACCAGAGTTAGTCCCCATTATGATCAGCCAACCAACGACAGTCGTCACATTATAACTAGCCAATAACACATCCTGTTCCCGTGATCCCATTTACTGATAAGAGTCGTTCACTTCATCACCTTTAATGAATTCTGAGAGACTTCACATTAACATAACCATCGGCTATCACCACCCACCGCCCCGCCCCAATCTGATGCACGAGATGTCCCCGCCAGGCGACCTCCACAACCTCCAGGAGGGTGTCCCCCCCCACCAGGCGACCTCCACAACCTCCAGAAGGGTGCGTATCCCAACCAGGCGGCTTCCACAACCTCCAGGAGGATGATTCCCCACCAGGCGACCTCCACAACCTCCAGGAGGGTGTCCCCCATCAGACGCCTTCCACAACCTCCAGAAGGGTGCGTATCCCAACCAGGCGGCCTCCACAACCTCCAGGAGGATGAGTCCCCACCAGGCAGCCTCCAGGAGGCGCAGCAAGATAACCCCTGAGGTGATGCAGCAAGCTATCAGTGACCATTGAAGCAACACGGGGTAACACATCACCGGAAAGGAAACATTAACCGTGGCCCTCATACTCATCACCTACTGTATACTACAGTCCAGTCTCTGTGTACCCTATTATATATATACTGTACAGACTGTACTGTATAAAGAAATGTTTGAGGAACCCAACAAGTTGTCGTGTACTATTAGCCAGCCACTATAGACAGCGTCCAGCTCGCCACCTCGGCGTAATAACCCAACACCATCATCTCCAACGATTCCTTCCTGGGATGAAAAGGCAGCAGCACAGCTAAAACTCTCAGGCAAATGTTTCACTCTTGCTGGCGTTAGTGCCGGAACAGCCGTGGACAGACGCTCGCAACTTCACGCCCAGTTTAGTAGGACGATTAGCATCGTAAGTGCGGTGCAGCAACACCCAAGCTGGCCATACTGCACACTTGATGTCTGGCCAAAACATTGTCTTAGAATGGGACTTTGGGGTTTTATGAGACTAAGCCAGAGTACAAACAGCACAAGTACTGTAATTTACAGTAAGCGTCAAGTACTTGCGTGAAAGGAAGTAGTTTAAAGTAGCGGGTAAGGCGAGTTGCTGCGACTATTAGTTTAGAGGAGAACCAGGGAGCTCTGACGTCAACAGCAGTCCACAACAACATGGCATTATTGGTCATCTTTACTAAGGCTACAGAAACTGACCCTTACAATATATTACAGGAACACACAGCGATGATACGTAAAATGAGAGGTAAACTACGCAGCCATTCTGTATCGAACCAGCAATGGGTGACGTATGTGCACTGGAGATAGTAAACTGAACTAAACACTGGAACTTCTAAAACATTTACACTATTATTGTTTACTAATTAAAACTGTGATGAGTTCAGTAAAAATAAAAATAAATAAAAATAGTATATATAAGAAACTATATTATAAACAGCGTAGCGACATGTAGAAATTATATTAAGTTGCCGAACCTGAAATAATACATTAAATTATACAGACAAAAGACCTCCGTAAACAATATGTCATGTCATTAATATGAATAATAATACTCTAAGAAAAAATTACTAAACGGATGGAAAATAAAATAAAGTAGAATATTTCTCACGTAATTATTAATCCCGTGACAGAAAGCAATGAGTCAAAGTTACTTGGTGAGGGTTGTCAGTCGTGAAGGATAACCTTGGGAGGCGTCCACGTAGACAGTATTAAACAACCACTATCGTACACCAGTTTTAACTATTATACTCTAAATATTCATCAAGACTAAAAAAGAAATATTTTATTGTAAGTAGAGATGAAGCTTTAATTATTACCGTATACAGTGCTTGAGACGAGTACAGTACAGTGTTTGGTACAGGTACAGTACAGTGTTTGGTACAGGTACAGTACAGTGTTTGGTACAGGTACAGTACAGTGTTTGATACAGGTACAGTACAGTGTTTGAGACAGGTACAGTACAGTGTTTGATACAGGTTCAATACAGGACCGTTCAAGGCAAGACCATAGCAGCTCTCTCTATCCTTGTGATGTCACCAGGACAGCTTCAGGGGTGGGTCTGTACTCACCCCTGAAGCTGCGAATTACACAACACATACACAACAAATTCCATATAATTACACAACAAATTTAAGGATGTTTCCCGGTCCCCGTTTCCTCCTGTACTAACACTAGACAGACCGCCCGAACGGCTAGGAAGCTGATAAGTGGCGAATATGATAAAGCAAATAAAAAAAATAACTCGGCGAAGCCCATCACGCAACGCATTGTTGAAGAATTCCTCCTTTACGCTCTATTACTTGGTTGTATAAGAAACTACAATAGGCGGACATACAGTATATTGTAATTTGTAGTATTACACTGTATTACTTTTAAAAGAACGTTTAGACATGTATTGCACCATGATTCACACCAGCTAGGAGTTATCGTACATCAGCACGATCAATAGTGTTCAAGAACGTTTCGTTGTTGCACCATAGTCTGCACACCAGTTAAGAGTTATCGTACACTAGCACCCTCAAGTTGTTTAGATGGCAATAACTAATGTTAAAAAATACACCACGAACAGAACCACCATCACATTTTAATTTTATTTTGCTTGGGCTATTAATTATCTAAACTTAATATATATCATTCTAGAATCATTAAATTAGTGCTTTGAGAAAAAAAATTATAATCGCAAATAAATTAATAGGTAAATACAATACTGTAACATTTTAGCGATTCCGCTGGTGGTATGTTTTAACATTGTTTGCTCTCACAGTCCCTAAGTTATCAGTATACCGCCCTTCCCTTCCTCTCCCTCCTAGACAGATCAACACACGTGTTGCGGAAGAGGTGGTATAGTGGTGCTCTGTGATAGTGTGTGTGTTTACGTGGACTTACTAAATAATAGAATTATAGATATCTGCACAAACTGATGAGTATTGTGTATTTGGAACAGTTAAGAACAAGCGCTTTACATACATGGTGAACACGAATTCTTGATAACAGTTCACAAGGCTAACAAGTGACCTAGAGATGTCTAACTATAATTGCAATACTGAATCACCTGAAGAGATTAACCATCCTTAACCCAACCTCCCCCTCATATAGTGTTAGGGTGGTTAATCTTTAAGTGAAATAAGCTGGGGTGGCGATTCTTCAGGTGGACCTATTTACGTCTGGGACAATTATTATTAAGAGTATCGTAATAAGAAATAATATTTTATATCAGCAGAGTGAATTAATGTTTTGGTTATGATTAAAACGATGACGTTGAACCTCTCCCTAACTCCCACAGCCTAGTACTATAACTCTCACAGCCTAGTACTCTAACTCACAGCCTAGTACTATAACTCCCACAGCCTAGTACTATAACTCTCACAGCCTAGTACTCTAACTCACAGCCTAGTACTATAACTCCCACAGCCTAGTACTATAACTCCCACAGCCTAGTACTAACTCACAGCCTAGTACTATAGTACTATACAGCCTAGTACTAACAGCCTAGTACTATAACTCCCACAGCCTAGTACTATAACTCTCACAGCCTAGTACTATAACTCCCACAGCCTAGTACTATAACTCCCACAGCCTAGTACTCTAACTCCCACAGCCTAGTACTATAACTCCCACAGCCTAGTACTCTAACTCCCACAGCCTAGTACTATAACTCTCACAGCCTAGTACTCTAACTCCCACAGCCTAGTACTCTAACTCACAGCCTAGTACTATAACTCCCACAGCCTAGTACTATAACTCCCACAGCCTAGTACTATAACTCCCACAGCCTAGTACTATAACTCTCACAGCCTAGTACTCTAACTCCCACAGCCTAGTACTCTAACTCCCACAGCCTAGTACTCGTTACTCATGCCCAAACATCCGGACTCCCCCCCAAATTAAATAAATAAACGGTAATATTATTTATTAATTATCCATGACGTTTATTCAGTAACAACTAATGATTCATATGGCATTCATGTGGATTAAGACCAACAAATACGTGAGTTAAACAGGTCTTGAACAGGTCTCAGAGCTCTTGTCGCTTGGAGCAGGAAATTCAAGGATTGTGGCTCACACGATACAACTTGTTTGTATGATAATGTATGAAAATAATTATACTCTTTGTTAGTTAAATAAGATGTTCTTTATTGTTCAACTATTTTTACCTGCATGCATAAGAGTGAATCTAAGTAACGTTTACCTTCAGTGCCTATCGTTCTATAACAGCCTAGCGTTATTTCTCGCAACTTATCGTTTTAGCTCAGCCTATCGTTCTTTCACAGCCTATTCTATTCACATCCTATCGATCTATCCCACAGCCCAACAATATTTTCCGCCTATCGAATATATATTTATAAAACCAAGGTTTCATCATCAACAAACACATGGACATTACACGTTCACTTCACATGTCCTGTTCATGCGGCGTCCAAGGGATGGATGATGCAGTGTCAAAATTTTACCACGACCAGAAACTTTTTCTTCTTCATGTCAGGAATCAACTTAAACGGTCCAAACTAAAAATAACCAAGTACTTTTTTAATTTAGTTCGTGCATAATGAAATTGATAATATTGTTAATACATGTGTGAAAAAGTAAATACTGTTAATTTTTTATGTTGTTTATGATAAGATTGACTCTTCTGCCGAGCTGCCGTTAATATAACCGAGCCTCAGTGCCTGGTCCACCAGCCCTTAGTGAAGTGGTGCGAGGGAGTCGTTCTGTGACGTTACTTACTGTAGCAAAGTATTGAGAGGAGTTATCTAGTTAATACTTGAAGAATATATATAGTACAACTGGAGCATAAACAGGTGAGTATTGTGTGTTTGTGACAGCCAGCATCAAGTGGTTGTTACATCATAAGGCAACAGTTGTGGTTGATGTAAACGAACGCTTGATAATAGTTCAATCACCTATTTATTATTACTATCAAGTTTTGTCATAACTGATCACCATAATTTTAATTTAAAAAAAGACTGTGCGGATGTTATTGTACTACCAGTGTTTCTCAAAGACTGTGCGGATGTTATTGTACTACCAGTGTTTCTCAAACTTTGTCACTTCATCCCCCCTCATGAGGAACACACAACATGGCCCCCCTTAGTTCTCTCCCAAGCCCCTCACAAATAATGATGAAAATAAACTGTTTTGGTTCTCTTCCTTTATTTTAATGTTTTCAATCATCAGAATGCATATTTTGTTACAGTTCAATGGGATGGATGACATTGTTTCCTTTCAGTCAGTCGACTGATTCGAGGTTGAGTCACTGATAAAGCACATCTCATGTCTGGGTCCACATGTAACTGGTTTCGGCTTTTATTCTCCATTTGAAGAAGGTGGAGAAACCAGATTCACACAATTAAGATGTAGAAAATGGCAAGAGGACTCGAAGTGCGACCTCACTAACTTTTGGATATGACTGATACATTGAGCACCAGATTACAGTCAGAGATTTTTCTTCATAGAGGTTTCTGGCAGCAGAATCGTTCTGAGATCAAGGAATTCGTCTGAACAGGAACTAGAATCGTGCAATCTGAGCGAATCCGTTGGAAGTGAAAAACTAGCTGCTGCACCATACTATGTAAATATCAAAACTGTACCGTATGGGTATTATGATTACACACAATGACAAAAAAAAAAGATTTCTCCCCTAACAAGGCAAAGTAAAAAAAAGTGAATCTGAGTTTCCACATTTTCTCCAAACATATACTCCTTACACTAGCCTGCCATGGCCCCCCCCCCCTAAAATCTTGCCGTGACCCCTTGTTTGAGAAACACTGTACTAGATGCAACTGCAGCTGTACACTGCTGGGCCCCTCCCCTTCCGGAGTCACGGGCTGTCAGACTGCTCCGTGCTGAAAATGTTCCGGGCATACGCAGCTCATCAAAGCCTAACCTAACTTGACTATATTTCCCATCTCACAAACTTAACGTAATCAAACTTAACATATCACCTCACTTAACCTAACTTGACTTAATTTCTCTTCACTGAACCTGCTAAATACCCAGAAAACTATCCGGTAAATGTTTACGAAACTGTTATCATTAGAAGTTGTTTGATGACTCTTTATTTTTGCTATATTTATGGTTTTGATGAATGTAAACCTTTACCAACTATCCTTTTGGGTTCCGTAACAAGAATAAAACTTTAGCCTTGAAACACCACAAAAACATTTTCCTTCAGAATTTTTTTCAGGAAGCCAGATATAATTTATTTAATCTAATATTTTTTGCAGTGTATATACTGTACAATACAGGCCGGCAGCCACATGCCAAAAATCGCACGGGATAAAGGTACCGTACAACAGCAGTATTGGCGGACTACGTTGTTAATGTTTAGGTTAGTTTAGTCAGGAAAAAAGACATCTTCGTGATTACCATTGTATAGTCCGTCTACCACGCGTGCGCATACAGTTGCCGTACTTATAACATGTGGTTATATTTTTATGTATACCAATGTTCACGAAGAGAAAGATTACTCCATATCATTGTTAATGTGTATGTGTGTGTGTGTGTGTGTGTGTGTGTGTGTGTGTGCGCGCGCTCTAAAACGTTTATGGCAGTGTACGGGGATACGGGTGTGTACGAGAATACGTGTGCGCGCGCGAGTGAATATTACTGGTATGTGTGCGAGTGCATACGTACGTGTGCACCAGTGAGTGAGAACGTACGTGGATATACACACGCTAGAACACAAAGGAGGAAGAGTTATGAGATCAAGAGTATTAAAAGAACAAATGTATGTAGAGTTGAGGGTGATGGAGGAGCAGCTGTGAGGGTGAGGGACGAGCAGCTGGGGTGAGGAGGAGCAGCTGTGGGGAGGAGGAGCAGCTGTGAGGGGAAGGAGGGTGAGAGGAGGAGGCAGCTGTGAGGGGAAGGAGGGCAGCTGAGGTGAGGAGGAGCAGCTGTGGGGGAAGGAGGGTGCTGTGAGGGTGAGGAGGAGCAGCTGTGAGGAGGGGGCAGCTGTGGGGTGAAGGAGGGGCAGCTGTGAGGGTGAAGGAGGGCAGCTGTGTGGGTGAGGGAGCAGCTGAGGGGTGAAGGAGGGGCAGCTGTGAGGAGGGGCAGCTGTGAGGGTGAAGGAGGGGCAGCTGAAGAAGGAGGAGCAGCTGTGAGGGAAGGAGGGCAGCTGTGAGGGGAAGGAGGGGCAGCTGTGAGGTGAGGGAGGAGCAATGTGAGGGTGAAGGAGCAGCTGTGAGGGTGAAGGAGGGCAGCTGTGAGGGGTGAAGGAGGGGCAGCTGTGAGGTGGAGGAGCAGCTGTGAGGGTGAGGGCAGCTGTGGGAGGAGGAGCAGCTGTGAGGGCAGAGGAGCAGCTGTGAGGGCAGAAAGAGGGCAGCTGTGAGGAGAAAGAGGGGCAGCTGTGAGGGCAGAAAGAGAAGCAGCTGTGAGGGGAAAGAGGGCAGCTGTGAGGGGCGAAAGAGGAGCAGCTTGAGAAGTGAGAAGTGAAAGAGGGCTGTGAGAAGAAGAAGCTGTGAGGAGAAGAGGGGCAGCTGTGAGGAAAGAGGAGGAGGAGTGAAAGAGGGGCAGCTGTGAGGAGTGAAAGAGGGGCAGCTGTGAGGAGTGAAAGAGGGGCAGCTGTGAGGAGTGAAAGAGGGGCAGCTGTGAGGAGTGAAAGAGGGGCAGCTGTGAGGAGTGAAAGAGTGTCAGCTGTGAGAGTGAGGGAGGGTCAGCTGTGAGGATAGAGCAGCTGGTTGTGTGCGGGAGACAGATCAGACCGGGTACAGTACTTGTTGACTTCCACGTATGACTGAGAGTGTGGGTCTGCCTCATACTTCAATATCTCTTGCTTGATCATCACCTATACAGTTTAACTAATATAAAATAATTATTTCCAAAACAGACGAAGACGTGTTCATCCTCCACCCATACCGAGAGGTGATCAGCCGCTTACTAACAGCACAACCACCGCTCACGACCCACTGATGATGGTGAGGACAATTACGTATTATGTTTGTATGTTGGTATGATGATGCCGTGTGTGTGTTATTAACCTAACACAAGATACAACTTTTACAGGATTGTGGTAAGCCTGAGGAGTGTAAAGTCTGCCTTAATAATTTCGATGAGATTGATCGGCGGCCTCGTATCCTGCCCTGCGGCCACACCTTCTGCTCGCCATGCCTGGCCGACATGATAAAGAACGCTCTGTTTCTTTGCCCCAGCTGTCGTGCTGACCACAGTGCCTTGGCTACTACTGACGTTACCGAACTCCCCATAAACTTTACATCAGAAGCTTTCCTTAAGAAACTTAAAGAAATACAATCCAAGCAACCAAAGGCACCAAAAAAACTTGACCAGGACAAACCCAGAAGCTTCAGCAAGAAGTTACGGACATTGGTGCAGGAGCAGAAGAGCAACCTCACCGACCTCATCACTAATTCTGATCATCAACTGTCCCAGCTGACAGTGTACCGTAAGCATCTGAGTCATATGAAGAATGAACACCAACAACTCCAAGACGATTTGTTTATCATAGTGGGGCAAAATAGGAAGGCAATGGAACTAATAGAGCAGGAGGATTCCAGTGCTGAGGACATACAGACAGAAGGAGAGGAAGGTAAGCAACAGCTTGAGACCATGCTGGGGTGCCTGGACACAGTCAGCTCGGCACAGGAGGTCGTCACATCTATCGACGACTCTGATCGATATAGTGTGGAGACGGAAGACTGGATCCAGAAGTGTAGGGAACTCTTCCCAGACATCAACGCCATCCACACCTCTGTGACGGTATGTGGCTGCTCCGGGTTACTGCCTTGTACATTATTAGTTAACACCAACATAGCGATTACGTGATAAAACAAACTAGTAAACACTTGTGTATTCACTATTATTACAAATATACTCATGTCAGTGGATTTGAGGGGTCCTAGTTTGTTGTTAGTGTGCGGTGGCTGTAATAATTAATACATAGTATGTGTGGTATTGTACTTCCTCCAACAAGACAATTTATATCTCAATTTATTACAAGGAATCACCTTGTTGACTGCCTTCCATCAAATAGTATAATGTGATCACTTCATACTGTACCTGGTACAGTACAGTACTTCACGCACATTAGCCTATTCTGGAGACGTAGAACTTGAATATTATACTGTATCAGAGACTCGTTAATATATGCTGAAAATAATCGGCTCCATACTCTCGATAGCGACTAAAACACTTGCATACAATCCAAGACTCAAAAACAAAATTCTTTTCCACTAAACCTGAGCACGTCGGTCATGCTAATATGTGTACGAATGTTTTAAAGAAAATTCGTCCCGAAAATGATTGACTTCATGACAATTATAAACACTGCTGCCCACTCGGGAGTCTCAGCCCTGATGCTTGTTTTGGTTAACAACAGGTGAAGGCGACCATCAAGAAAGCCATTAAGGTGTTCACCACTGAGATGGGTGCTATAGCTGCCCCTGACCCCGCCCTCGAGGGAGCCACTGCCTCCCCTACCACCCTCATGGAGAGAGTTGAGCGACTTACAGGAAGAGTTTCCTTGTGCGGCTTAAACGTAAGCTAACATCTTAAGTTTGTTGTTGTCGGTACAGATATAAAGTATGTCTTGTTAACTTTAACTAAAGGTTCAGGGCATCAGATCAACAGGAAATAAGAAGTGGAGGATTTATTACTTAGTGATTAAAATTATGAGAAGTACTCCTCTATCACCTTCCCCAGACATGTAAGAAATTGAGACAATAACTTAAACAGTTCTGTAATTAAGTGATGTAACAGTTGTGTTGGGACACTGTCCACAGGTGATAATGGTCATGTTATTTTCCACAGGTTGACAATCTCCGCAACATGAGTGGAGCCGTCAAGAGTCTGGTAGAGAGTGGCCGGGTGTTTGCTGTCCATCAGGACCAAGACAACCTCCGCTCTGCCAAGATAACTTTAAAAGATGGACAGCTGTACTTGCACACACTCCTCAGTCAGCCCACACCCACGAATGCTCACACGATCCAGGTAGGTTAATTATTCTCGTCACTGTCACTGCCATCTTTAGATTGAAGGGTTAGCCACCACGACCTACTGTACTATTACAGGTTTTTTTACTAATCATTCTAGATCTTTTGTTAATATTAACTAAGTTCATTCTTACAGCTCAGTTTCAGTCTTCCTTAACAACCCTCTCTCAGTTTAGCCAAATGTTATGTATCATTATATCCTCATCCCTAATTATATGTCATATAATCTCAATTGTTCTGGTCAGTCTCGGTTCTACATTTGTTTTTCAATCAGTATGATTTAACTGTACCATTCTTGCATGCACAGTACTGTATACTACTGTATATATACAGTATATATCTATACAGTTCGAGAGCATCTGAAAAACATAGATACAAAAGTGCCATTCCTCCACATGATTTGTTTTATTCCTGAAATAAAGAATAAGTTTTCTTCTATAAATATTATTTGTTAGGTATCTAACTAACCCCGACTCTTGTCCTGAACATTTACCCTTATTTTGTCCCATTTGTCTTAGAAATTCTGCTGTAATATGACAAACCCCACAACCACAAGCCACATCATACTGCATCATGTTTACAACTGCTTCAATTGGTTTCCCAAATTTGTAGCTTGATCTTTGTCTCCAATTTGCTTAACTCCTATTATCATTGTACAGTTTTATGTACTGTACTGTATGTACTCTACTCTGCCCCATTTTTCTCGCCCTCAATTTAAAAAAAAAATTTTAGTGCTCACTCCGTTTATATCATCTTTTCTAATTTAATATTTTCATCCATTCTGTACATTTCCATTTTTAAACATTATAGCACCTCATGTGTTCCATCCCCTCATACTTTTTTATCAATACAATTGGCTTTAGTCAATGTTAATTTCAATTTCTTAATAAAGTTCTTTATAAGCCTTACTTCCTCGATTTTTCTTCACCTGTATTCTTTCAATTTCATTTGTGATAAAATTAGTTTTCCTGTACCTTAACCTCATGACAACTAATTATTTTTCCTGTCATATCAATAATGAAATTTACTATTTATTTGTAAAAAAAGAAAAGAAAAAGAGTTCATATCTCAAGGCCATTGATTTTGCTTGTACAGCACAGTGACATAATGGACGCCCTGGACCCCTCCTCCACCCTGGCGTTTCTTGACCTCGCATGGGAGGGATTGGCCAAAGGGAGGGTCCTCGTCCGGCTGAGCCCCGACACCCCACTGGCAAGACAGTTTGTGTTGTTGTGTACGGGCCAGCGGGGCCACACCTATGCCAACACAAAGTTACTGGAGGTAACGAACAAAGGTAAGACAGGTGAATGTGTGCATGGAGGTGACTATGAAAAGAATGATGGGGAGGGAGGAGCCCCACTGCTGCCTGTTATGAAAGGTAAATACCAGGAGTCAGCCAATGAGGGGGCTCTATTTTCGTGGCTTGATCCTGTTAATCCCAAAAGTGCACAGTTTACCATCAGCACTAAAGCCCACAACACTCCGCGAATCAACGTCTACGGTAAGGTGGAGAGCGGGCTGGAAGTGGTGAGTGCAGCAGTCAGCCACAGTGACATAAAAGCTGTGACTGTAGTGGACTGTGGTGTTGTGTTGGAGCTGTAGTTGACTGTACTACCATCCCTGTGTTGCTACCACTACCTGTACCACCATCCCTGTGTTGCTACCACTACCACCATCCCTGTGCTACCACTACCTGTACCACCATCCCTGTTGCTACCACTACCTGTACCACCATCCCTGTGCTACCACTACCTGTACCACCATCCCTGTGCTACCACCACCTGTGTGTCTATCACCTCTTGTCACCATTACCTCTCAGGCTTGCCTATCACCATCACTTCTCTCATCACCATCACCTCTCATTACAATTTACCATCATATTTTTTGTTATCACCTCAGTGTCACAAATATCTGCCACTGACTGGTAGCCTAAGTTGCTAATGTTACTATCACCCTCAAGTCCTAAGTCACTAATGTCACCACCATTAATCCATCACTTTCACTCTTTGAGTCACAATTAGGCCTACCTGCAAGTTACTCAAGCAGCATTATAGTCAATCAACCAACATCATGTCACTATTACAGTTCAATCACAGTCTCTCCTTTTTGCTATCACGGGGTCACAATCACCATTCCTTTGTCATTATCCTCTTATGCTAAACAGGGACTTGAGGTAGTAGGCAGCTACCAAACAGGGAGGTACTACCGCCTGGGAAGATATTGGAAATATTATGTATTGTCTAATGATAGACCCTGCTGCCATATGGCATCACGAAAATTGTGACCAAATCCCAGGTTGCTGATCTGTCTTTCTGCTTCAATTACACACAATTGCAGGGTCTCAATTGTTTCTCTTACTTTGACAATACAACATACATATATTGTTTCTCACTACGGATTATTTTTTTATTCATGATTCTTTATTATTATTATTCCAGTGTTATTATTATTACTGTTATCATTATTTTTTAATTTTGTAATTTTATTATAAATTGTATTTACTCTTGAGTTATTATTATTATTATTAATACAGTTTCGGCCCCCAGGCCCCGATGTGGGTCAGTGACCTGTGCCCGGGTGGGTTAAATCCCCGTAAAAAAAACCGGTAATTTTAAGATATCAATACAGTTCAAGTACTCAATGTATTGCACAAGTCAGAAGAGTGGACAGCAGAAGGCACAGGGAGTCTTTAAAATGTGGTGTTCTGAGATAATAATAAATAAAACTAAAATTGATGACAGAAAAAATTCAACACTGAGTATAAAACAATAATGCTGTACTACGAGACATTTTAGTCATATGATTAAGGACGAGGGAATAATTGTAGAACTAATTATTTATACCTTACAGGCAAATGTGTAAAACTGAGGATTAACAATAAGGGAATAATTAGCAGACGCCCAAAAATGTTCAGGGTAGAGAGAGCCATTGTCGCCAACCTTTTGATTGGCTGAACTAAGGAGTACAGCTTTATCAATTAAAACGTAAAAAAAATCTCTCTCAATTGTTATCGTGTAGCAAATTTGTTTATGCATTTTATAACAACTAATACTACTATACTTTGTAATATTTCGTTATTATGTGTTAGTATTTACGGTATTTTATTTGGTAACATAGCTAGTATCTGTAGACTGTGGTAAACTTATGTACAGGACAACCAAAAGGGTGTTCCTTTGATTAGATGTCAATATGTACAGTACTGTACTATAGTAAGTCATGTATGGTAATCGAAGTATATTATCTTACACAAGTATGAAAAATTACATCATATGACAATTGTAATATTTTTATTATTAATGTAACTATTATAATTATTGGTAATAAAATGTAAATTTAATTATTACTTTGACTAATTTTGGCCCTTGTGTCACCAGCGTTGGTGAGGTGTGAAGCTGTGTGTTTTATTAGCATAAGTTTTGCACCTGTTTGTACAGTAATTTCATTAATGTTTAAATATTTAAATCTCCATGATGATCTGTACGTCAAAAATACGAAATTTTCCTAAAATTTTGCCAAGAAATGTGAGCTGGTAAATAATACAGGAAAAACTATATATAGCCTGGGCTACCAACAACAGATGGTAACTGAGAAGACGTGCCATAACCAAATGCCCTAAAGCAGAACTTTTCCCTAGTGGCCTGGCAGTATTAGTCGTGCGTTAGCTCCCTGGCAGGAAGGACACGAGTGTTATGGAGGACCATTATAAACCACAGAGAATAGTGGATCGCGTCATAAACACTTGGGCACGGCGGGAGACGAGCCACCAAACTGCCGCCAGCTTCCGTCGTCACCCGAGCCCTGCTGGCCCCACTGCCAGGCGTCGCCCACCCACTTGCACTCCTCCATTTACTGCACAACTTATCGTACTCCTCTGGGCGACACTGCCAAGCTCTTCCAAGATTTAAACTGTCATGGGGAAGCTGGCGTGTAGTCCCTGCAGTAGAGTAACTTTTTTTTTTTTTTTTACGTTTGGGGACTACTTTACATTGGCGTATTTTGGGTTATGACAAAGATGTTGGTGTACAGAAGTTATTATTTTTGTTTTGTTTTCGGTGTCCAGCACAGGACCTCCAGGGTGATGATCACCTCTGACTGACTGATGGAATTATTGTACTGCACAGTAGTTATAAACACTATGTTAAGATGGTGAATGCTAATGTTCTATAATTTCCTTAACGAGCATGTGCATTACACAAAACAATACAACAATTTACTTGTTTACCATCAGTCGCTGGTCTCGTTGGCTGACGAACAAAAAAATAAAAAACTATGATCCCACAGTATATATTGTATAGCGGCCATGAATATAGCTTAAAACGGTATTTATGTATATACTTTCTAGAAGTGAACATTAGCTTAATTCTAAACGGACTGAAATAACAGCCGGGTCAAACAGCAACGCTGCCGTCCGCTAAAATCAACCGGTACTGCAACATTATATCTATTATTTATGTGCAATACCTAGACATGGTAATGGATGAGTCAACTTACCTCACACTCATTTAAAAATCAATTATATTCACATGAAGTCAGACCCCGTAAACTGCCTAAATCATAAAACACGTTATTAAAGTACAGTACTAGGTGTCCAGCTTCAAATATGTGCTTGTAAACGTTTGAAACAATACAGTACTCTATATGAAACGTTTTGAAAGGATGGTTGAGAATTCACCTAAAGTTTAAACGCCCTAACGCTCACCTAACCTCATCTTACCAAATAGTGTTAGGGTGGTTAATCCTTTGGTGAAATAAGAAGGGAAGAGCTTCTTCAGGTGACCCAGTTTAAGATAATAACAATACTATATGTGAACCTTTCTCCAGTATTATCAGACATGTGTGTAATACCAGTAATAATGGAAACACTGCGATTTCAGACGAAATAAGCTGTGTGTGGTTTAATCGAGGTGAAATAAGCTAGGGTGTCTAATCTTGATGTGAAATAAGCTAGGGTGTCTAATCTCGATGTGAAATAAGCTAGGGTGTCTAATCTTAAGGTGAAATAAGCTGGGGTATCTAAACTTCAGGTGACCCGAAATTTGGCACCTGACAGTACTTCCTGGTGTTGTCATGGTATACACACAGAGAGGGTGACTAGTAACGGTAACACCAGTTCACCTGTACTGTCAGTCAACCGAGGGTTAGGGACCGAAGGTGTGTGCATGTGTAGCAGGACACTACTACTTCGCCTAATAGTTGTCATCCTGCCCTGTCCTCTAACCATGGTACAGTATTAAGACAATCTCCTACAACACTCCTCGCTTCACAACCTGTGTGATAATACCTAAATTTGCCTCGACTATATATATTCTAAGTTTATTATGTCCGTTCACCTTATAAGAAGAATTACACGCATATAAATAATAAAGGGATAAAAATGAAGATACTTCCTCGGAGTTAAATATGGAGTCAACGACACGACGACCCTACATTTGGTAACACTGAGCCATAATAGATTCCAGTAACTTACAGACCGCAGAGGATCCAATTCCGCTTCATTGGGGTTGGGTGTCACTATATCACGTCGGATTTATGAGAATATGATGCTTTCTCCGCGCGGCTGAAGGCACTTGGAGCAGCGTTTCTTGGACTTATAGTTTGCTTATTGGCGACCTCTAGGGTTATAAAGAAGGCACTTCTCAGTCGGTGCTAAACGCAGGACCTCCGAAATGACGGGCAAGGATGAAATTCTCCTGTTGAGGGCCTGGGAGGTGTATCGGAGGAATGAGTCGTCACGAGTCGCCATGAGTCACCAAATCTTGATATCAAAGAAGAGATGACTACTTCAAACTGCATCGCCCATACTATTGTCTCTCACAAACAAACAATGGTCCTCCAAAAACAAGGGCTCTTAATACAAAGTCCTTCACAAACAAGGGCTCTTAATACCAAGTCCTTCACAAACAAGGGCTCTTAATACCAAGTCCTTCACAAACAAGGGCTCTTAATACAAAGTCCTTCACAAACAAGGGCTCTTAATACAAAGTCCTTCACAAACAAGGGCTCTTAATACAAAGTCCTTCACAAACAAGGGCTCTTAATACAAAGACCTTCACAAACAAGGGCTCTTAATACAAAGTCCTTCACAAACAAGGGCTCTTAATACAAAGACCTCAAACAAGGGCTCTTAATACAAAGTCCTTCACAAACAAAGGCTCTTAATACAAAGTCCTTCACAAACAAGGGCTCTTAATACAAAGTCCTTCACAAACAAGGGCTCTTAATACAAAGTCCTTCACAAACAAGGGCTCTTAATACAAAGTCCTTCACAAACAAGGGCTCTTAATACAAAGTCCTTCACAAACAAGGGCTCTTAATACAAAGACCTTCACAAACAAGGGCTCTTAATACAAAGTCCTTCACAAACAAGGGCTCTTAATACAAAGTCCTTCACAAACAAGGGCTCTTAATACAAAGTCCTTCACAAACAAGGGCTCTTAATACAAACAAACAGTCCTTTACAAACAAGGGCTCTTAATACAAAGTCCTTCACAAACAAGGGCTCTTAATACAAACAAACAGTCCTTTACAAACAAGGGCTCTTCATACAAACAAACAGTCCTTCACAAACAAACCATCACCTCACCAATAAACGTTATAGTTTAGTCTCTCACCGTTCACCCCACGAGCGACAGTCAAGTTCTTTTCCTTGGCCGGAGACGTTAACCTGACCTCTCCATTACCGTTTTTGTGCCTCAACCTACTCTAACCTATTTCAATAAACAGGATGTCCGCCCATCGTCACACTACTACAGGGAGAGCGTGTGTGTGTGTGTAGAATGGCCTCTCATAATTGATTGGACATTCATCCTTACCTTTATCTCTCCCTGACCTATGTATCCCAGGCATTAGTAAGACGTATCCCAGGCATCAGTAAGATGTATCCCACACACCAGTAAGACGTATCCCAGGCACCAGTAAGACGTATCCCAGGCATCAGTAAGATGTATCCCAGGCACCAGTAAGAAGCAACCCAGACACCAAACCCAACTCTGTAATCGAAGACAAGTTTGGAAATATTGGGTAATGTCAGATGACCATTGGACGGGAGTGACATCTGTCGGAAATTCCATTCATTAAAGACAGCATTAACTTCACTCATTTTCAGTTCTTTATATTTTTCACCGACACACCTTATAGAATGCCTTATAACCTCACGGCATAAAACTGCGATAAGATAGCACGACGGCCGTATCTTTCATCAGTACCCGTTATCAGAATCCTATCAACATTAGCTTCCCATTCCCTACCCTTTTATGGCCGGGTCCATTGTGTCAAATTTCCAGTTTTCTCTGACGGCTCGGACCAAGGTTGTAATAATACCGAGACTTTTTTCTTATACAAAATTATTCAAATATATAAGAGATAATATTTGTACAAGATGCTCGACTAAATGATATCAACTCATGAAGAGGACTCGCGTATCTACTTAACACTTGGAAAGTTTACTTAATCATCAGTGACTAGAAATCCAAGAGTTATTTCTGAAATTCCCCGAGAAAAATATTATCTCAGAAGAGTCAAAAGATCTCCGTCGTTGATGCCTCTTCCCCGCCATTTACCTTTATTCAGTTTGCCTTCCGATCGATGACTATAAAAGTTTACTCAGTTTTAATATAAATATAAAAGGTTTAAGTATATTATATGTATTTTTAAGAACACCTACCGTAGAATACATTTATCGAAGACATCCTGAGAATGAATATAACATGACTGGCTATCACGAGGTAAAAAACAGTCATATGAAAGCTATCGGTGTCATGTTTTCTCCGCCAGGGTCGTGAAGGTTACAAAGAGGAGAACGACACCCGTCTGCTCCTGAGGTGACTCAATCAATTTTGGGCGCGTTTGATAACCAGTGATGCTGGAATAGCCATGAGAGGCTTGACTCAGCCAAAAGACCAAGTGAAACGTGAGGGAGTTTTCCATCTCTATACCAAGTGTTTATGTGAGCGCGTCCTTGAGTCATCTTCCACTCCCGGGGGACTTTCACGAAGGTCGTCTCTTTACTTCATTTTTGAGCTACGAAAATACATTCCTTCTTCACATTTAGCATACACTCGCTCACCATTCCCTCCCTGTGTGGGTAAAAGAGGACAGTGAATCTACACCACTGAAAGAAAATCAGCGGAAAACAAAATGCCCTTCACCCTGTACAAAAATAAACGTCTTCCAGTGTGTGGTGGTCGGCCGTGCCTGGCATCACTGCGGTGGTCAGCCGTGCCTGGCAACACTACGCGGTGGTCAGCCGTGCCTGGCAACACTACGCGGTGGTCAGCCGTGCCTGGCAACACTACGCGGTGGTCAGCCGTGCCTGGCAACACTACGCGGTGGTCAGCCGTGCCTGGCAACACTACGCGGTGGTCAGCAGCCAGCCGTGCCTGGCAACACTACGCGGTGGTCAGCCAGCCGTGCCTGGCAACACTACGCGGTGGTCAGCCGTGCCTGGCAACACTACGCGGTGGTCAGCCGTGCCTGGCAACACTACGCGGTGGTCAGCCGTGCCTGGCAACACTACGCGGTGGTCAGCCGTGCCTGGCAACCCTGTGCTGTGGTCAGCAGTGCTTGGCAACCCTGTGCTGTGCTCAGCCGTGCCTTAGGCAACATTGTGCAGTGGTCGGCCGTGCCTGGCACCCGTGCAGTGGTCAGCCGTGCCTGGCAACACCGCACGGTGGTTGGTCGTGCCTGGCGCAACACTGTATGGTGGTCAGCCGTGCCTGGCACACCGCACGGTGGTTGGCCGTGCCTGGCGCAACACCGTACGGTGGTTGGCCGTGCCTGGCGCAACACCGTACGGTGGTTGGCCGTGCCTGGCGCAACACCGTATGGTGGTTCGCCGTGCCTGGCAACACTGCGGTGGTCATACTTCTGTCTGACAACTCGCAATTTTTCCTCTTATTGGAAAGCTGCACGTGACGTCACAGATTTGCTAACGGTTTGTTATTGACAGCAAACTGAACCTTCAACGGAGGCCTTCCGTAACTGCCAGTGTCTGCCAAATACTTTCAAACATTTGGCGTCTTGAAAATACTTTAGACCGACGGACATCTCTCACCGAACTGCCACACGTAAACGACGAAAACTATCGATTCTGGAACAACTTATGTTTGTCTATTGTTAATGAATACTGCCCATTTATAGTGAACTCATACGGTACACCATAAAATTATTGACCAAAACTCCAGCGAATTGGTGCAGGGAGAACCAAAGTTAAAATAATTCCAAAATTAACCACACTCTCAAACAAATAAAATTAATTTAGTTTTACTTTAAATACGAAAAGAAATAAAAAAATATAAATCATGGACGGTGATAAAATATTAACCAAAGACTAAACTAACGAGTTTTCCGATATATTAAAAACTGAAAACCCTACTGAACTTAACCAGATCTAACCTAACCATACCTGATTTAACTTGAAAAGATCATAAACTAACCTAACAAGACCCTACCTAACCTAACAAGACCCTACCTAACCTAACAAAACCCTACCTAACCTAACAAGACCCTACTTCACCCAACAAGACCCTACCTAACCTAACAAGACCCTACCTAACCTATCAAAACCCTACCTAACGTAACAAAAACCCTACCTAACCTAACAAGACCCTACCTAACCTAACAAGACCCACCTAACCCAAGACCCTACCTAACCTAACAAAACCCTACCTAACGTAACAAAACCCTACCTAACGTAACAAAAACCCTACCTAACCTAACAAGACCCACCTAACCTAACAAGACCATACCTAACCTTACAGACAAACAAAACTAGCAACACCTACCTAACCTAAACAGACAGGGCCTAATTCAACCAAAACCTTCAATATCATTCCTTAATTTCAGCATACACATTTTTACATCGGCCACAAGTCGCAATTCTTCTTAGAGCGCCATGATTAAGACGTCTAGTGGCATTATAACCGAGTATTATCACTATTTGAGTCGTATACTAACTTTATAATACCTGGGAATAATTTTATCAGTCTCGCTCTTGTCAATGAAAGACAACAGCAGAATGGCGAGAAAGGGAGCTCTTAATACTCATCGCTGATTGGTTGAATTAGCCAGACAGTCAAGAAGCGCATCAGGGGTCAGGGAGTCTAGATTTTGGGGAAATATGAATCTACGTAAATATCACTAAAATATTATTTGTATGTTCCAAGTATATTTTCCTGTGTGATTTTATTCCCTGGTTTTTTTCTACACGATTAAGAACACAAGAATGGAGGAAACTGCAGTGGGCCTAGTGGCCCATACTGGGCAGTTCCGTTTATACCCAATCCCAACCCTTATCGCTCATACATTCATCCAACCGATGTTTGAAGCTATCCAGCGTATTCGAGTTAATGATGATATTTGGTAACTTGTTCCACTGCTCTATTTCCAAACCAATGTTTACCTATTTCGCGCCTAAATCTAAATGTCTAATTTAAAACCATTGTTACGAGTTCGCTCCTGGTTGGATAGTTTGAGTACCATTGTAATGTCCCATTTGTTTAGTTCTGACTTCCATTTATACACCTCTATCATATCGCCCCTCACTCTACGTCTCTCGAAGGAGTGCAAATTAAGATGCTTTAACCAGTCTCTGTACTCAAGGTTCCTAATGCCCGGGATTAGTCTTGTCATTCTCCTCCGAATTCTTTCCAAGGATTCTATATCCATTCTGTAATACGGTGACCAGAATTGAACTGCGTAATCCAAGTGAGGTCTCACAAACGCGATATAGTTTTAGGATGACCTCGCTAGTCTTGTAACTAACACCTCTTTGTATGAATCCAAGTACTTTATTAACCTTGTTTCGAGAAAATACACATTTTTTACTTGGCTTAAGATTCCTTTAAATCTTAAACCAGTACAAAGGGAGGGTTTTATAACACAATCATGTAGTGTGACAATTTCAAAGCTTAGCCGACGAGACATAACACTTATAATACTCAAATTTCACACGTAGCTAAATATATTTTACTAGTCACTGTATACTCACGGGTTTCATCTCCCTCATCCTCGTCGTCGTCTCCTCCACAAAACGACTAAATCCTTGGCCTCATCATCTTCCTTTACACTAATCTAGTTCATCCCTCGTCACTTTCATCTCCCATATTTCTTGGTAGTGAAGTAAGAGAAAGAATGAGACGAGGTGTGCTGTTGACCTGCCGTGTACACACCCGGCCCTGCAGTGCCAGAGTTTTACGCGCCACAGCGCTATTGCTTGTCAGGTCGCTTACAAATAGCGGTTAAGGCTGGGCAAACAAGAGCGCTTATTAAATTGTAACTCGAAATAATTATGTACCTATTGAATAGATACTCAAAAGTATATCATAATCATTCTGAAATTATACAAAGAATGAGTTGTTGTCTGGCCATTTTGCTATTAGTATTATTTAATACGTGAAGCAAAATTATTTGGTAACATTCCGTGTTGAGAACTGACAGATCAAAATAACAAGTAATTTAGGTTTTATTCTTGTTGACATATTATAAAAAAAACATATAGTGTATATTTTACATACTGTCAAGCTCGTATCCCACCATATGGCGATGTTAGCGAAACTTGGCTTAGTGTTACAATAGATGACGCTAAATATAGGAGTAATAATTTGGGTGGTTTGGGCTTTATATTTCGTAATTAATACATAGGAGAAAATTAAAAAAGTTAATCAATCTGAGGTTTTTTTTAAGCACACAATTTAATCTCAGCTATGTGACTAATAGCTGAATAAATTATATCACTCATTACTATTCATTGTTCAACCTCTGCCTGATCTCTAATGTTCGTATACTGAATACATTCTTAATTAAAACCATATAATGATATTTTTGTTACTTATCAGTAAAAAGTAACATGAATATATAGTGTGTGAGTAAGCTTTTCATTATGTCTTCAGTAATATATGGCTGAAACGTGACGTCAGGTCTTGTACAATGGCGGCTACCTGGTAAGAGACGCTACACTCATCTTGTCTTTCTGTCACAAGCAGCTCCCAGAATCTCTGTAATAAAAATGTGTTGAAGTAATACTCGGGGAGCAAGTTCAGAAGGCAATGTTGATAAATGTTTACAGATATTAACGATGTCGTCAGCTTTTGTTGAATCAAAAGCGCACATCAAAAGAGAATAATTATTTAATTTAGAATCTTAAAATAACTTCAAGATAACTTAAGGTTGTGTAAAAGTTGAATTGTTTCATTCAATAAAGCAATATATGGAAAAAAATAATAATTATTAGGTCCGTCAACTGACCAGTGCCATCTTACTACACTCCCACAATCGTTCTCTGTTCACAAGCACCCCCTCGCCTTCCAGGGTCTCCTTCACCACGCCCAGCCTCTCTGCTGCCGCCCACATGTACGCCCACACTGTCCGCTCGTTAGGTTCATCGCCTGTAGGTGTTTAATATAGGAAATATAATCTTTCGATGACCCCAGTACTTTCAACTGCTGACTATTTTAGTTTCATTTTCATTCCTTCATAATACTGTATTCACAGTTCCACAAACATGCGTGATATCACTTAAAGACAAATTTTACTTCATATATTTAACTTCTTATGGTAATTCCCTTCTTATGTGATGCCAACAAGAGTCATAACATGAAGTGAGATAAAAACTGAAGCAATGGCGTAGTGAACAGATGACGTCATGGTGAATATGAGGAAGTTTCAAGCAGGTAGAGAGTACAGGTAGTGTCGACACCAGGCTTTTTTACATTGCCTGTGACATTTGTGTGTGTGTGTGTGTGTGTGTGTGCGTGTAGTAGTGTGTGTACATCGTCTTCCTTTTACCAATATTACCATTTCTGTAACTCGACGAGGACTTCTCTTTGCCAAGATACAGCTCCTTCGCCAGCGCCTCCCACAGGTGTTGTAGCTCCGTGGAGTGAACAATCCAGTGCAACAGGCGGCGCCACTGAAGGAGGGAGGGAGAGAGAGATATAGTTGTTTTACCCACCTCATGCCTACTGTTATCTGTGGTCACTCTAATAAAAATAAAACCAACCACATCATTTTTCTCATAACGTGTTCGAATTTATTATTATTTTATACAGTACTTAGACTGCCATATATTTGTCAAGATTTTTACTGATAAACGTTTCCCAAGTTATGTTAGGTCAGGTTGTGTTAGACTACTTAATTCTATGGCGAAATAAGCCGGGGGGCTAATCTTCAGGTGATCCAAGACAAGGTGACATACAGTACACCAGCTACAGTATTTAACGTACTATATCTACTTACAGTACCTTAAAGATACATCCAGTACAGTACTGTTGACTGACCTCCAGCATCAGCCCGTCCGAGAGGTGAGTGAAGCCCAGGAGGCGGTGTAGGACCTGCCTGAAGGGGTGAGGGCCAGGTCCCTCGCCACACATCCCTGGGTGAGACACTGCCTGGTGGATAAGATAACGCTCTCGTCACCAACACTATATTAAAATCACTTGAAGGTTCCCCCCCCCCCGAGTATTCCACCTTAAGATTAACCATCCTAACGCTAACCTAACCTAACCCCACCAAATGGAGGGATAGGTTAGGTTACCGTTAGGGTGTTTACTCGTTAGGAAATAAGCTAGGAGGGTTAATCTTCAGGAGATCTATACACTAAAGTACACTCTCACTTAAATATATTCTATACACTTTAATCCTGATAATTTTGCCTGTAAATGTATTATGTCTGTACTATTTGCTATAATTTCTTTACAATACTAACAGTTGTGACACCTTTCAAACATTGTTTTTAATTATACAAACATGAAGTGTAGTAGTGATAACAGAACCACGATAACAACACTCACGATACACCCATGGTCTACCTTGGATACACCTACCCTTTGAGTACCGAGTTTCAATTCATTTTATAATCAAAATAATTGAAGGAAAAAATCAAGAGCAACGAGAAATCATGCCAAAACCTTTCTAATTCCATTTATGAAAGCCACAATGTAATGCTCCTTTAAGTCAACAGAGTTCAGTGACTTGAGGTAAACAAGGAACTGTAACTACAGTATAAAGGTACAGTACCCGCGTGAGGACGGAGGCGGCGGCGGTGAGCAAGGTAGTCGTCCTCTCACTGTCAAGGCTCCAGGTGATGGCCAGGCCAGCCGGGGTCTCCTCTCCGCACACCTTCATCAACACCCTCTCGAACTGTTCACCTCTAAACTCGTTCCCTTCCTTTACTGATACACGATAACAGTGGAAAGTTAAGTTTTATCGTAACTAAAGGAAAAGGAGAGAGAGGAAAACTATACATATCAATCCTTTCTAATTACAACAGACAATGTGAAGTGCATAAAACTAGACACACAGTAGGTACAGTACAGAAGGTAAACAATAGGTTCTATCGTCTCATTTGATCACCAAGAGCCAGCAGCATGTCTTACCTTGTAGGACATACTCATCGTCACTGAGGGTAAGAGAGGCAGTGAGGACAGCACCCAGTGTGGGCCACTTCATCTGCACTATAAATTTCCTGAAGTCGCGGAAGTCGAAGACCAGGTGGGTGGAGGGCAAGGGCGCCGCCTGGTGCACACACGAGAGGACAATAATAATTCACAAACATAATGACAGGCATTTCAAACACTGACAATGACACCCGGATAGTTTCTGGGCAGCCTGATGACAATCTCATATTTATTACTGGATACAAATAGCGAGACCTCCTGAGGCACACTCGCTTCTTAAACTCTTTTATAATCTGTTGGCTGTTGCACTAAAGGCACCAGTTACTGTTTTATATAACGGTGCGGTAAGATAAAGGCACCAGTATGTCCCTGGCGAGAAGTGTTTATGAGCGTCTCCAGGGGTAGGTGCGAGTCATACCTCTAAGAGACGTTTACAGAAAAGAAAGTAAATACTTGGAGTAATAATACCTGTTCTCCTCTGTATATATCTAGTGCCTACCTGATCGAGGGAGAAAGCGAAGATCTTCTGGTACCACTGGAGAGGCGAGGCACCAAATTCCCCCTTCACCACCATGTTTCCCCACGACCACTGACTCACTACGTACTCCCATCCAGAGAAATCCCGTGAAAAGTTGAAGATTTCTGTAAGTTAACCAGAGATGAGGACGTATTGTTATTCACATTCCTATACTGGTGAACTTAGAAATTCACAGCTCTAAGTTTACAATAACACGATGCAACGATTCACAGATATTTTGAACGATAATGGAGGGAGAGAGGAACAGACCCCTCTATTTTGGGGAGACGGTGGACAGTACAGTACAATATATTAGTTTGTCCTCCCAACACACACCTACAGATCTACGTCCTAGACAATAATACAGTACTAACACCTCATCACATCCCCGCTATACTTACGGTTGAGTTTCCACCCGAGCTGCGGACAGAATGGCGGGAGAGCATCTTGGTGAATTCTTACTATATATCCTCCCGAAGGTGTCTCTGTAGAGGGTGGAAAAGTATTTAACATACAAAACGGTAATAAATCTGGTAGAGAGGGAGATTAAGGGAGGAATATAAGATAAAAAAGACAGGAAATGCAAAATAAATATCAATTATTTCAATATTTCTAAAAAATCGTATTAAAAATTATTTATAAAAACAGAGGTCTTTCCTGGCTTCCATCTCACTTTGTAGTTGTACATTAAAATCATAATAATCTATCAATTATTATTTATGGTAAACGTGGGGTTTATAATATCCAACTGACAACACGGTATTATTTCTTGAAATGGGGCATCCACACTGTGCTTCATAATTCTGCTTGATAACCGTATTTAAAAAACTCCCCTACTATGGTTGAGGAACTAAATGGCTAAAAATCAATACAGGAAACAAAATTAATCTTTCTTTTGACTCCAATAGGCTGCAACACTGGTAGTAATGTTTCTCCTTGACCTGGTACTTGTGACCTACCTGGCCGCCTAATTCGTGGTATGTACTGAACGAATATTCAACCTAATTTCACGAGATATTCAACGAATTAAATAAAAAATACACCTGTAGTAACCCCAGAACGTAAATTAATGTAAAACTTTAAGTAGCCACTACATACCGAGGTAGTGTTTGTATAATAACTAAATCGATACATTATCACCAGCGGGATGAAAGAAAGCCAAAAAAATAACGAGCATCACTATGAAAGTCTTTATCGGAATCTAAACTGCTTGGCTTTTGAAAACATGAATACAAATTCTCACCATGGACGGTCATGTTGGTCTTCATGTTGAGAACGTCGCTCGTGATCACTTGTCTGAGATCCTGTATTTGCCTCTCTGGCTCTGGCTTCGCCGAGCTCTCCCTGACTCGCGAGGCTTCTGTATGTAGTTGTGATAGTGTGTCTGGAGAACCTTGCCCTGAGTGGTCATCTGGTAAATACTTTTCGCCTATATTCTTACTAGCCTTGTGTTCTTCCTCCTGCCGTCCACTGGAGGCCTGGAGGGTAGTCACATCCCAGCTGAACAACTTGAAGGACGCCCCTGTTGCCAAGTTCCTCACTTCAGCTGTGATGTCCATTCTCTGGTGGCTCTCCTCCCTCCTCGTGGTCACCTCTCCTTCCAGCACCAGGCGGAGAGGGGTGATGTGAGCGACCACCTGCCGCCACCCCCTGCCCAGATAGTATACAAAATCAGGGTCTGGAACTCGGGATATAAACACATAGGTGCGTAACAGCCACCTCCATAATAATACCTGGGCTGTGAGAGAAGTTTATTATAGGTAGATTGCGTATTCTATCTCAAGACAGACTAGAGAGTGACGTATACCTGTGAGGAAGAGAAGGAATGTTGGAGGTGATGGTGAGGTTCAGTAGGTGGTGTTCCTCCCCATTCCCGCCCGCCTGGATGCTCAGTGTGGCGCCGCTCACCCATGTGTTGTTCTTCTCCCCCCAGTGTCGCCGAGCCAACACCTCCAAGCCACCCCCACCCTCCTCTGACGCCCCGAATAGTAAAACAAAAATATATACTAATACTGTACTGTACTGTGTGAATTCGTTAAAAGTGGAATTTGAATAAAATTACAAAATCAATAACAGGAATAAATAATATGAATCAGATAGAATTAATCTTTACAATATTAAGCACTTAATTTAGGTAGGTTGCTCTACACTTCACAATTTCTTCGATATCGTAATATGGAACTAATTATTCATAAGATATAATAGTTGCCCCCGGGCTTTTCCATACAGAGCCGTTGTCTTGACAGTTTGAGATCATCAGGGCCTCCGGATCTTGTTAGGATTAAAGAACCCTTGTTTATTTCACCTTATCGCTACTTGGGGGAGGAGGTGTGGTTTAGTTTAAGTTAGGTTGTCAGATTAGTTAGGTTATGCCTTGTTGGAATATGTTTGTATGCTCGGTTTAATTAAGTTAGATTAAATTAGTTTGGTTACGCAAGGTTAAGTTAGCATTTGGGATTTTAATCATAATGTGAAATAAGCGAGGGTTCCTAAACTCCAGGACAACCGCAACCTCCTACCATCACGTGCAGCTGTCCAGAGGAAGTGTCAGTCACTTTCCTCACTTTCCCATCGTGTGGACGATGTACAGTACCTGGGCAGGTGTGTGGTGGTGATGTGTGGTCACCAACAGATGGGTGTCCTCCCTCCACACACAACCTCCACCACTGGCTGCCACCGTCACTGCCACTACCGTCACTGCGATCACCGTCACTGCCATCACCGTCACTACCACTACCGACACTGCCACTACCATCACTACCACTACCATCACTGCCACTACCATCACTGCCACTACCATCACTGCCACTACCGCCACTGCCATCCACTTCGCCCTGGACCCCTGTAGTTAGGGTGACACGCCCCTCAGGGAAGGACAACACACCCTGAGGATGCAGTAATTATACCTGTGTTAGTTTGAACAGCCAGGTAAGGAGAGAAGATGCAGGTGGCATGAAGTGTGAATTGTGTTGTACTGTGTTGCGTGTTGTTGTACTGTGTTGTTTTTGGAGAGAATGACACTATAGCAACACTCACCTGGTTTACACCGCCCCACGCCAGAGAGAAGCTGCCTGACCCGTGCCCGGTGTTGAGGACAAGATGTAGGCGTGGTTGAGGGCGAGGATGGTGGTGGTGGGGTAAGGACCACACCCTCGTCAGTTCCGCTTGCAGCGCCTCCCCCAGATATGTGAGGTTCACCTGGATGACACAAGAGGCCACCACCGTCTGTAACACCAGGAAGACAAATAGATTATTAAGTGTACTTTAAGACAACAATCTACGAAATATGTTTTTGCGGCTTTGTAATGCTTAATAATATTATTGTATTTCATACTTATATTTTGTTTTATAAATATTACCTACAAATAGTAAGTTTGGCTAAATTTTAAAATGAAGAGAAAACGAAGATTGTTTATTAATTATAAGATAAAATACAACAAGATGGCCGCCAGAATCCACTGCTCCCCGTCAACAGAAGAGAGAAAAACGGGCCATAACTTCCCCGAGATATGAAAAAAAATCCTGATCGTCGAACACGTTGGAGGTTTTGTTGCATCACATCTACAAAAGTTTCCTTGAAATCCATAACTATTTATTCCGGTTGTCGTGTTTGTGAGATAAACGAGTGACGGGGTTATTTTCAAATACTACAGTACCCCGCCGCTCGTCTTCACAACAACGGGAACAAAATATAGATACCCGGTAAATTAGGATAAATAATTAAACACATAAAGCAGGAAATATTAATAAACTGAGCTATTACTATCATAAATACAAATAATTTTCAGTAATGGCAACAACCGTTAATAACAAATAATTAGAGCTGTGGGCAGGGCCGGATTCAGGAGTGGGCAAAGTGGGCAGCTGCCCAGGGGCCTCCACAATCTGGGGGCCTCCACATATTACATGACCTTGGACTTAAAGAAGCCTATATATGCATTCCTGGACTGAACCATTATTTAAGTAGAGGTTTATCTGATTAATAATGCAAAGAATAATCTCTCTGTAATAACTAATAATATATTCTTTTCTGTGAAGTCTCTTGAAAATTTTTGACATGTGCGGTAGTAGCTATATCAGGACTGGTCGACTTGAAACCACATGAATAACTCCAGTCATGTCTCACTTTTGTGTATGTGTGTGTGTGTTGGGAATTAATACACTATCAATAAATATATAGTTAATTAAAAATTTCTCAATGTTCTAATTTCCTCAATATAACTGCATATGGCTTCAAAATTCTCCAAAGAAGTGTTCAACTTTCAAAATTTTCCCGGGGGGCTTACAGCGCCCCCCGGAACTCCCAGATGTTTAGGCTCGCTTCACTCGCCATCCCACCCTCTTGGGTAGTTGTAATGAGGGGGGCCTCCACAAAGAGGCTGCCCATGGGCCTCCACAGGTCTAAATCCGGCACTGGCTGTGGGCATGCAAGAAAAACGTCCCGAGGCTCAAGGTGTCCTATTATATAGGCTGACCTGCAGTGTGAGGGCGATGGTGGCGGGTGTGCTCGATGAGGGACACTCACCAGGGATCCTGTAAGGTGAAGCTCACGTGAGTGTATAGGCAGATGGAACGACAAGTAGACACGCCCACATCACAAAACACACAACAGACAACAAACACACTGGAGCAGACACACGCACACAGTAGAATAGACAGACACAACAACACAGCATAACATAACACAACACAGCACATCACACACCTTAACAGTAATTGAGTCACGTGATCCACTTCAACTCCAAGTTTCTTTTCTCGGCAGAAAGGTGTGTGGGCGTCGACTCCGCCCTGTGTGCGACAAGATGTGCTATGGACGTGGGCTACTGACGTGTGGGTCTGGAAACCATGTTGTGGGCAGGACGCAGCATGGGTGTAGGCATAGAACCGTGGGTCGCCTGAGTGGTGTGTGTAGGATGATGTGGGGGTGACTATTGCCCACACCATCATCACTTTCCAAGAAAAATGAATCACATGCTAAAGAAAATGAGTCAGAAGAAAATGACAAATATCATCATAACATATCAAGGAAATGAATCACACGCCAAATGCTGTTGTAATGAATGGTAGGAAGACTGATGGGTTATCCTCAGTAGTGGAGTCAGTTTACTGCACAACCAAGACAAGGATCAGTATACTGTACAACCAAGACAAGGATCTATATTTTAATCCATAAGTCAGCGATCCTCAACTGATTCATAATTTGATTCACAAAGTGTCAGCGATCCTAACCAAACCTTGTCTAACTTAACCTCCTAGCCTAACCAAACCTAATCTAACTTAACCAAACCTTGTCTAACTTAACTCCCTAACCTAACCAAACTTCCAAAACCTAACCAAACTTCCAAAACCTAACCAAACTTCCAAAACCTAACCAAACCTTGTCTAACTTAACCTAACAACCAAACCAAATCTAGCTTAATATCCAAGCCTAACCAAACTTAATCTAACTTAACCAAACCTTATCTAACTTAACCTAACCTAACCAAACCGAATCTAATTTAACTTCCTAACCTAACCAAACTTTATATAACTTAGCCTAACCTAACCAAACCTAATCGTCGAAGTGGGATGGTGAAAATCTTTAAAATAAAAAACTCGATCGTCCAGAGGTGATGACACGATGAGGAAGACACAGTAGCAACCCCCCCCCCCCCGAAGACACCTCACCTGCATGTTAATGACACTTGCCACCTGGTGATCAAGGTTTATGGTCTTATCCACTACTACCGTACTACCATTACCTTTACTCTTAACTATTACCTCCCTTCATCACTACCACTACTCCACCAGCACCGTTACCTTCCCTCAACGCCACATATTATTGTATAAAAACATTGACAGCTTAACACTTGTCCCAGTACACACACATCTGTGTTAGTGCGGGTTCCAGTCTACGTGAGTGAGAGGAACCCTCGAGCCAGCTCCTGACTGGCCATGACGCCTCTGGCATACGTGAGTTGCTGGTGGGCGTCATGCCAAGCTTTGCTGCGCGGCGTAATGCTGCTACCACCACTGGTGCCCTGCTTTACTGCAACTATCTTCTTAACATCAATTTTAATCACATTTTAGGTAATATAAAAATATCTCATTGTGTAGACTCAACGTTATAATATAAACATGTACTTGATTACCTAACAGTGAAAGAACTTGCATTTTTCAGTCAAATATGATTTTCTCCTTTCAGGAATTACTGGATTATAACTCTTCCGTTTCATTCACAGCATCACACCACATTTAACGATCACCTAGTCCACAGAGAGCTTTTTTTTCTTCAATATAACACTACAGAGTAAGAAACACGAAAAACTGTCCTTACACAATACTCGACACATCCTCCGCCACAGTTCACACCAAACAAATCCAACACTGTTCTCAAGATGTCCCCGGGAGGCCCTGGTGTGAGGTGCGTCCTGGGCAACGTGTAGGAAAGGACTCCTCCGCACGGACACCCTCTCCTAACCCCCTTCCCTGGTCTACCCATAAGGACAAGAACAAAACAATTGTAGATAAGATCTGGGGTCTTCTCCAGCACCAGGTTTCCACACTCTCAAGGAGCTACTGATTCGCTGCCCGATAATGGGAGTTGTCTCCACATCACCCCTCGCGACATGAACCTAGGGGCCTCGCTTTCTCCTCTCTTATATAAAACACTTATAGTTTATGAAGATATAGGGTAAAACTTGACTTGTTGCCACTATACGAAATCGAAACTGAAACTATGTTTTTCCGATGGTTTTTGATGTGTTATGAACGAATTTGACCTTCATTTCTGGTGCAAAATAAGTTTCTGAGATAAGCCCCCCATCAATCTCAGAATCTAGAGATTTTCTATAAAAATCAACGTGTTCAAAACACATCGCATCGGAAAAACAAAACCCTAACCAACCTAACCTAATTTAACCAAACTGGGAAGCTCTTCAGTCGTTCGATTTTTGCGTGTCCCACTACGTCGTTCGATGTTCTGGGTGTGTACAGCCACATACAAGCATATATAATAAAATGTTAAATATCTCGCTTATACGTAATTTGCGCCAGAAATACAATTGAAGAAAAGTGTTGGAATTATCAAAACTATAAAATTTCCTAGATGGTACAGTGGCAACAAGTGAAATAATACCAGATATCGATATAGATATGAAAAAAGGTAGTTTTCATTCATGTCACAGTAAAATGACACCCCTTCAAAAGAAGCTCTGTATAATATTTTGTTGCTTCTTTGAAATATATGCAAATTATTCTAGTGTTTTTGGGTACGTTTAATTTGACACAGTCGGCTACGTTGTGTTATAATACTACTATTTTTGTTGTAGCTGAAATAATATAGGCTCACCTTTTAAACATGGCAGTTGTAATGTTGGTATTGTTTCATTTTTAATCCTTACAGGTCTTCTTATTACTGGTAGTCCAAGCAATTTATATTTGAAGTTCTCCTCAAACGCATTGGCCTCAAAATGAAAGCTGCAAACGAGTATTTGAACATTTTCAGCATTTATAAAGCTTTTCCTCTTGCACAAGTGAATCCATCTTCATCTTGGTTCTGAGCTAGTGCTCCGCCATGCCTGCTATTGTTGGTGACCACACTGTGCTGTTTACTTTACTGACGGCGATGTCGTCTGCAGTAAACGTTATCCCCCATGGATTTTTTTTTTTACGTGGATTAGCCCACCCGGGCACAGGTCACTTGTAACTGTCTGTATTTCTGTTTATACTTTCAATGTATTTTAAATAGCTGCATTGCTATTTAAGTACAGTAGATTGAACAGTAATTTTATTATAAAAACTGTGGAGTACAGTACTGTAAATCATTGACATCGAAATAAAAATTTTCTTCCAATAATGTAGAAAAGCGTTACTTTTTAGCATTAGATATGTAACATTACTTTTATTTCCCTATGTTTGCTGCAGCTGATGGGTTAAAAACAAACATCCTATTGTATGACGTTTGGGATTGTTTCTGTCACCATTGTTCTTGGGCGATACAGCCGTGTGCCTCGAAGGCTAACACCCGGTGGATCAGTTGAAGTGTACCTACTCTCACTCCTTGGTAGTGGGATCAGGCTTCATGCATTCGAGGAAAAATTTATCAAATATTTTTCATGACCCTGAACCTAATTTTGGATCACCTGAAGAATCTCTACCTCAATTTATTTCACCTAAAGATTAACCACCCAACACTATTTGATGAAATCTGGTTAGGTTAGTTTAGGATTGGTAAAGTCAGGTTAAACATTAGTGGGAAACATTTATATATGTAACATCATTAATTTTTTATCAGACTATTGTATTCAGAATTCAGCCTCACCTTCAGCTGACCACAAGGATCCTCTTTCTTCTTGTTATTGCACACGCCAAGCAGTTTAATTACCTGTGTTACCTCAGGTACCACTTATCAAATGAACCAAGAAGTTTTGGCCAGGCTGGGGGGCATCATTCTCTCCTCTAGGACAAATGAAAGGTGACTGGAATTGAGAAAGTTTGTATGTACATAATAAAACAGAACCCAGAGGCTTCTGTCTAGCTCAATATGTTTGTTTGATTCTATTAAGAGAACATCAATGCAGTTATTTTCTTATATAACTCATTCCTTAATAAAGATTTAAATTTACTGGTCCATAAAACTCAATCTAAAATTAGTAATCAGAGACCGAGATACAACTTTGCTTATTGTTAGGTGGGAGTGTGTGATGAGGACAGAATGAATAGTGATACACAGCACAGTAAGTCACATGTATTGAACCACCCCCACATACATGCACCCGACGTGACTCGACCAAACACGACTTTCCTTTAATATGACCCAGTTGCAAGGTTGGAGTAAAAAACGTATAGATAGTAGTGTCTGTAACTGTTATTCCAATGGGGAAGAAATTCATTCTTACTCATTCCTTTTCTTTGTTCTTTTAACAAAATAAATATTCATTTCTACTTGAGTTATTATGATTTTGGCAGTTGGTTTCCATAGTCTAATAAGCACAGAATCCTTTTGATCATCATTTACTTATTTGCAAACAATTTAAATTTCTTGGGGTCACATGGTAAATAAAAGTTATTATTACCCTGTAATATCTGCATATTTTAATAACCCAAGATCAAATTTAGAACATACAGAACAGTATACTTTATAGCAGCTTCAACACAGGATATTTGCAATTTTTAATAACAAAAAAAGACAGTGGCTCTGCAAGTGCTTGAGACTGCCTCCATAACACTGAAAATTCTCGACAGTAATCAAGCTATTAGTTAAGCCCTTAAATGCTAGTTGTAGGGACAACAGCCAACTCAATGGATGTAGTATTTCTTGTTCCTTGTGTTCCAGTTTTTGTGGCTCTTCACCCAGGAATACATTTTAGAAAGGATAAAATGAACCATCTTTCCTTCTCACTCAGTGATGCTTCCATATAATTTCAAGATCCATCAATTGTGGGCAATAAAATAAGTAGTTACAAGAAGATTTATTTTATGTATCAGCCAGCTTCTTTTGATGTTTCCAACTTGCAATTTAAAAAAAAAGGTCTAGTTTATGCAGCACAAATGAATTAGAGACTTCCCGAGTTTACAAATAACGTACAGGTACAAGAAAAATCCATGGACATTCTGTTGTAATCATCACTGCATGTCTCTGAACAGGAAAAACACTTAACCTTTATCTTAAAAAATGGCATAAAATTATGTTACAGCTCAAAGAGTTCCTCAACAGTTCCTTTGTAAAGAAATATATAACAATTCTACACTGAGAATGTTTTACATTTCCTCATCTTCATCAGAGGAGTCCTCCTCCAAAGCAGCCTTTGCATATCGCTCTGCTTCTTTGTAAAGTGTTTCAGGAACATACTGGTGACGACCTCCAGATTCTTCACACACCCAGGAGAGCTCCATCTCAAAGTGTCTGTCCTTCACTTCATCATGAACAAGGTATATGCTGAAATGCAAAGCAAATACTGAACAAATGAAATATAAACTACTATGTTTAAACTCTATTGATCAATAACATTACAGTACCTTGTACTGGGTTACTGTAGCCAGTAAATGAGGGTTTGTCTACAGCAGTATGCATAAATCCTACAGCAATGGAATGGATACAGTATTATATTTACATTAAGAGGATTATTAAACAGTAATAAAAATATATTTTCCTGAGCCATCCAAACTTTTAAGAATATTTATAATCTATAATATTTAAAACAAAGCACTTGGTATATACTCACCTGTACAGTACTTCCATTTTAAATAGAGTACAGCAATTGACCAAACAGAATCATTTGGGTCACAGAAGTCCCTAAATTTATTCTTTAGCCTGAGAGGATTATTTAAATGTGTTGAGGGTTACCAGAGGGTGGCCAAGGCTCCCACCATTGACTACCACGGTAACAAGAGGCACCTGACAGAGTTTCTAGTCATAAAATTTCATAATTACTCACATTTTTGCAGCTTCTTTGACAAGTTCCCGGCACGTAACATCTTTTAACTTCAGTTTCTCAATTTCAGTTTTGGCATTCTGCTTTGCTTTGCCCACAGCACAACCAAAGTAACCCTGAGAATAAAAAGTTGAAATTTACTACAATTTGTTCTATCTATTGTAATGTATCCCCCCCCCCCTCCCCTTTACATCATATTCACAACTGTAGGCCAACCACATCGATTTTTTTTTTGCTATGACATCATAACCTGGAAATTTAAGGAAAATAGGAGTACAGTACATATAAATATCTGGTTTTGTCGAATTGCATAAATAATTAATCTTCAAATGGCAGGTAAGGATCCTAATCTGCCCCCACATGTGCAAAAACTGGAACCCTAGGAACAAGAAACAAACTGATGTTAGCTGCTGTTTAAGAGGTAAAGAACTGAGAAAATTACAAGAAAGGGCTTTTCCTTTCAGTGTGAAACCTCATTTATATGTTCCTACACATAGAATTTCCTGTAGCTACCCTGTGTTCATTTGATACTCTTTCCATCGCCAACATTTTATGGCCATTTTACACACTTGCATAAGTTAGCTGTGATTACCTGATGGCAGCTTTTGGTTAAAACCAGAATGGGATGTTCCTGCTCACTACCACAAACTCACAAAATGCAGCAGAGACCAGGGGATGGGCACAGTTCTGGGGACCCAGTTGCCATCAGGCATGCAGACAAGTTTTATGCCTGGATGCCCTTTCTATTGCCAACCAACAGGTTGCGACAGCTGGTAGGACAGGGTTGCAACCCCCTGACGTGAAAAAAACTTTTCTGTCAGTGAAAGTTCAACTGAGGAAATCTGACTAAACTGCATACAAAACACTAAGGAATTCCTTAATCAGCCTGTAGCTCTGAGGTGGTACATTATAGCAAGAGTGAAGCAATAATTTAAACTAAGCAAAGTCTCCTCCTCTTCCTTGCTAGGTTATGCATACTCAACTCTGTAAAAAAAGACTTTAAACTAGAGAAGTGAAAAACTCTTGGAATATGTCATTTCCATATAAATATAAACAAACTTACATTACACATGCCAGATGGGTCAATGATATACAGATGGGGTCCATCTTGGTCAAAGGCTCCAATCATGACAGAACAGCCATATGGTCGCACCGCAGAGTACAAAGTATATGCATGGAGGTAGGTACTTACACGCTCTGCCAGGAGCTGTTGATATAAACAAACAAATATTTATAGAAATCACATTTTAGGATTGAGATGTACAGATATGATGCACAATTTACAGTTTGATAATCCCCAGGACAATGCCAGTTATTGCCACGCTTTGGTTACAAAGGTGGAGTGCTACCAAACATGCTATCTTTCTAACTACATCTGGATCCAAATATCATAAAAGAAAAGGCAATCACCCAATTGTAATGAGTATACAGGTACTCCTCAACTTACGACCTCCTCGACTTACGACTGCCGCAGTCGTACAAAATTTTTTTCAAATTACTGACAAAATTTTCGTTTGTAATTCCCTTTAAAACGGCTGGCAAGTGTAAAAGCGAGAGTTCTCGTGGTGCTGAGAAGAAAAAGAGACCCATTTTAGATTTTCTATGTATTATTTTCGCATTTTCGACTTACAACCTGGTCATCGGTCCCTAACCCCGTCGTAAGTCGGGGACTAACTGTATTATTTTATGTATAATACTTTGGAACTACAATGAAATGCTTAAAATATTGGGTCTCACATGCAAGCCACTGCACAGTCTTTTGTTTGTCTTTCTGTTGAATATCAACTGAATGAGTTTGAAATTCTTATACAATATAGCAGGATAAGCACTGGAGACGGCCAAGACACGAGATGTAGGAGTCTGAGCTGTACAGAAACATTTAAAGCCAATGACCAACTTCTGTACCAGTCTTCAGTTTGAGATTCGAAAGGTCTTTCTAAAAAGAAATACCCAGTACTGTACAGTATTTAGACAAATCTCCAATTACCTTTTAATAATGGACTAAAGCAAAAGCTTTTTCTTAAGGATCTTATGAATAACATTTGAAAAAAGTTAAGCAAAAGTATTTGGAATAACTTCAACTCTATTTGACTTTTGTTTCCAAGTACAGTGGGGTATGCTATAACGAACGGATCCTACTACGAATATTCCTATAACGAACGGTTTTACCTATAAAATTGAGAATGCTATAACGAACGAAACTCCTACAACGAACATTAAAAAAAATTTTTTTTTTTTTTACTAATTTATTGTTTTTTATTACAAGTATTAATGATACTCTTTATTTCAGGGGTTTAGATGCATATTTATGCACTTTTTTACAATTTTTACAATTTTATATTATATTTTTCAGTGTTAAGTGGTTGTATTTGGGGGCCTGGAACGGATTAATCCTATAACGAACAAGGTTCTAGAACCAATTAGATTCGTTATAGCATACCCCACTGTATATAAAGATTCACACCACTACTGTAGCTTCCCTTTCGGGGACTATGGTCATGGCTGGGAAGGATCAATTACTATAGAAAAATTCTCTCAATCAGTCAGATATACAGTAAATTACAGTACTATACTGGACTTATTTTGAATCTGTTCCAGTCACAATGTGTCTGGAGTTCTGAAATTGGGTTTTCAAACCTCAGACTGTGGACTGTATTGGAGTTGAATTTTTTATTTAGATAATATTTACCTTGCAGGGAATGGGCATTCCATACTCAGCTCTGTAGTTTGAGGCTTCAATTCTTCCCACATCAACAATTGCTCGAGCATCTGCTAATAATCCAGCACAGGCCTGAAAAAAACAAAAAACATATACAGTATACTTATTCTGCAAGTCTTTCCAGTGAACAAAATGGCCAAACTGTTGAATATAGCCAACTTATATAACTAATGAACCATCTTCACTGAGTCTTACACACAAAAACTGAACAGCAAAACTAACCATGCCAGCGTGCGTGTCAACAGAAAAGATGCGCTTGTTAGCCCCTCGTTCATAAAGCTTCGAAGTGATGATTTTCTCAACTGCAAATACAACTCCATCCTTGCACCGAAGACCTACAGCTGTTCTAAGGAGAATAACAGTTTTTTAATTAGCATCTTAGTAAATGAAGTACAGTACACTATAATTATTTTCTTCTCATAATGGACTTGGGGAGTACATGACACTGCCTGTTACAAACTGAAAGAAATATTCAACTACATAAGTCAGCTGAGTGTCCAGCCTGGTCTCTTTATGTGTTTGATAAAAGATTGACCACCATATGTTGGGCTGCCAGATGGGCGATGGGAGCGTTCACTCACAAACAACCCCACTTCCTCCCTCACCCACCCCTTCGGACAAAATGTTTGGTGACCATATCGGCCCCTCTGAGCAAAGGGGTTAATGCCAGGTGTACAGAAACAAGAACTAATACAGTATGCATTTTCCCTTCATTTATAGTAATTCATTCTTAGTTTTACAACAATGTTCTACTATGTTTCCACCCTTCCACAACATGGTTCTATATCATATTCTATTATAACAAAACATAAAACTTATATACCATAAACTCACCCACTATTTTCTACTGCCTTTTGAGCATATTCAACTTGGAATACTCGTCCGTCTGGTGAAAATTGTGAAGCTGAAAGATCGTACTGAAAGAAAAAAACATATCATATACTTGAGCACGCCATCTTTCCTGACTACAACATGAATACAACCTTCTTACAAACCTGGAACACTGTACACACACAAACATATATTTCATAAAAAAAAAAAACAGCAGGGGAATACAATGACTGATTTCTAATTTCTACAAGATGTATTTAAGGTTAGGTTAGTTTGGTTAATTAAAAAAACAAAAAAAAACAAAAATGGTATTATATTATTATGGTTTTGGTCATCCGGGGAATCTTCGAGTTTAGATTAGATATAGTTCCTGGGTTACGTGGCTAGGTTGGTTAGGTTAGATCAAAATCATTCAAAACACGTCAAAAACCACCAGCAAAACATAGGCATGACCGAAACTATAATTTTACCCCCAAAATTATAAAATGTTGCCAGTACCTGCTATGGTCCACCTCTAGTTATCTAGGTTCTGGAAATACCGTACTAGGTGTTGCTACATTCAAGTACAGTATTACCAAAGGCTGGAAGAGCTGCAGTTTCCCTACTTTTTTTTTCAGATAATTCCGTCGTGAACCTAAGCTGTGTGACACCTCTCCTGTGCTGTCATTATCACTGTTTATGTGAATGCTAAAACATAAAAGAGTATTATTATCGTTTCGGTCATCCAGCAGGTTAGGTTAGGTTGAAATTATGTTTTTTCCAAATTTTTTTTATGTGTTTTGAACGCTTCTGACCTTCTTCCAAATAGGTGGATGACCGAAACGATAATCTTACCGGCAAAAGTTTCACAGACAACAACACTTCTGTTCCATACACACAAAAAACTGGCAACAACTTTTGAACATTTTTGTATAAAAGAATATAAATTGTTTCTTAAATTAATATACCAACAAATTACAAGGTTTTACAGCAAATTTCATATTATTAAGTAATTTTGTTCAGGAAGACGTTCCATCCCTAAAGAGCATTTCATCACACCCAGGATGGCTCATCAGCGACCGAAGATTTAACATATACAGTACGTATAAGATAAACCTACCAAGCAAACCTTACCAAACCTAACATATCTATCCTAGGATGGAGGTGCATTATTTTAGGTGAGATTAGGGTTTCACTTTATTATTAACAGATGGAGAGTTCAGTATAAAACAGTGGGTTGCTCTGAGTTACGTTCACTCACTGACAAACATGGCCTCTGTGCATCAATGGACCATCCTTAATCAATAAAAACTAAAGAAAAACAAAACTAACAAAGATGCAATTCCTCACTCAACCTCTTACAGATATTAGTGATGAAAGAAATAATTTTTCTTCGACAGAATTTTCTCCTGAAGCAGTTGCGGGAAGATCAAGTTAACATTTAATTGAAAAAATCTTTAATAACAAAATACACAAACTTTACCATTACAAAGAGAATACTAACAGCACTAGGTTAATATATAGGATTAACCAGCCAGGGCTGCATAACGCCAATGCCGCCGTATCATCTCACATCCAGAAAATGCCTCAAATTTCACCATATCATAGTAAGTTCTTTCTGTTTAATATACCGGGGAAGTTAGGTAAGGTTAGGTAGGTTTGTTTGGTTTGGTTAGTTAGGTCTGTTCTTCATATCCACAAATGTTAAGAAGCATTTATTTAAAAAATAAAACTTTTTTAACATCTCCAAAAAATAAGTGTCCACTATAACATAACAATGAAAATCAGACGTTTATATTATTGTTTTCAATCAATTTCCCTCGCGGGTTAGTCCTATATAATTACCCATCAATAATATCCACAATTAATATCTGATTTTAGGTCTAATTACATGGCATTCTTAATTAAATATCAACCATTCTAACTTACCGAAACCATGTGATGATATATTTTTATTCTTTAACACTACCAGTATTAACTCCTTATACGTATCCTTAACACACCCAACATCTACTCACCCCTGTGCCGATAGAACTCATAATGTACTACTGGTGTCTGCAGATAATGGTCCAAGTACCACTGGCCGCCTCTACGGTATATCTGCCTGTCAACAACTCGGGCAAACCTCGACTCACTTCCCCGGGTCGCGTTCGTCTACCACCATGTTGGACTTAGCCGTTCTCCTAGGAGTTTTATTGTTCAAATTTAACTCTGCTAAAAATAGTTTTCATGTGTCTAAATTATCTTTATTTAATTATAAAATGTATTTCATCATATTTTTTGCTTTTAATTTGATTTTTATATAATGTAGTAGAGATTATTTACAATAAATATATGATTTATTTATCTAAAAGTATGCTATGTAAAACCCGTTTGTTCTAGCTCTTCAATATATTCATATATTTCTTTATTTAAAGTTACATATTTTTGTAACATATACGATTTATGAAAATATTTCTAATAAAACAATTTTAGAAAAAATAATGGTGCAAAAATAATGAAGTCGACGTTCTCATATCTCAGCGCAAAATGTAACAATTTTTATTTTTATTTTTTTAATCTATCAAATATTAATTGCACTAATATTCATTAATTGGCATTATCAATTTATTTTTCATTGGCCGAGACTATGGGCATGAAGACTAACAGTACAGTAGTAGCTTGTCCAGCCACCTGCACACGGAGCGGTTCATGAAGGGGCAATGGGGACGGGTGGCATATTGTCTAAAAATCTTAAAATTAAATAAATACATTTTTGGCTAAAGCACTTGGTCACTATAGTATCAAAACTTCAGTTTCATACTCCAAAAAGTGCCAGTGATATCATATCACCCGGACAACCAAGAAAATTAAAAAAGTATTCTTAAGAAAAGTTTCATTTGTCAAAGTACTGTATTAGGTTCAGTAATGACTGACTACCTTATAATATTCCTCCCTGGTGCTGTACTGTACATTCAACAGAATAATACCTTTCTGGGGTCACATGAAGACTAGGTTTGGTTAGGATAGCATTAAAGGGTTTAATCATGAGGTGAAATAAACAGGGGTTCCTAAGCTTTATGAAATCCTTTCTATTTGTAAAAAAGATCTATCCATTGCACTCCATCTCTTTTAACTCCTCTCAAACATTTCTAGATGCCATTACCCCTAGTGCCTTGCCCTTCTGAGGTTTGGTTACAACCAACCTTACTTCCTCTTCTTAATTTAGGTGATTTTCATCAGAAAATGACTGTTCCAAACAGGATAACTGAACCCCTCCCCCTTGATGCATTTAGCAGTTGATCAAAATATTATCACCATTTATCTCTTATTTCCAAAGATGCCATTTCTTTGTTTTATTTCACTCTAGAATAATTTATGGCAGCCTTCACCATTTTAATCTGCCCTTTTGGATTTTTTCACTACTCTTTTCTTTTTCCTTTTAACTTGCAACTAAGAACTGTATTCACATAGTCAGAGATGAGGCAAAGCCACAACCACAAATACTTTTTCTTATACAGTAATGACATGAGAAATATACACTAACATTATGAAAAAAAAATGCAATTTTTTTTTTACCATAACATTGAGCACTGAAAGTTGCACTACCTTATGACATAGTAGCTTTAATTGTTTGGATTTGTTTGAGACAGCCACACCATGCAATGGTTTCCACTTTTGACTCTTACATTTTGTTGCTAGTTTAGTTGTTTCACCTTTAATAAACTTACTGTCAGTGTTGTCTTCTGAAAGCAGTTTCTGTTCACTCTGATGTACGAGTCACTGACCCCCAAGACCAGACAACACACACCCTCTCTTCACTTGTCAGGAGCCTAACTGAGCACGTTACAATGCATATACAGTATATTACTATCCCATAACTGTAGAAGGTGCCAGAGAAATGATTGGCTACCATATTGGGCTGAAATAAAGCTTGGGTCATTTCACATGTGTAAGCCGAGGGCACAGTCATTCTCTATGTGGGTAGAGTACGTGTTTTTGCGGCACATGATTAAATTTTTTAATTCCTCCTCTCTTTCATCACTTTCTACTTGAAGTTGGTGTTCATTTGTCTACCTCCTCTTCTTAATTAGTAATGTTATTCTGTCATCCTACAAGTCCTTCTTCTTGTCATTCCTTATTCTCTAGCACCTACACACCTTCAATGCACTTCCTTGGGCTAATATCTTGTACTGCCTCCACATCTCTTAAACTCTCCCTCTTCACCTCCAATTACATGTCATCACGTCATCCTACAGTAATCATATCATTAAATAATACTAACACACTTCTCTTTTTCAGTTCATGACTTATGGCCCGTGTATTTGGATTTCTTTAAATCAATTCTAACCAAAAACCTTGTACAGTAATCCATATCCTTGTTACTTCCACTAGATGGTGTATCATATACCGCTTGCACAGCTCCTCTTGTGAACTCGGATCAATTAACTAATATTTTATTCTAGTGTCCACCTATACATCATAATCTATAAACATAATTTATATTTGCCCAGTAACCATTCATATACAGTATGGACATCAATCAATATACAGTACATCATAGTTGTCATAATTTCATGTAAAATACTAAATAGTACAAACTTCAGCAGATGCATTGTGGTACAGTATATGTAATAAAATAAACCATAATCTATTTAAATTTATTCAATTTATGCTGATACACACTTAAAAGATATGAAAACATTTTTACATACATAACCACTACAAACAGAGAAGATACTTATATAACTTTCTTAAGTTATTATTCTTATTCATTATCAAGAAAGTTGGTGGGTCTGCCACAACATAGCTGTCAGTCCATCTTTGTTCATTACAGAAAATGGAGTCTGCCCCTCTTTGTGGTGTGTGTGTGTGTGTGGTTCTGTAGTTGGTGGAGGAAACTGCACTGAACTAAACTGAAATTAAATGACACCTGTTGTCAATGATCCATTGAAATTAGGTGTGAATACCAAGTTGATGTGGTAATACAATATACCAACAAGTAAATATACATTTGTATATATATTCTATGAACACTAGAACAATGCAGAGACCTCAGAGCATTTGTTAACCACAACTTTTAAGTGATGTTATAATGATTCCTTCACCTTCCTAAAATAAGGTATTCACATATAACACAACCATCATACCAAGCCATCAAAAGTACTGGCTCCTCTCTACTCTTACTTCACCATTTACTGTACTCTATCATCTTTACCACAGCTGTGCTTTGGAAAATGCACTTAAAAATATATGAGGTTTTCTGGCAAATATGTTCATGGTTTTGGTATGTAGTAAAAGGGTATCAACAATGCAATAGAGATTCAACATTAACATGAGGCAAGCAGTCACCATGACCAGCATCTTGCTGACAGCTGTCCTCAGGATCACTAGCCCAGAGTCACATCACAAATATTTACCACAAGCATAAGTTATAACACTAATGACAACCACAAATTATTTTTGAGGGGCTCCCGACCATCTTTAATTTTTTTTTTATAAATAGTATAACATGACCCAGTACATAATAGATTTCACCTGCATGAAAATAGCTAAATAATATTACAATATCTTCGTGTACTATACAGTATTCCTAACATGTTCCAGTTTCCTACCAAGAATGTACAGTTCATGCTTATCATAAAAAAATAACAAAAAAAATATCAAATAAATAAAAAAACATACAAAATCAGTCATACTCTACATCAGCTCCACCAGCCCTGAAGGTCCATAATATTACCTAACAGAAATTTCCAGTCTTTGAAAAACAGGTCTTTCTACATCATATTACATAGAGCAGTAAATGTACTCCAAATTTGAACAATAATTCCTGCTAAAAAATTTACAATAATCTAAGCTTTACTTTTTATAGGCGTTGGAGGTTTGGTTGCTTTAGGGATGAGAACAAAGGTTGGTGCTGAGGGATCAATGGCAGTGGGTTTTGTGGGAGGCTGGTCAGACAGCCCAACTTGTTTCTTACGGTAGTACTTGACTTTCTTGATGTAGCCTTGTACGAGACCACGGATTTTGGTGGGGTTTATCTCTCCTGATTTGTTATGACAGACCTGCGGGAATAAGAAAAGTACTACTATGTAAGTATAATAAAAATCAAACAATAGATGAGGTGAACATATGATTATTCAACTCTAACCTGGAGTCTCATAAACAGTGTCTTACCACTGGTACACTATTACTCCCTGTACTATATAACTAGGTGGAGGTCACCAGGCTTTCTTCACTACCGAGTGGATAAATACAAAAAAATTTACCAATGATGTTGCCGCCAGTTTTATATACAGTACTATGCTGACAATATGTGTAATACGGTAAAAGTTGACCAACAATAGACTATCACTATTAACATCATTAGAATTTATATTGACAGCTCAGCCAGTTGCAGCCTTCAAACCCTGGCCCAGGGAGGATACTGTCTCTTCCTCACTCTTTATGCTGTACCTGCTTCCATGAATCAACTGTCTGGCGATGCTCGGTCAACCCCCAACGTACTTACTCACCTTACTTGCATACAAGATGCTTATTGTGCCAACCTGATGTATCACTAGTAGACAGAGACAAGAGCACATTGTCTGTTCCCTGTGCAGTACACCTCTACAACAAGCTTCCATCATCTGTTTTGTTTGGCAGCCTACAACCTGCATTTCTTCAAACCTTAAATTAATCAAATGTATTTACCATCATATTTCCATCCACCCTTACAGTTCTCCACAATAAGGGGGTCATCTTGGAACTTTGGGCTAATCCTATCCCTTCACATGATAGACAGACAAGAGAAGAGACCTCCAACTCACCTTCTGTACACATTTGCGCATTATTTCCTTGTAGTCTTCTTTACCTATAGTTTTCTTGTTGTAAAATGGCTTGAGACTCAACTTCACTTCCTCAACAACACGTTCCTGTCGCTGCACTTTCTTCAGGAACTGTGGAAAAAGATAGAGATGGAATATTATCATCATTTTCGCCACTATTATTATTAGATACAGTATTATCATCACCACAACTATTCTTATCATACATCATCGTCATTACCACCACTATTATTATCATATATCATCATCATTACCACCACTATTATTATCATATATCATCATCATTACCACCACTATTATTATCATATATCATCATCATTACCACCACTATTATTATCATATATCATCATCACTACCACCACTATTATTATCATATATCATCATTACCACCACTAGTATTATCATATATCATCACGATTATTCCTATTAGAAACACCATTTTTTAAGATCAATTTGTAGGTAAATTATATTGTAGTTTATGCCACACAGCTTCTGGTTTTAAAAGTTTGAATGGTTTCCTTGTAAAACTATTGATTTCTCAAACCAGCTTAATAATACAAAGATTCCCACACAACCTCACCTTTTCTTTCACTTGTAAGTCAACGGCTGAACTGGGGATATCTTCTTCATTACCTTCACCTTTTTTACCTGTAAGTAAAGGTAATAACAGTAGATGAAATTCTTTAATTAGTGTTACCTGTATAAGGACTGTCGGTTCATGTAAACTGTTAATTTATACATACAAACATGAGTATATATCATGCACTTATTGCAGTGTACTGTAGTACAGTATATTAATAACAGGTTGAACTACTACACATCTGCTTATCTGGAAAACTGCAAACTGGACTGTGTGGTTTTGTTCTGTTAATTATATAGTACTGGACTGTAATTGGAAAATACTGTACAGTACTATTAACTTCTTGAATATGGTAAGCTAAGTCATCACACTCAAGGTATTCAATCATACATCAAGAATAATTTTATAAGAAATGCAATAAATATGTTACACTACCTCCAGCTTTTGCCTTTTTGCCAAGCCTATGTTTGTGTGGTGTGCTATGCTTGCGTCCTCCTCGACCTCCAAACAGATTATCAAATTTATCTCCACCACCTTTACCCACTTTCATGGTAGCTGCTCTTGCCTGGCTTCTTGTCTTCCGAGGAGAAGGCTTTTCTGACTGATGCGTTGAGTGGGGTGAGGGTGGTTCAAACATGTCACTGACGTCAGAACTGTCGGGCGAATTTGGAGAGTCCAGATCCATGTCAATAACATCAGTGTGTGTAACATCTCTTCCATTCTGTGTTGCTCTTCCCTTTTCTCCAAGCCGTACGGGAGCTATTATGGTCATCGGGGGAGGGCGATTCAAGGGGTTGGCTGCCGGGGGAGGCCGTGAGAAGTCTGGAGCTGCCACAGTCTGTAAAACTTGTGGACGAATTACTGCACCACTTGCACTGCGTACTGCTGCTGCTATGGCTGCTGGATAAAGAATGTTAGCAACATTGGCTGGCAGTCCTGGAAATATTTGATTTATGGGATTTGTTGGGGTTGCAGCAGCAGGTGCTGCTGCTTTTGGGGCAACTGCTTTTGTAGATACTGTTGCTGCTGCCTTTGGAACTTTTGGGGCCTTGGGTGCCTTAGGGGCAGTATTCGTTTTCACAGCCACAGACACAGCAGGAGCTGTGGTAGGGGGCACAGTACTCGTGGCTTCCTCTTCGGGTGGCTTCTGAGGCTCAGGTGGACGCTCTTCAGGTTCTGGTGGTTCTGTAGGTAAGGGCGGAGGAGAAGCCACTTTTGGTGCAGAAACAACTTCAGGCGAGGCTTTTTCCACAGTTTCTGTCTGATCACTGCTGCTGACCCGAGCCTCCTGCTGAGGGGACCCTGGAGGAGACGGAGATTTTGTCGGTTCGAAAGGATCGTAAACGTCCGGTTCTGGAGAAGAACCCGGGGGAGAACCAGCAGGAGAATGTGGTACTCCACCTGTGGGAGATTTTGCTCTTCCCACAGATTCATCTGATTCAGGAGGAGGACCTGGTGGAGTATTGGGTCCTCTTGCTGGAGCCGGGGGTTCCTCCTCCTCCTCTTCCTCGTCACGCAGTGGGTTATTTATAGGTTTGAGCACTTGCTTGCTTGAAAGAGTAAACTTAACAGCAGGCTCGGGAGGAGTTTTAGGTCCCTGAGGTCTGACAGGAGGCACAGGTGTGGTGCCTAAATCTGGAGGCAACCGAGTGATACCCTCATCTTCTGAATCAGAAATGAGGATGGGTTCCTGAGGTGGTGGTGTGACCATAATCACATCTAAATCTATTACTTCTGGACTCTTAGGCGGTTTTTCTTTATTGCGAGTTTCAGCCAAATGATCTGGTGACCACATTGGTTCATCCTGGAGCGGCGTTCGCTTGCCACTTGGGGATGGAGTACGGCTTCTTGACCAAGATCTGAAGGGACTTCCACGTGCTTTTGCAGTGTCTTTTCTTGCTCTCTTTCTTGCTTCTCCTTCTAGTTTTACATTTCTCTCTTTTTTCTTTTTACCTTCTTTATTTTCCTTTCCCGGTGCTCTATTAAAACTAACACTTACCATAATACTTCCTCCAGCCTGGTACACTTCTTTACTCTGCAAGGGAGACTTTTCCTTCTTCTTCTTCCTCTTTTCCCTTTCAAGTCTTGCTTCTTCTTTTTTCTCTACTTCGCGATCTTTCCTCTTATCCTCTTTTTTCCTTTCCTTTTTCTTTTCTACAACTGGAATAATTTTTTTAGGTTTTTCTTTGGTCTTCTCCTTTGGCTTGACAGGAGGAGGGGGCTTCTTCTTCTCCGGCTTCTTTTTAACTGGCGTTCTTGTTCTGCTTCTCGATCTTCTTCTTCTCTTGTCTCTGCTTCGCCCTCGAGATCTCGACCTTGACGACGAACTGGAACTCGAGCTGGAACTTGAGGACGTGTAGGATGACGAGGAGGAGGAAGAGTAGCTCCTTCTTCTTGCCCGCTTTTTGTTACGGGAACGAGACACCGAACGCGAGTAACTTCTTCTGCCCTTGCGAGGTCTGGAGCCGTGACGCGACCGGGATCTAGACCGCCTTCTTGAACGTGATCTGGATCTTCGCCTGGACCTCGATCTAGATCTCGACCTTAGCGCTACGTCGCGGCCAAATTCGTCCTTCTTTTTTCTCTCTTCCTCCTTCTGCGTGATCATTTTTCTGACGTTGTATCTCTCCATTTCCTTTCTCTTCGGTTCTTTTTTTCTCTCTCTGTCCCTCACTCGTCTCCGGCTTGATGAGTCACGGTTTCTGTCGGCATTTCTCTCCCTCTCGCCCGCCCTCTCCCTGTCTCTGTTTCTATCCCGACCCATGTCTTGTACGTCTCTATTCCTATTATTTTTTGCCCCTCTTCTATCTCTGTCTTCCTTCTCAGTATCTCTATAGTTTCTTTCTTTGGTACTTTTGGAGACCTTCTTAAAAGAAACATCTTTTTCTTTATCTTTCTGCTTGGTCTTCGTTTTTAATTTTAATGGAGGGGTCTTTGGCCTCTCAGGGACGGCAACCACCGGTTCTTTGGGTGACTCTGGCTCAACCTCGGGGACTGTGTTCTCTTTATCCTTCTCTGGGTCTTCCTGTTCTTTCTCTTCGTCTTCCTTTGTCTCTTTATCTTTCTCCTTTTTATTTTTCTCTTTCTTATCTTTCTTTTTCTCTCTACGTTTAGCATTCTCGTCGATTATCTCGCCCTCTTCGTATTCCCCGTCCTGGTCTCTGAGGCAAGGTGACACCTCTATCACCCGACGGATCTGAAAGTTAACGCGAGGACGATGTGTGGGGGGAGTAGCGTGCCTGGGGGTCTCACTCGGAATTTCACCCTCTTCGATATTATCGTCGTTATCGTCGAAGCTGATCTCCTCGTTATCGGATATGGTTTCGGTTTCCAGCCCCTCCAAGCCGACGATGGGCTGGTTGTTTCTATCTCTACTCTTTTCTTCGTCACTTTCACCAAATATTTCTTTAACTAGATGATCAGATTTATTAGTATTTGCATTTTCATTTGTGCTACTAGTCACTTCATGATCCCCCATATTACTGTCGGATAAAGAAATTGAACTATTGGCAGATTTCTCTAACTCTGGGGTATCCGTATCGGACACGGCTTCCAGTTCAAAGTCATTTAACCCCGGCAAGTTACTACTCCCCACCACATTGTTCTCCTCCGACTCCTCAATGACTATTCTCCGGGTTACCGTCTCCGGGTTTCCTCTACTCTCCGGTTTGTCACTGTCGTCGATCACCAGTTCGTCGTCGCTGGACTCGGGTTCATTTTCCTCGTCGTTGCATTTTTTATCGGCCTCTGACGTAGCGGTGACCGAAACGTCAGCCTTAAAGTTTTCGGCGTCGCCTTCCTCATCGTCGTCATCGTCGTCGTCGTCCTCCTCCTCCTCCTCCTCTTCTTCTCCTTCAGGTACTTCTGGTTCAATGTCGCTATAAATATCAATCTCATCCTCGTCGTCATTTTTCTTTTTGTCGTCCTGTTTCTTCTCCTTCTTCTCGCTCCCGTTACAGCTGCCACTGGGTACCGCACACTGAGATCCTCCTTCTCTCCCATCACCATTATTTTCTTTCAGATAGGAAGAGTACGCCTTAGAGCCCGTTGGGTCATCACCAGGAGGTCTGCTGTGGCCTCCCTGTGGGGAATTTCCATCGCCACCAGCTGACTGCCCGGGCTGCTGCTGTCTGGAGGGCGAGGTGGATCTCCCGTCCCCACCTGACTGCTGCTTACCCGGTGACTCGGGCCCGGCCGCCCTAGTATTGGCCACTATTCTTCCATTTAATGGTAGACGGCCAACTGTTGGACTACCTGTGCTGATGGGAGCTCTAAGAACACTGCTGCTTTTACTTTGAGTATGAACAGGTTTGAGGATGAGTGATTGGCTTTCTATTATTGTGCCTAATAAATCACTTGCAATGTTTGTGTTGTTGTTGTTATTTTCTATTTTTCTAGGTTTTGCTACTGAAGTAACAAGGGAGGTATGGGACATAAGAGCTCTGACTGAGAGAGCCTTACGGCGCGCGAGGGCTTGACTGGTGTCCATCACCCGCCTTCTTCTTACTCCTGCTGCCAGAATAGCATCTCCATATTCATCAGGCCTTGGGGGGAACAAAAGACAAATATTAATACATATTCTTCCATTATTGTTGTCAGTGATTCATTTAAATTGCTGAGATAGAAATGTGCTGCTGTGATACTCCCCTTTCCACAATGAAGTCCCATTTATCAATCTGGTTTACTCTCAGCCGTTCACACAACCTAGCATCACCCACCAGCAGCACACATTCTTCCCCCAAAACCACCCAAAGTATTCATACACAGTGCTGCTGGCTGGACGTCCACCTTGCTCATCCTTACTTGTAGCAAATCTTTCTTTTCAACTTTTCATCTCCTCCCCACTACTGGTTTACACACACACACACACACACAAACTTTTAAAAAATTCATCACTTCCCATTCTCTCAATATATCACCCAAGGGAACTGTAATCCACCTCCACATCTTATTTCTCTTCATCCTAATAACTCAACACCGTCATTTCTGCTTCTTCCTCCTGAGCCACACTAAAACTCTTCCTCTCCTGTATCCACAATGCTCCTCTTCTAATATGGTATTTGTATTTATATTGATCCTCTCAACAATAACTCTGCCAAATGTTTCCCCTGGTATAAGTGACATTTACTCTATTGTGATTTTGTATTCATTCTCATCACCTATACTTTTATACGGGGGGCTATACATGCATATATACATACCAACTGTATTGTCATTCTTCTGTAACCCTTACCTCTGTCATATTTAGCTTGTGTACACCTGTCATCCAGTCTATTAGTTTCTATCTTTAAAAAGTCTAATAGTGATTCTGTCTGTTCGTGGTTCCTCATTCAATTTACAGATTTAATTCCTTCAAATCCTGAGCGGGATAATTTCACCTGTTCTCTCATCTGTTATATTTGGTAGTTGTTCAAATAGTGATCCTAATGACCATTTATCCCTTTTCATTCGTCATAATTTACTCTTTGGGTTGTCTCCGGATATTCAGTTACTTCCACAGCCTTGAGACGACCCTTCCCAAAGTTTTAATTGCTCTTTCACAATCCTCTCTTTCTTTTTTCACATTTCTATAATATATTTCCTGGACAACCTGTAAATAGTCTTTGACAATACAAATGATTCTAAAGATGTTAACTCATACAGATGAGGTCAACTTGGAACATGAGAAGTGGTGTCCCTGCAGAGGCTTTACAGTGCTTCTCATTCACTAAAACTTTAAATTGTTTAATAAAAATTAATTCAAATTCATCAACTGAAAATGTTTATGGACTTACTCGGTACTTAGGTCTACGTCGGCATTAACCCCTAAGAGAGAGAGATGAGGTAGTGCTGATCTCATGGTTCCTGAACCTCCATCCTTACTAGAAGGCTGCATTGTTGGTACAAGTTCCCATGGTTTAGATGGTTTTATGCCTAGAACCTCTGCTAGTCTTCCTTTTGGGGTCACTGCTGGGGTGGGAAGTTTAATTTTCTTGGTTACCTGCAAAAGAAACTCGTGTCAAAACAACTAATAACCAAAACGTAATTAGTGTGTGAACGAAGATTCAGATAGGGCTGGGGAGATTGCTATGGCATGGTGGTGGTTGATCGATCAGACACTGGCCCACAGAGCAGACTTCGAGCCTTCTTTCCATCCCCAGCTGGAGAGAAGGTAACTGCTGTATATGTTCTCTCACTGAGGTTGGCTGTGCAGTAATAGAGAAGATGATCAGTTAGATAATAGCACATCACTAGCAGCATGGAGAGGCCCAATCAAAGAGCTCAAGAACCCATGACAAAGTTGCCCTACGTTACAAACAGGTGAAAGAATGGGTGTGATGAAGCAACAGTCACCATTATAAGTTGGAAGGTAATGAATTATGATGTCATACTAGTGTACACACACCTGCACCTAACTTTTGAACAGGAGAATTCGTCAAAGTAAGAAACTATCTCAAACAGGGACACCCCTGAAGCAACAGTGTCACTGGAACGACAATAAAAACACTGAATATCAAACCAAACATTAATGACATTGGCTAAAATTTGATGGTCCTTCATGTTTAATAATCACATGAATTGTGTTGTCAATATAACAACTGACAGACAGTGACCCCTCAATGGGATACTTGTCAAAATGTATCTCATCCAAGTGAAAATAAATATGGGAAAATAAGGTGTTCATGGCATCTAATTATCATTGGTTAGCATGTTGCATTGTCTGAATCCTCTTGGTCACCTACTATACTAACTACACATTAAAGACGTGTATGTACCATACAGACTTTAGTGGGGATTAACTCGTTTTCTGTTCAATGTAAAAGAAATTCTACCATGAAAAAATGTATGTTTTGAGCAGACCATTGTATTTTGAGCTACATGAACCTAACCTAAACTATAATTAGGTGAAATATAGCTAATAATGAACGGTCTTTATGGTGGCCAAAAATATAGCTTTGCTTTCATGCAGTTTCCACTTTTTTTTATATATTTACATCTCAAGTTAATATGAGCCCCATAGAGAAGGAACCTCATAAAAATACAATGAGTTCTACTTTACATGGTCTATCTGCACGCACACACACACACTTTTGATAGACATATATGAAGTTGTTTTTATATCTCTGTACCAACCTTCTTCTTTTTCCTTTTCTTTGTTTTCCTCTTCCTTCGAGTTGTTTTCCTAGTTTTGCGTTTAGCCTTGACACCCGTTGAGCCAGCTTTTGACGTGGATGTCGCCTTTTTTTTGGTGGCTTTTCTTTTCTTTCTTACTTTTCTCTTCTTTTTACGTACGATCTTTCTCTTCTTTCTTTTGGGGGCTTTGGTGGTTCGACGTGACGTGGTACTCGTGGCACTTTTGGTCTGTATCCTGCTACGACTCTCACCGGCTTCTTGCTCTTCTGCTGCCTAAGGGGAGAGAGAGAGAGACAATGGGATATTAAATTCTGAACTGGTACTTAACATTTACAGCAAGGCAAAGGAACAGGTGAGGGGGAAGAAGAATTTACACATAAGAACTGAGCTACACCGTGTTGGATTTCAGCAAGTTAATTACAAGGACCAAGTAAAATCTAATGGGCTTATTAATCAATTCGATCTATACCCATTCCTTTGCTCCACAGGTCAGCACAGTAAAGCACTCATCAACAGACAAGAAGTAAATATGGTACACAGGCCCATTATCCGGATGAGGTGGATTTCAGTCAGCCCCCCCACCTAACCTAGCCCAAATCTACACCCTCAAAAGGGCCTTCTATAACCTTACAGTATTTATTATCTCAAACTAGAATATTCTAACCCAACTGATCAGGTCTCTAGCTGGTTAACAAAACATGAGACTGTCCCGGAGGATAGACCAGGAAACAAGACAAAAACAAAGATATATAACTTACAGCTATGGCTTCAAGTACTGCTTCCTGTTCTTCTACTTCACTTTCTGAAATTGCAGCCCTCTGCTGTCGAGAGCGGGTGATCCGAGCACGAACCCTTTCTGAGGCACGGGTACGGGGCAACAACCTCGGCCGCTCAACAGCACGCTCGGGACGCAAATGTGGGAGAGATGAACTGGGAGCACCATCCTGTATCAGGTCATGTAGTTCTCCATCCTCTATTTCAGCCTGGTACAAGTTAGCAAAATTAAATACCTGATGAAAAGAATGATGAAATAACATTTGATATTGATTCTTATATGCTGTACATGCAAGGAAATTGTAAAGTAAATATAAATACAAAAATTTGAATGGTATTTCATCGACTGCCATTGGATGTACTGTACAGTACAGTATCCTCTGCGCTGAAGCAGAATGATTTTCACAGTATCCATAACTGAGCCTATAAAATGCTCACCCAGTACCCTCTGTTCAGGCAACTCAATAACCCAGAAAATACAGCGAAGTCTAGGGGAAAGACACAGTTCTGGTGTCATGGCTGCTATCAGGCAAATCTGAAGCAGGTTTTATGGCTGGATGACATTCCTAGTACCAATCTGTTATCACAGAATGGGAACTGAGCACGGCATGTAGTGGTTCCAAGCACTCTCTTAGCCGGCAGGACAGGGTCACAACTCCCAGAGGCAACCAAAGATTACCCACATGCCCTCAACATGAAAAACCATAATATAATTAGATACCTTTTTATTTACATATAAATCATATAAATAATATGTAGCCTACAGTACATCTGGTATATAAATATCCACTGCTAATGTTCCAAATCACTTGGTCCACAGCTCACCACTCCTTGTATTACCTATAACATACTATAATCCAGCAACTGCTCTGCCCTAAGGTTACTGAAGCCTCACCGCAATACAATGATCCTTTACAAGGGACACTACGTCAGTCCCGCTGATGACAAGTCGTCAGAACACACACACAGTACAGGTACCAGTGTATAGATAGACTGTATACATAAAATTTGCACCATACACTCCCCAGGAGCGATTGAAAATACTCCCCATATCACCTCACTACCACAAAACAGACTAGGTAGCTCAATCTGAACCAAGACACACTATTAACTACAGGAGCATGTAAAAGAGTATACAATACTTAATGCCATCAAGGAGCACGAGGATCTGTTAAGGCTGGCAGGCTGGCTACATGGCATATAGTCAGATGGATAAATACTGTACTGTCCTGTACTATGATTTCAGTTAATGATTAATGACACTATCAAGGTTCTGGAGTGTCACAACCAGTCTGTTTTCTGTTTCTAAATGATTTCCTATGACATGTGCCCTCTGTGTGGTGGGGTCTCATAGGTTAGTCACTGAGGATCATAGATCATAAACGAAACAGCTACAGTACCTTTTTTCTTCTATTTTGAAATTTCTTTGCTCTCCTTCATGATTGATGTCTTCTTCCACAACATTTGACCAATTTTTTGCCTCTTGTTATATCCTATACTGTATATCAAACCTTTTCTTCCATACACCAAAGAGGTCCACGTACAGTACAGTGTGCCAGCAAGTCTATGAGTTTCTATCCAGATTTAACCCACACACGTGGCACTAATATACAATTAGTACATCTCAAATAAAGCAACCATCACCCTCAAAAAGAGAGATAAGAAGCATCAGTTTCACCAAAGGCCTGAAAAGAGAGCAAGTTTTATCACCAGAATCTGCACCTTACATTACCATCATCAACCAACTGGGATTTCCAGTCACAAGTCTTTGTCCAGCACCTGCACCTCATGGTCGGGGGAGGCAGCTAAAAGTTACAGTAAGGACCTAACACAGGAACCTTAAACGATCCCTTAAAGAGAAGCCGATAAAACTCATTGAATAATCAATATCATGTACAGGCTCATTCAATCTAGAAGAATTCTCCCTCAGACCCCCAACCACCATCCTTAATGGGGCTTCCTATAAACCTTTGCTCACCCTCAAGCAAGATATCCAGCTGGTTAAAAAATACTATCTCAAAAGGTAGGCTCATTAATTTACATTATGAGTCTGGGAGCTTCTGTCAACCATGAGTGTAAAGGCAAAGTTGGAGTCACTAACTACCCATCAACTGAACAAGGTACTGAACTGTTGTCTGGATATCATTGAAAATATTCCTTGAAACTAAAAAATAAAGTCTGAACTTCACCTCAGTGCACTACACAAACAACAAAGGAGCTGTATGCCACAGCTAAATCTATCCCTAAGTGTTACATAAACTGGGTGTTATCATTACTTAGCACTGTTAGGATGCACAGCTATCAGGTGAATGACCTGTTACTGGCAGGGAGATGGATGGACTAACGGGTGTGACTAGAAATCCCAGGTGGCTGACAGCAGCAAGGAACAGCACATGTGTAGGTTGTTGTGGCATCAAGACCACTCACCACTCAGTCATTTGAGGAAACTGTTGTACTGTACTGCATCTAACCACCATTTATTGAGAGCCAAGGTTAACACAGCAGACATGTTTTAAGTCAATATTAGCACCACCCATCAGTGTTGAAGATTGAGCCTGAGTTGAAACCCAAAGATCTTGATGTTTTGAGCCTCCTTGGAGTGATGTCAGGTCATACATTTTCTTTTATTGTAAACTTAAAAATTATTTATAAATCATAAATTCAGCCCAATGCTCACATCACCTCACCCATTTCTTAGTCTTACTTGTCTGAGCCTGTGAACCCTCTCAACCATCCATAATACAGCACGGACTGTACTAATAAATGATAAAAATAATAAAAAAAAACAAGGTAATTTGTAAAAAGTGAAATTTTGAAACAAAAACTTATCAATTAGTTAATCCAACAGACCTCTGCAGCAGCCGAGGAACCATTCACAGCCTGGCAGTCAGGACAGAACCACTCCTCGATGGGTACACGAGCCAATGGTGAGTCAAGGCACTCCAGGTGGTAACCCAGATCACAGCCATCACACAACAGCAGCCGGTCCTCACGGTCACATCGACCACACACCTAACAGGCAAACTCATGAATGTACGTCCGCCATTATACTGTAGAGATACTGTACTTATGCTTACTGCTTTCTCATATGAATAAAATGAAGGAAATAAAAGTACAGTATTACTTATAAGAAAGAGTAAAATATAAATGTAGCTAAAGTACAAGATAATGATGCAGGGAAGGTTAAGGATACCAAACAGTATTTAATAACAAACACTTAACATGCTATTAATAAAAGACAAGAGATCAAACAAAAACTTGTTTCTTTATGAAGTCAAATTTCTGGTACAGCTGAAACAGATTAATATTTGAAAAACAAGATTCAGATTTGCCCCATGCAGCACAGGGGCTAGTTTATTGGGCACCCCCTTACATCCTGTGTGAGGCAAAGCACATAAGCATTACAGCAGCCAACAGGGAAGGAAAGCTGAAAATTAATATCAATCTGACAAACACATTCTACCTCTATAAACTAAACCAGGGGTGATACATCTATCTAAAAATACTATGACATAAGGTAGTAGGAAGCCTTAAAATACTATTATTCCAAACACTACAACCTGAATACTTATCAGGATATATTTAAATTTTGCTACATTTCTCTCTGTATCTTTCCTTGTCTCTCCCTCCACCATTCCTTAACCTTTAATTGCAAGGTGAGGATCTCCCATATACAGTAGAGGATATAAGAAAATACACAAATAAAACGCATAACTTATGATAATTTTCATGAAAATCCTGAATACCGTATTTGGTGTATGAGGTAAATATACAGTGTAAGTCACAAGAACGGTGATTGTGGAAGTAGTATCTATTGAGTAGGGAGCATGAGGACATACTGTACCTGTGTAGCTACAGCAGCAAATCTGTACTATTTTGACCACTGCTTATCTTATCATCATCATGGCTAAAATTTTCCAAACATATTTCTACAAAACTTTTATGTGTCAGCATAACTTTTCTTTACAGGAAGCAGTAACCAGTGGTGTAACTTGGAGAAGGGCTGCTCCAACAAGAACACACATTACACAAACAGGTGGCAAAGAAAATGAGAAATGACAGAAGGCACAAATGTGGAAAACAAAGAAAATTAGGAGAGGAGGGAGAGAAAAGTCTGCATGTCATGAAAGAATGAAGTGAAGTTTGAGGGTGAGATTCCTGCCCTGCCAAGGAAAACTGCAGTTATGAAGTAAGACAAGAACCCTAATAGAGAGATGATCACCATATAGTACTCACATGAAGGCAGTGCTTCCATAAGCTACTGAACTTAAGTTAAGTAATCTACTAAACACTAATTCATAACTCATCTATCTGTTTCTGTTTATGAACGTGTGTGGTGTGTACACAAACACACGGGGTAAAGTCCTATTATCAGACCTCCATGGGACTAGGAATACGAGCAGGCTGAAGACAGTAATATAATAATACTAGACTACATGCAGCAACTTGTCATCTTCTTCCTCACCTTAGCCCAACCTATGATACATATGCAGATACAACAGTTACCAGATCTTGTCAACCAGTACCCTACCTTAAAAACCCCAAGTTTGTGCATTTACCCTCTTAACCTCCAGCGCTTTCTCCACCTGCTTTTTAGTAATCAATATCCCTATATCACCTAACCCAGTGCAATGACCAAGAAAATGCAGCAGAGACCAGAGGGAAGATAAGTTGTGGTGTCCCAGTTGTCATTAGGCAAACTTGAAGTGGATTCTACAACTGTATTCCCTTTCTATCACCAACTCACTTTTATACAGTGGAACCTCTTAGTTGGCAAGGCTATCTCGAAATTGCATAACAAAACTTTTACTGTACTGTACTGTACTAAACACACACACACACCCAAAAAAAAAAAATGCTAGTAGCTGTTGAGGGTAGATACATTTGTACGAAGATAATTAGGTAATAAAATGGTAGAGATGGTACAGTACGGCTATAAGGGGAGGTTGGTGGCCACAGTCGTCGTAGTAGTAGACCTTAACAGTAGCTTTACATTGCTGTTACTTTACCTCACAGAAAGTTGGGTCTTCTTCCTCTTCTGGTGGGTGGTCATCGGGTTTTACTTCTTGAACAGCGAGTCGTTTGATGATGCGTCCTCCGATCCGTTTCCGTACGAATACCAACAAGAACGGTGTTCTATCTTGGGGACAGGTGTTATTTGTCTGTAGATAACACGTAAGAAAAACAACATGGAGTCATAGACATTGTTAAACAACTAACACCTGAATATAATATTTAAGTTGTTTTCTCGTCTTCATGGCCATTAAGAAACACTCAATTAACAACAGCATGAAAGTAAAAATAGTATGAAACCAGTTACTGAAACGACTGCATATGAATATGGTTGTAATTACTGTCAATTTTAACTCTTGGGAATGTTTTCAGTTGAACACACATTACATTATGACACAATAAAAAAAAAAGATACTATTTCTTACTGTATAAAGAGATGCAGTTACACTTACCCTTGACCACTCTAGAATGCAATCAAGGCAGAACGAATGATCACAGCCTTCTGGAGATCCAATTTCACCTTTCATGCGTCCAAGGCAAATAGCACAAGGCTCTCCAGCCCCATCTCCGTTGTCACTGCTGTCAGATTCATTAACCCTTTCAGCGCGAGTTGGTTGGGATGACGAGGTATGGGTGGTGACTCTTGGCTGTTCTTCTTCAGAATCATAATCTTCACTATCTGTTACTGAAAAAATCATATTAGGTTGTCAAATAAGCAGAGCTGATCCTGTGTGTTAACAAACTGAACAGTATGAAATGTTAAGTAACTTGTCCCACTGCAAACGAATAGAAAATGATGAAAATCAGAATTTCTTAAAAAATTCCTCTGAACTCTGGCAACCTTCAGCTACATCACTGCCCAGTATGAACGATGTGCGATAATATCTTCTCCCTTTAAAAATTATAAAAGATCCCATAGTCAGTGTTGGATTATTCTTTTTTTCTATTGTCATCATAATACTGTAGTTTTTTGGCAAATGACATCATTAGTTCTATTGTTCTATGTTGTATTTTTGATTGAAACTAAAAAAAATCATCTGACAACCCCTAGCAGCCAGTACGGTGTGCTATGAGGAGAGGAATCTGTTTAGTTCAGTGCTGGTCCAGGTCTCGCAGAGTGTAGGTCCATGTTGCACGTCCTGACTCGAATTATGCAGTTTCCTCAGTCATTTTTAGACAGCAACTTTGGCTATCAGGCATCTTATTTGCTGTTCTCCATTATGTTTGCTACCACCAACTCCTTCCCCTATGAAAAATTCAGAAGCAAGGTGCTTCACTCCTGACACCATATAAAATTCAGAGGACTATACCACCCTGGGTTATTCTAATGAGTTCTATGAATCTGGATTATTCTAACATGTTCTAAACCTGGCAACAAAGGGAATGGTAGGTGCTTTTGGCACCCTTGCTCTCGAGCAAGTAATATCATGCAAAACCAAGAGTGGACCAGGTGCCATGAACTTGTAAGTCTTTAAAGGTTCGTAACTTAAACATTTTGCAGATAAAATTGGAACCCCAATAATTTTAGGACAATTTTAAATTTTCAAACAGTACTGTATTAGATTCACCAGTGATAGAAGAATATTCACAACTAAAATTAATGTGCAATTCTAAAAATTACTATACACTGTACTGTACCTAATTGCAAAAATTAAAAAAAAAATTGGAAAGATTTTTGTGTTATTTAAGTGTATTTTTCTTTCGTCACTGAATGGAAACAACTGTTTGGTTTTAGTCATGAAGTATCATCAGTCCAGCTCTCTATATCTCTCAAAGCACAAATAATTTCCATCAAAAGTGTTTGTTGTATTAGATTATAAAAAAAGAATAAAAGAAACACAAAAACAAACACAAAAAAACTTAGCCAAATCTGTTGAAATTTTAATGGAAACACCTGGATGAGCTTAAATAAAATGTTACACCAATATCTATAATAAATACGCTACTGTGGTAATAAACTCATCTCTAATCTATTATTGGTGATGTATTCTCTATCAAAAAAGGAAAAACACAATTATTGCCTCATTCTAAATCCACGGTGCTTTGTTGACACGGCATGAACACCGCCGTCAGTCAGCCGATGCTACGTTTACACTCATGCATCGTGGGGGGTTCTCCTCACCACCTCCTAATTTTTATTCACATCCAAATTCCACACTTTCTCTTACACCTCAACAGCGATACCTCCATGTAATCTATAAAATGAGGGTTTCATATTTAACTGACCCTCGATATAATGGACTCTAACCTCTATATAATCCAATTAGATGGTGATTTCACATCTAACATACCCTCGATATAATAGACTTTCCCCTCCGTGTAATCACAGAGAGGTTTCATGGTACATCTTTACTGCACATAATTAACAAAAGAAATTTAAGAATACAGATTAATTTTGTTTATATAATTTTCCACATTTATATGAGAATAAATGAGAAGTAATTACACAGGGAGGCAATTGGCCGAATAACTGTGTGTGGTGGTGGTGAAGAGCCTACTTGTCCCCCTGTGAGTTGGAGGAGTAAGATATGTGGTGATTGTTGGAGAACACATGGTGAATAAGTGATGATTGTTGGAGGAGTAAGATATGTGGTGATTGTTGGAGTAAGATATGTGGTGGTTGTTGGAAAATTATAAGCGATGACTGTTGGAGGAGAAAGATATAAGGTGATTGTTGGAGAATAAGTGGTGATTGTTGGAGAATAAGTGATGATTTTTGGAGGAGTAAGATATGTGGTGATTGGTGGAGAATATGTGAAGATTGTTGGAGAACACATGGTGAATAAGTGATGATTGTTGGAGGAGTAAGATATGTGGTGAGTGTTGGAGAATATGTGATAAATGTTGGAGAATAAGTGATGAATATTGGAGAATAAGTGATGATTATTGGAGAATATGTGGTGATGGTTGGAGAATAAGTGATGATTGTTGGAGGTGTAAGATATGTGGTGATTGTTGGAGAATAAGTGATGATTGTTGGAGGAGTAAGATAGGTGGTGAGTGTTGGAGAATATGTGATGAATGTTGGAGAATAAGTGATGCTTGTTGCAGAATATGTGGTGATCGTTGGAGAATAAGTGATGATTGTTGGAGGTGTAAGATATGTGGTGATTGTTGGAGAATAAGTGATGATTGTTGGAGAATATGTAGTGATCATTTGAGAATATGTGGTGATTGTTGGAGAATAAGTGATGACTGTTGGATATATGTGGTGATTGTTGGAGGAATAAGATACTGTATATGGTGATTGTTGGCAATTGGTGAAGCTTATTTGTAGACTTAATAAACATTGTGAGTGTTGTATAATAATGAAGAAAGGTTGTGATATATATATATATATATATATATATATATATATATATATATATATATATATATATATATATATATATATATATATATATATATATATATATATATATATATATATATATATATATATGCTGATAACCACAAGGAAAGAAGAAAACACGAAGTTCCCAAGCGCTTTCGTGTAATTCACATCTTCAGGGGTGAGTACAGACTAAGGAGAAGTACAAAACAAGGTGTATATATACAGAGGAGGGTGAGATCAGGTCCACAATGGTCAGGTATTAGGTAATGACCCTACTAATCTTTAAAAAGCACGGCAACGGTCTGTAGTCAGGTCAGAGGGTAAGGTGACCCAACCTTCTCACCTGGTTACAAATCTTCTTAATTACAAAATTGTCCAGTTTGTACGGGCCATTACTCAAATTCATGTTGACTGCTTCGGTATGTTTAATGAGACTAGATTCTATAATATTCCTACTGTCAATTGAATTACAAGGTAATATTGAGGAGGCATTACCCCAGTCAATGCAATGTTTTCTTCTTTCCTTGTGGTTATCAGCATATACCTGGATCACGCGCAACTACAGTGATTTACTTGCATATATATATATAAGCATCATAGTAAATAAATAATAATAAATAAAAAAAGAGCATCATTGTAGTACATTTCTCATTATTACTGAAGAAAAAATTACGACAAAAGGAATTTTTTGGGTGACTTCAGATTTTCATAAGGTGAATCTTCATTAATTAGGGGGAACTATCTACAACTGTACTAATTTAGAAAAAAAAATACATACTACCTTCTTCACTGTCATCGTCGTCGTCGTCCTCCTCCTCCTCCTCCTCCTCACTAACATCGCCCTCATCTTCTGAACCTCTTTCTTCATCACTCTCATCATCTTCCTCTTCTTTGTCGTCATCATCGTCATCATCATCATCACAATCTTCCTCGTCTGAGCCTTCTTCCTCGGTATCCGAACCTTCGGAATCAGATTCAACCGTTCTTTTACGCTTGGGGACCCTGGTGATCAGTTCTTCATCATCATCAGAATCTTCATCATCAACATCCTTAATCTCTTGCTTGTTCTCCTCCTTGTGCATCTCGGACAGCTGAAACATAAACAACATGTACATTATTGGGACATTCTTGCAAGCCCTGTCTATTATTGGGATTTTGTTATTGAGAGGGTTTATTGCATTGTATATATGTGTAAAGATCAAAAGTCAATGGTTATCGGACATTTCGTCACTGGTTCAGTATAAATCTAGCCTTACTTAACCTAACCATGGCTTCATTGCCTCTAAAATAAATTTATCATAGCCAAATTTAATAAATATAATGCAGTATTCAATAGACTGGTGACAAAATGTCTGCATGCTAAGTTCATCATGGCTTCATCTGTCAGTTAGGGAAAAACCCTCTACAACAAATCCAGGTAAAAAAGTCATAGGTAAAAAAGTCACAGAAAAAAAGTCACAGGAAAAAAAGTCACAGGAAAAAAGTCACAAGAAAAAAAAAGAAAAGTTAACTATCGAATTCTCACATTTTTTAAGGTTAATATGTCAATCAGTTTCAGTAACCTAACCTAACCTAACCTTTATTACCGGCCACCATAAATTAATTGTGACTTTTTTTCCTGTGACTTTATTACCGGCCACCTCTACAACACCCTCACCACCTTCTGTGGTGAATGTGTGATGATGGCAGACATCATCACACATTCACCACATTCTGCCATCTCCACACCCTCACCACCTTCTGCCATCACCACAACTTCTGCCATCATCACACCTTCTGCCATCATCACACATTCACCACATTCTGCCATCTCCACACCTTCACCACCTTCTGCTATCACCACACCCTCACCACCTGCCATCATCACATCCTCACCACCTGCCGCCACACCAAACCCACAAGTTATCTTTCAAAGAACACTATAATTGCTTTGACACGGCAGGTACTGATAACTCCCAGCTGACTCATCAAATGTCCCCAAACTGGACAGCTAACAAACAGCAGTCAACACATGCAATCCTCAGCTTCAGAACATCTGCTCATACGAAGATTATTATCTTTATGACCGGGTCTTAGTCTTTCAAACCATTGTTCCATTCATACAAACACAGAGTTCTCATACATACTGTCACCCATGACAAAACAAAAAAATTTAAACACTTGAATGTGGGAAAATGAACACTGTGCATCACTTCTACACACAAGCACCCTTCCATAATGCATCTGCTTTGTTTGTGTGGCACTAAACATTTTATACAATGTTGTGTTTTTATACCGATCATTCATTTGGTGAGCATTTTTTTTATCTACTGTATCAACCACAATAATAATGGGTGATAAGTGAAATGTGTGTACCTGTGACCACACTCTGATGATAATATTAATCTTTTTATTCTAAATACTGTATGTGGTTTTCCACTGGCATCTGGGGACTAATTAATTATTCATCAGTACGGCACATCACCGTTTCCTTATAATCTATTCATCCAGTTAACAAACATCTCATAAAGAAATACATTTTGAGGAACATAAGTTCCTAAACCAGGGACTGTGTGTACGGAGCAGGACTCGACCTTAACACCGTAAATAATGCTAAATACAGTAGTGTTAGGTGGAGCAAATAAGTGAGTCCATCTGTTCACTGGAATGCGTGGCCAAAAACAGAGCTGAATCCTGAAATCATTCATGGCCAACCTGAGAAGAAAGGCAAGGAGATCACACTATAGTGCATTTTATCTCAGCTGAGAAAAGATGCCCCGCCCCCTCCTCAAAATTACAGCTGATTGGCTGTTCCAAACCTGTCCGATTTTGTCCTGAAGTAATGATGTATTTCTAAACGAGTTTATTCATAATTGTTGGAATGACCGTTCCTGACGAGAAAGATATTTGGCTAAATTATATAAAGATACATACGTACATTCATTATTTCAAACATAAGCACGTAGGAAGTTTATCAGAAGTACTGTACAGTGACCCCTCGGTTAACGAACTCAATCCGTTCCAGAAGGTCGTTCGTTAACCGACACCATTGTTTCAATGGGTTTTTGGGTAATTGGTTCCAGCTCACCGAAAATTTCCTAAATTCAACAAAAATGGTAGAAAAGTTCACTTACTTTGAGGTGTGTATGTAGAAGGCTCCTGGATGATGATGATGATGATGGGAATTACAATGGGGGTGGAGGAGAAGGAAGAAGAGAAGGCATTGGGGTGGAAGAGAAGTCACCCCATGGCACCATTTCACCCATAAAATTTTAGTTCTCTTGGTGTATTTCAAGATTATTTTCTTTAAATCAACACTGTACTGCATTATATATTGTCAATATGTAAAATATATTTCAAAATGACCAATAATTTGCTTGGAAACACAGAAAAAAGCGTTTAGTTGAAGAGAGTCTCAAGCAAGATGTTACCTCCAGTGAAAACAGAGAGACTAACGCCTGTTTGCTGTGTTAAGAGGCTGGATGCTGCGCTTTAAACTAGTCACTTTACCTTCAATTATGTTCAATAATTGTTAAAATGACTAAAAAATTGAATATTAAACTTTTAAAATTATTGAATAGTATAAACTTCTTGATATTTACTAAAATAGTTAGGAATTTAAGCCCTAGAACCGATTAATGTATTGGCGGACTGATACTAAAGCTGGTTGCCCGGCCAGTGCAAGCGAAAACATGTTGAGGTCGGTTCGTAAGAAATTCGTTAACCGAATTTTTGTTCGTTAACCGAATTGAAGATCATTATGGAAGGCAGTTCGTTAACCGAAATTTCGTTAACCGAGGCGTTCGTTAAACGAGGGGTCACTGTATTATGCACGAATTAACTGTTAAACTCTGGTAGCAAATTCGCGCTTTTGGAGGACGCATTTAATATATACTTAATTTTACTCACAATAAGGCATACTAAGACAAATTACATATCAGTAATACTACATAATGAAAAAACATCATTTTAAAAGATCAGAATCATATTTAAATATTACACGACCGTTAGAAGAGGCTGGAAAAATATGAAGTTGTTCACAGTCATATTTCCCGCCTCTGTTGATGGTCATTCCAATGATTATGAATAAACTCGTTTAGAAATACCTGTACATTATTACTTCAGGACAAAATCGGACAGGTTGGAACAGCCAATCAGCTGTAACTTTTGAGGAGGGGGCGGGGCATCTTTTCTCAGCTGGGAAAAAACGCGCTATAACTCACGTGATATCACAAGTTCGTCCTCCTTCTATTTTCCCTTTCTGGGTGATGATGACAGTAAGAGAGGCAGACTAACCGCTCAGATTAATCTCCACAATTAATGTCGGATCTCTCGAGTCTACACCAGCGGCATCACACAAATGAAGATTGGCAGGTCGTAACTATCAGGGGATAAACTGGCCTCTGTCCCTTTAATTTTCACTTTATCTAAGATCGTTGGGTTAGATTCGATCAGTTCATATTGTTTCCTGTCATTATCATAAAGCCGCACACCTTCCCTGAGACACCATTGTTCTAACACCTTCATGCCTCATAGGAACACCTTCAAAATAATAATTAACAATTCCCACTTGGTTTGTCTTCACTTGTTATGGTACAATTTGACAGTTCAAGTCTCAATAGTTTAGAACATCACCATCACTCCAGGCACTTAACATCTGCTCTTCTCATCTGTACAAATATTACACCATTCTTAAATTTTCTCGATGACGATGATTTCAACGGGGGAAATCTACAAGTATTTCCCCCTTTATCTGGCAACACTTACTTACAGTCCCATACAACCTACCAAATGAAAACAATCATTAAACCATTTCTGATTTTAGTAACAATGAACAAATTTTGACAGGACTTTAAGTGGTTTATTTCTGGTTTAGTTCAGTGATGGTTAGTTTTATATTTGCCAGAACCAGTTACAGATTATTTGATAAGGTAACAAAGGGTTAATATGATTTTGTCAACTCTCAAAATATTATAATGAAAACCAAATACTCAAAACAGATCCTCAAATGAACCCAGACCTAATCCTAACACCACTACCAGACCTAATCCTTGACTACATAACACAATTTGACATAACCCTTAATAACATAGAACAAAATCTAATCCTTGAATACATACATAACATCAGACCTAATCCTTGAATACGCACATAACATCAACCTTATCCTTGAATACGTACATAACATTAGACCTAATCCTTGAATACGTACATAACATGACCTAATCCTTGAATACGTACATAACATGACCTTATCCTTGAATACGTACATAACATCAGACCTAATCCTCGAATACATACATAACATCAGACCTAATCCTCGAATAAGTACATAACATCAGACCTAATCCTCGAAAAAATACATAACACAACTTAAACTTAAACCTTCAGTCACAACAAAACTCGACCTGATCCTTGACTAAAATAACTACCACCACCACCAAATCAAACACAACATTAACACCAAAGATATAATACAAGTATGACATAATAACCAAGAAAAAATAATATAATTAACGTTAATAATGAAGAATTAGGTGCCGCCCCTGACAACTTTCTTGGGTCAGTCTCCATATATCGCTTTGTTCCTATAACCTTAATAAACCTTAACTATATCTCTCCTATGAAGTAATCTATATACTGTGGTTAATATAATGGTTTAGATGTGGTTGGTGGGAGGTGTACACATATCTCATCTAACTCAAGCAATAACAATATCAAATCAATCCACCAGACGCTAGTTCACTCGTTATTAATTCACTAAAATAACTGTAATGGACCTACCCGAATATACGGTTTCTGTCCTGTCAGATGAAGGAGGCAGTGATAGTGCTGTTGCTCGGGGTGCTACACCAGACTAATGTAAACAACAAATTGTCTCATAATTGGAAGTCGGCGTCGGCCATTTCTAGTTACCTTATATTCCACTAATGTACATCATGTTGATCAAAAATCAATCTTTTCGGTATTTTGGTTAAGAAAAGCTCTCATATATTTCGTTTTATATTCCGTGTTATAAGTTATATAGATTAAAGTCACAAAAGTCCTTTCAAATGATTATTATATGAAATTAATGAGAGCACTTCACCTGTCAAATGACAGAGAAAAAATACTTGGAACCTCAGGGTTTGGAAATACATCTGCTAGAATATTTTCTAAATTATTTATTTTATTTTACTCTAATGTTGAATATTACTCAATATAAATGTTTTAATTAAACAAGAAATAACCCTCTAAAAATATAAGCGGAAATAAGAATCTCTGTAAAGTTATTTTAATCTTTAACCATAGAAAAATACATAACTGTTAAATATCCTCCCTGGTCCATTTAAGTAATTCTAGAAGATTTAAAATAATTAATTACATTTTTATTGAGCCATAAACAGTATAAAATATATAAGATTAAATATTAATAATCCTTTTTAGTTCACCGGAAACTTCTCACAGACATTATTGGAACCGAGGCGCGAGGCTCCGCTCTTTCCCGAGTGGTGTGTAGAGAGAGGCGGCTGAAGCGCCCAACAAACACAATAAAATCTTAAACCATGGGTCGTATGCACAGTGGAGGGTAAGTGTTAACATCCCATTAAATTCCTCAGATCTCCTTCCAAAATTGAATCAACATTTTAATGTCATTAATCATTAAAAACAACAGAAAACTACAATAAAGTAACGTTGTTTACCTCTTGATGGTGTTACCCACGTGAACCAATATCAAGATCACTTTATCATTATTGTCTCCCAGAACACCAATGACCTCTACTGTTGGAATATAAACTATAATATATTGTCTTTGAGAGGTATATGTGGTATATTTTCCCCGTATTTGTGTTTCAGGAAGGGTATATCCCAATCTGCTCTACCATACCGTCGTTCAGTCCCCAATTGGCTCAAGTTGACCAAGGACGATGTGGAGGACCAGATTGTCAAGCTGGCCAAGAAAGGTCTAACTCCTTCCCAGATTGGTTAGTTTGCTACTCAGCCACACAATGTACTTAGAACCTTACTGTGTACTTGAAACATAATGTACTTAATTGCACATTTAGATTATCAGATTGTTTAGTATGCCTCTTAATTCCACTATACAGTAGACTTATAAAGGGATATACTAGAAGGGAAGAAACTGCAGAGGCCCTATTGACCCTCACTAGGCAGTCCTGTTTGCACCCAACTCTTATAGCTGATATGTCCATCCAACCTATGTTTGGTACCTTGTTCCACTCATCCACTACTTTATTCCCAAATCAATGTTTACCTATCATGCACCTTAATCTAAATTTGTCTTTAAAACCATTGCTATGAGTTTGTTCCTGGTTGGATAATTGAAGTGCTTTTGTTTTATCACTGTTTAAATCTGACTTCGATTTATACACCTCGATCATATCGCCCCTCACTCTTATGTCTCTCGAGGGAGTGCAAATTCAAATGCTTTGGGCTTTAAGTGACTCATTTAAATTATGGAACTCTTCAATGTCTTATCTGGTCGTGGTCAGGTCACCCCACAGTGCAGCGAAGGATGACGAAAATGGTTCCGGGACTTAAAAAGCTTCCATATCAAGTTAAAGAAACTAAACTTGCATTCCCTAGAAAGACGAAGAGTGCGGGGAAATATGATAGAAGTATTTAAGTGGGTGAAAGGAATCAATAAAGGAGATATAGATAAAGTTCTTATAATATTTGAGCAGGATAGGACTCGGAGCAACGGATTTAAGTTGGATAAGTTTAGGTCTAAGAGGGAAATCGTAAGGAACTGGTTCACAAATAGGGTGGTGGACGAGTGGAACAAGCTTAGCAACTTTGTAGCAAGTGCTGGAAAGTTTTAAAAGGAGGCTAGATTAATTTCATGGATGATAAAGAGTGGTAGTAACTCTCAACAGGAGCTGCCATGCACAGGCCTATTGCAGACTCCTTATTTTCTTAGGCTATTGTTGTCAGGTCACCAGGTAAAGTACATTGTGTGGTCCCGTTATTTCCCACCTCACGTGTGGTCACATGCCCCAAAAATTTATATAGGGTAATTTTTTTTTTTATTCAAGAACCCTAAATGATTACTAAATTTAGGATGTCTAATATACAGGAACCTAAAAATAAAGTTTGATCATTATGAAGATCATAAATGTTCTTCACAAAGATCAGGCATTATTCCTACTGATTTTTAGGGAGTACAGTATAAACACTGATCTCTGGCCTTTTACCTTACAAAATTGAATTTGAAAAACAAAAACTGTCATGCTGCTTTAAAAATCATTGAATGGATTCATGTAAGTTAAGTGTCTACTGTAATGACTATAAAGAGGCCCAACTGTTGTTCCTCAAATACACATTTTATCAAGAATTGGTGAAAGTGTAAATTTATGGAAATTTCATTAAACAATGCCTAGTTATTTAAGAACTGCAGTGTAGTGAAAGCTAAAGGGAATTTTTGAAACATGTTCAAGATATTTTCAAAATTCTATTCCTGGTTTAGGTTGTTGCCAAATAGAAAAGACTTTGCAGGTGTGAAATGAATCTTCTTCCTTCAGGTGTAATCTTGCGAGACAGTCACGGTGTCGCTCAGGTACGATTCGTCACTGGCAACAAGATCCTACGTGTACTCAAAGCCAAGGGTCTGGGCCCAGATATTCCAGAAGACTTGTATCACCTGATTAAGAAAGCTGTAGCAATCCGCAAGCATTTGGAAAAGAACAGGTGAGATTGTGGTTTTCTTTTCTGTACAATTTCATAAATATAAATAATGTACATCCTGGAAAACCTTTCCAAATTTTTGTGTATTTAAAGGATGGAGGTTTGTTGCTGTGCCTAATTTGCAAATATGTTGGCAAGTAGTTTTATATTAAATGAATTTTGCTAACCGTTTGCACTTCTAAGCATTGTTAATTTTAGAAAGCCGAGAAAGAATGTTCATCGTAATCAGGTTTTTATACGCAAAAACAATATTACAGGAAGGATCGCGACTCCAAATTTCGCCTGATCCTGGTAGAGTCTCGTATCCACCGCTTGGCCCGTTACTACAAGACACGTAATGTGTTGGCCCCTACCTGGAAATATGCTTCATCCACAGCATCTGCCCTTGTAGCATAAATAAATCTATTTCTGTGATATTGATTATACTTTCCCCATTTAGTGTATACATTACTCTAATGGTAAGGGGTTGTACAGTTAGCGAACACCACCGCTTCCTCCTGAAGGTGTTGTGAAAGCTGAATGTATCCAATTTCTTTTCTTAGAAGTGTTTTCTCATTGCTATAATTTAACTTTGTATATTCAGTACGCTTGAAAAATAACGACAATAATTTAGATATTAGGTTAATTAAAACAAAGGCATGTTTAATTTGTGTAATAACAAATTATTACAGGTGGACATTTACAAGAATGAAATGGTTAATTGTCATGCAGTGTTTCGAGACCAAATTTTTTAAATTCATTAATGTCTAAATGCCGTCAGTGAGTCAAACACAATGATTTAATATTATAATTACCTATACTACATCCATTTAAAGCTACTGTACCTCGAATCACTAAATATGACTTACGACCGAGTTACTAATTTAAAACTCGTTACATTCTATATTCATAAACTGACATTAACCATTGATAAAAACTACGAATTCAAAAAAATGAATCCACTCATTTTCATTAAGTAGTATTATTATTATTCCAATGGCTATGAAAGACTGATCATCAAATGCTTTTATACATAGTGCACAAAAGCCCAAGACTATCTCGCACAGAGATCAGTAGTACAGTATACAGTGGGTCACATGTATTTAACTAGCATTCAAAGCATATCCAAAAAGCCAACAATAGACCTTTTGTATATTGTAGTTAATTTCAGTGCCATCAAACATTGCCACTGCTGCTACAGTCAGCCATATCCTACTTGTTGACAAGAATCTCAACATACACAGCTACATGTATATCACAATTGTTTTTGCCTAAATTTCACACTTCTGGGACTGCCTTTTTCTGCACAAATGACTACAGTACAAAGAAACTGTACTGAACAATGGGGTAGTGTGTACACAGTTTCTTTTACATACAGTAATGGTTAACCGAGTACAGTACATGGGTAAATACAGGTTTAAATATTTCGGTACTTTAAACTGCCTTTCATTCTTCCTTCTTCAATGAAAACAAATAACTCTAGTCTCTACAGCTGTGACATGGACATTCTTGGTAGTTTTCAACAACCACCAAATACAATATATAACTTGTATATATCCCCTCCTCCTGTAGTAAGCCTCTTACTCTCTCTCTCTCCTTTATCTCGTGCACATAAAATTAAACCCATAACCTGTGAACACTATTGCCTTCTAATCATGACTAACGAACTAACAAAATTACAGTTGTATTTGTGTCGTACAAGAATACGGCACCAGAGATGAACCTGTCTGTAAAATTGGTTCTTTATCATACCGTACAGTCAGGGTCTAAAGTCTTGAACACTTAGCAATATCTGGCATCTATTTCTGAGTTCTACGTATATGATTGGGATATACAGTATACAGTACTTATAACACTAACTTGTCATCACATATTATGCCTGAACCACAAAATGGGATAAAACTCCTTAATACCTAAGATCTTCAGGTACTTGCATGCCAAATACTGCCAAGTGTTCAAGACTTTTGACCGTGACTGTACACATCTCAACATACGGTATACTGTGTTAACTATGGAAGACTTTGACATGTCAGGTTTCTTATTATAACAAAAGAAGAAACCCACATCAATTATGGACATTATACCAAAACTCATAATACTAATACAGGCAGTCATTAAAAATATACAGTAGGTGTAAATTAACTCATCAAAGAACAGAATATGTTTGAGTAATTTCTCCTATATAACTTTACCTGGATCGCTTATGTGACACAATGAATACCATATACATGACATCAGGACTACATAATAAGTACAATGACCATATTAAGTAAATTCTTCCAGTACCAGACTAATTCTTGCAAGCTTTGTCCATTATTGAGAGGGTTTACTGTATCCAATCCTGTATTGAGGGTTTACTGTAAACTTAATATTTTCTTATTAGTCAATATAAAAAAAGGAGAAAGAGCAATATAATGGAACTACAGTACTATATATTTTAATAAAAAACTACTTAAAAGTTATTTTAATCAAAGGTTAATAACAATATTTTTGTTGATATAACCTTGAAGTATGAAGAAATGTGGTAAGAGACAAGTCATACAATATTGCACTATCTTATACAAGTAAGGAAGAAATAGTGTTAATACAAAGGTCTAATTATTACTGGAATATATTAAGATATCTTGGAATGTCTTAAGTATAACTGAAAAAAAATATTAGGATACACAATATTACCTGTACTGTACTACATAAGTAAATTAAGATTAAGAAATATCTACAACTCAAGAAAATTTATTACAATAAATAGTACCTAAAGGAAAAATATAAAATATGAGAACAATTAAATACTAAAGATCTTCAAAACATAATAGTATCACCTGAAATATCTTCACCCCAGCTAATTTCACCTTAATATTAACCACCCCAATATTATTGGGGGATGAAGTTAGGTTAGCACTAGGATGGTTAATGCTAGTGAAATAAGCTGGGGTGGAGATTCTTCAGGTGATTCCAGAATTACTTAAGAGTAATGAAAGCACCTACTTGGTACACCTTAAATAGAATTATTTTCATTTGACATTAAAAAAGTACAAAATAAAACATTTGCATAATAAAATCTTTGTTAAATGGTGCAAAATACTGTACATCAGAAATATCCAGGATACAAAACTACTGTAAACTCAAAACCTAACCCAAGTTTAACATACTGTACAAAATGTTTATGTTATATTACTGCAAAATAAAATCAACTCTGGGCATTGGATTTTTTTTTTGTGATATGAAATTACTTATGAAAGATGAATAGCAGCACCAACGTATGGATAAACAGCAAAACTTTTTGGGTAACTTTTTGACAAATATCTCTAGTATTTCATTTTTTGTTTTAGGTGTGATAATAACAAGGGGGATATTTGTCAAAATGTTATCCAATAAACGATGCTGTTTGTCCGTATGTTGGTGCTGTTATTCTTCGTATACGCTTCCCCTGAGGAGAGTCAAATGCATCAGAAATTATTTACTTCACTGATCTTACTACATAGTTCTCTATAAGTCTGTTTTCATCTTGTTACAGTGTTTGTATCCTCTCTGAATCAATCTCACCTTAAAATAATGTGACTCACTCACTCTCTCTCTCTTTTTCACTTTCCCTCTATGCCTTCTTTCCCACTTGCTCTAAAATACAGTTACCTCCCCCCTCTCTGTTTCTCACTTTCCATCTATGCCTTCCCCCCCTATCTTTGTTCCCATTCACTGCATGTTTGTTAGTAATTTAGTGTGAAGCTCATTGTTGTTGTGTATGTGTGTAAAGTGTTCTAATTTAACTTGCTCCATCTTATATTACATCTCCTTCATAGTTACTAAATACTGTATATTGAACAATCAAATTAAATGTTTATTATTGTACTGTACTCATCAACATAGAAAAATTTACCATTATGTTGTTACAGTACACTTCAATTAATGTATAGTAACCTAAAATGTTAATAATTTCAACATAAATATTAATAAAAGGTAAAAAAAATCCTTAGTGTAAGATTGTAAAATAAAATAAAAATCTACTTAGTAAGGATTTCTAGAGTAATACAGTATTAGACACCTTGATGACTTTGTATTAAAATCATCATATATAAAATGAGGTAAATTTTGATGTAAATATACGAACACTTTTGATTGTATGGATGTGGTGGCATGACCTGAGATCCAGTGGTATATGTACCCAATTCTCAGATATAAACAAATTATGATAAACATTATCATCATCGTTACAAAAACACACATTTATTTACAGTCAACACATACATTTCCATTCTCCTGATCTCTTGCCCTGCAAATGTAATCCTCATTCTTATTTATATGTGTAAATAAACGGAATCTGTTTCATTCGTGGGTTAACTAAACCATCATTCAAACTTCCGTGTACTGTACTGCCTCAGTGTTTTAAACTCGAGAGATGTGTGTAGCTGGACAATTACCACGATGATACATACATTTTACTCTTCTGCCAAGTATCCTCCTGCCATAACTGCACCTGTATTAGGCACCCAGGAGGACAGTGTTGAATACTGTGCGCCAATATCAAACTTTAGATAATCGTGGTTAGGGTTGGCGTGACTTACCGAGTATTTTCCGTATATCTCTGTCACCCACGACACAATTATAATGAAACTGGTGTCAAAAGATAGCATATTTAGTCTAGTTTAGGAATATGTAGATAAATCTTGACTCACCCGGTTATATAAAATTATCTTGGCATATTTGTCACTGTTCCCTCAAGCACCTCATGTGATACTGTACTTATAAAACACACACAGTACATAATATTTACAATTTTAGATGTACAAAGCCATTCTCAGTTACCCAGTGTCTAAACAAATGTATCAATCATACTACTGTAATGTAAATAACGTGGGAGCTCTTGGTCAGGCAGTATAAGGAGAGCAACAATGCCAATCACTCAGGCTACACAGTGAACTACATCACCCAGATGACTTATTTAATATTCTTCATTATTCTGATAAGATGGAACTAATTGCATATCTAAAAGCATAGCCAAAGATGGAAGACTGATCCAGAAATCCAATTTTATAACCAAACCAGGATCTAGTAACTATTGTCAAAAAATCTAAATGTCCAACAGGTTTACCGGTAGTTAGAATCTGATCATTGTAAAGAGCATTTATGTTCTTTGCCATGACATGATCAGACTTCATTCCTACTGACTTTTAGATTCCTGTTTATTACACATCCTTAAAATATAGTAATCATTTAGGGTTCTTGAATAAAAAAATGACCCTGTATATGATAAGTTACCTAATTAGTACTGTACCACTCATGTCACATAACAAGGTACCATCTTGATTTCAAAACTAAAACAGCCATTCATGTTCAGTTTCAGCTAACTAATTTCAAACCTGAGAAAGGGAGGGAGGGTATCCAAGCATCAGAAAATTCTCTCAATACTAGATTAATTCTTGCAACCCCTATCCATTATTGGTAGGATTCTGTTATTGAGAAGTCCACTATTGACAGGGTTACTGAAGGCCCGGCAGAACGATGGGAAGAGGAGGTATTATGACTCTATGACTAGGAATAAAGGAATAGGATATATGGAGGCAATGCAGACCCATTAACTCTTATTTACCATTCAGTTCTTCTGTATTATCCTGGAAACTTCACTTAAAAAAGGGGGATTTTATGATGTTCCTTGGAGACATCTTCCGCTGCCCCATCTCCATGAATAAGTACAGTACAGTATAGATCTTGGGATTTTTATGAGTATTGTACCTCAGAATACCGGACAACAGGGGGAGTTCAAGTTACGATTAGTGAAACTGAATTCATTGGCCAACACTGACATGTATGATTCCACTACAAAAAAGCACATATTGGCATAAGCATAAAATCCCCTTTGGTATATGTGGGGCAGGGGATTTCATATGCAGGACTGCTTAAAATCTGGAGAAAACAAACAGAAAAAAATCTGCAGAGAAAACAAGCAGAAAAAATGTAGCAGTCACAGCATAGAAAAGGGAAAAAAAATGGGAAATGAGAATAAAATAGTGTGAGAGTTTTCGGAAAGGCAGTGAAGTCGTGATTTAATATGAAACAGGATATTATTATAAAACTACGCCAACACTGTGTTACTGTATGTGCGTGTTAGATGTTATTTTCTATTGTTGGGTTGAGAATTGCTCCCACACTACTAGGCCCACCCATACACGACTCCTAGATCCCTCACTGGTGCTGCTGTGTGAACAATACATGGTGAGGAGGGTGACTGGAGAGCTAGTACAGTATCATCAGGGGAAGGAATGTTACTTTGGAAATGAATAAAAAAGTCACGAATAATATGACACTTCCTATTTTAATTTATGGCAGTGAAATATGGTCTTGGAATGGTGTAGAAAGCTCTTAATATTCAAGCTACAGTTTAGACATGATTTATCTGAGGAATGCATCTGAAGTTACCAGAATGGAAAAGGGCAAGATATACTGAAGTAAATTTAGGGGGTGTGGAATGCATTGTGTGATTAAAGGTTAAGTGAGATGTTACTATATGGACATTTCGAAAAGATACAGGAAGAGAGGATAGCAGAGTAGGTGTACTGAGTAGAGGGAGGGAGACCACCTATAGTGTGAGAGGGAAAGGTGGAACAACGAGAGAGGGGATAAGAGGAAAAGAGAAGGCAAAAGAGGTAGGCAGGTAGATATAAGGTGGCCTTGAGATTCTTTTATTGTAGCCATGCCTTCGGGTGGGAGACGGGGGAGCTCCCTGAAAGAACGAGGCAGCATAGATAAGGGATCGTCTTATGCACCTCCAATGAATTAAAGCTAATGGCTTTCCTGGAACCACTAGTCACCGCACAACCTCATAACCATACAGAAAAATAGTCCTGGCCATTTGCAATGCAAGGTCACGGAGACACTGCCTGTTCTTACCTCACTGAAGGATTACAGGCGGCAGCGTTATGCCAGCCACTTCTTGCATACTGACCCAGATTCAGAAAGGGTCAGATTAATATTATAAAAAGCCTTAAAGAAATGATTTAAGTACCATACATAAAGACCGATAATTACTAATACAGTAGTGATATAGTCCCTGATAACCATCCCTGAATAGTCATATAATGGGGCAGACACTTGGCCATCATTTGAGGTTTGATGCAAAATGGGGAGTGGGATTAGTTTTGAAATCAAGATGGAAGCCCATAGTAGTGGCAGGAGTGGTAATGACTCAGTAGCTCAGCTCTAATTAGACCTCCTGCCTCTAAAGAGAAACTATTGTTTCTAATCTTCATGCCTCTGAGGGTTATGGCAGTAACTGGGAAGGATAGGCAATTGCAAGATCAGCCTCAGTTTTCACATGGAATACAACATGATGGTCAACCTCCTAAAATTAACAAACACAACACCATAATGAAAGTCACCTGGAAAAGAATGTCAAGCTAGACAATACAAATCATTTAAAATAACAACTGCTGATTCAACACTTCTGTAGGATGATTGGTGCAGTCAGTAATACAACATAATATACAGGGACCAATACCTCAACACTCCCCTGATTCTCCTTCACAGCTTACAGATATACTGTACTAGACTCTAAATCCATGTTTCTTCAGCAAATCTTGTTCAGTATTTGAGGAGTTACATAATGTATTGCACCTACTGTACTGTACTACCTACAGTAAGTTGGGTATTGGTATGAAATGTTACTTATACTTTCCATTATGAGGAAAGTTCCAAGAGAGAGATACTGTACTATGTCAACTCAGGGGTAATTTATAAGAACCTGAATGACCTTGGAGATATTTTTGTAAGTCCTCCACTATAAGTCAACTTATTCTACCATAAATCATAACGCTTGTGTAAAAATAATGGTGCGTCAAGGCCCGTGGCTACAACTTTTATTCTTATTAAGTAAAACCTTTATCATATTCCCCCAAAAATATTATTCAGAAAAATAAATCGATGCATATTAAAAATAATATTAATGAAGAATTATAAAATAACTGAAATAAATCACAGCACTTTTTAATAAGAATTAATTTTTTAAATGGAAGAATTCTTTTAAAATTAAAATATATATTACTTAATGAACAGTTGTATTATACCCTGTAATATTAACCTCAGGTATAAATAAATAAAGTATCAACACTGGTCCCTCTCACATGGATGGTACACATTGGCCACAAAACCCACCTCCCTAACATAGTGCATTATTTATAGTACTGTACAGTGTAAGAGGAACAGTACAGACACAACACATACCATGTTTTTTAGTTTATATTATAATCATTAGAAATTAAGTTTATTTGGGAGGATATTAAATTGGCTGTATCCCTCCATCATATATTAACAACTGGAATATTATTTATTAAGGGACTCAGATGTTAACTTCTCACCTTGACTAAAGATTCAACATGATGGTGCCTTTATACTGTACCTTGACACTGTACTGTATAATAACAATTTTGATTGTTTTACGGTAAACTCTCACAACACCAGACTACTGTAATTCTTGTAAGCACAGTCCATTATTGGGAAGATTCTGTTATTGAAAGGATTTACTGTATCTTGCAATAAATAAACAAGAGTACCAAGCACTCAATATTAAAGTCAGTTCAAGTATCAGTAACTGATTAAGAATATTTGTCCCTGGCTACTTCCTCAGGTGAAATGTATATAATTTCCTCTGTAAGACTACTGCCGACCTGTCTCCAAGCAGAAAATAAGAATGTATCAGTGAGCAGAGATTAGTATACATTTATGAAATAATTCAATACAGTATCTAGTTTCTGTATTGGTACAGTATTTATGTACCGTAGGAAAACTTATGTAAAATGGATTCATCATTAATAGAGGAAGGAACTTGGCTGTGGGTGGAAATGTAAACTCCACTTTTACTATAGGAGTTTATCAATATTTATATTATTACTTCTCATGGTGGCCTTACCTAGGAACACATCCCCTGATGTAGATGAGAACAACTTGTATTAACAAGTTCATCCCCTCACATCAGCCTCAGATGAAAAGGACATGGTGAAATGGTTGTCCTCTGGAGGTCACGAGGTCTTCTTTAACCCATTTCTGTCCTGTCATCACAATTCGCACCAAGGCTACTGTCCACCAAGGTTATGCAATCCACTAAGGTTACTCTCCACCAAGGCTACTGTCCACCAAGGCTATTCAGTCCACTAAGGCTATTGTCCACCAAGGCTATACAGTTCATCAAGGCTACTGTCCACTAAGGTTCTGTCCACTTAGGCTACTGTCCACTAAGGCTACTCTCTACCAATTCTGATTTCAAAGCCAACCCATCATTTTATATTTGAATCTCAGCATAATAACCCACAAACTGAGAGGAAGGGGAGAACATCTGAGCTGCCTAGTAGCAGGTTCTGCTAAGGACAGGATTTGAAGATCAATCCTCCAATTCGAGCATCTGCCTTTAACGCCTTCAATGACGAGATTCTTAGGAGAGAATTTTTCTTCACGAGATTATTCATGGAACCTAATTCTCACCAGTGTTGGTCATTTGTTTAATCTATCACTAGTGAATCTTCTCCACTACCTGGTAAGGCATCACCACAAAGAAGTGATACGTCAGGTGAAGTAGTCGCTCTCCCATCAGTATGACTCTCAGGAGTGAATGGATGAACTGATCAGAGAGGAGGTGGTGGTGGTGTCAATCTATAAACCTCTAATAAACAACACCTGCCAAGCGTGGTTTATAAGGAGAGTCTATAGGCCCTGAGTTACATTGTTAGACAAGAAATTGGCACATTTGAGTTTTATTTGTGGTTGGAAGAAATCAATCAGAGAACTGCATTGTAATTATTGAAGGGGTCAGGTCAGGTGGTTTTCATAATCAAAAGCCAGTTGACCTTGTTTTATATGCCATCTGTTACAGTTGGAAGAGTGGTACACACTCAACATACAGCTTCCCAGTGTTGTCACCTAACCTTCGGGAAACAAGGTATCAGGCCGTCAGTATCAATAGCCCCAATAATCAGTGGACCAAATCCCTACAATGTTGCATCAAGTGAGGTCATCCGAGAACCTCAGTTCATTGTTAACATACCTCAAACACTCGAGATACTTTTCACACTTAGTTTAAAAAAATAGTGCTTTCTTATCCCATTGGGACATGTGATATGATATGACTCCTTGCTATTGGTGTGACCTCGGTGCATCTCTTGCATTTGGTAATGCTGGATCTTAGTAACCATTCCTCTGACCACTTGTGAAGCTTACATAATTCTTCCTTAACTTTTCCCTGTACACTCATTTCTTAATTTCTCTGAACAGCTTAATGTCATCCACAGACATTTGCCTGGATGAATGTACAGTATAGCATCTGACATATCATTTATGAAACAAATGAACAACACAGATCCAGCACACTGCCCTATGGTACCCTCCTTGTCACTGGTACACCTGTCTGCAATCCAGGCAGGATGTCCCTCGAATTCAGTACCCTTTCAGTTTCATTTTCATCCTTCATGAGGTACACTATCAAAAGTCAGGGTACATATTGTCAATATTGCCACCATACTCCACGATTGGTGTCCACACATCCAGCATCTTAAACAATTGCATCAAACAGGAGCGTCCAGGCATGAAACCGAGCTGGCATTCATTTATTAGATTGTTTCATTGAAGATGTTCAAACACTGTATCACATATGATACTCTCTAGTACTTTACACACTAGAAGACTCTACACAGTATAACTAAACCAGTATGAGGTATGAACCAGTTGACCTGCAATGCAATGCTCATCACCATCATTATGGAATAACAATAAGTACCAAACTGGAAGCACACTGAATAATCTACACATTACAATTCACAGGATTTAAAAAATCACCAACTTGTTTGACCCAAAGAGTACGGTACAGTACTGTGTTATATTTCATAATGCATTTACTATGTCTTTGTCCCCCAGGAGTGAAAAGACCTTGGAGTCATCCATCATATTGTTATACAATTCATGAGGTGTTCCTCAGATTACTGGCTAGACTTGGAGAGTTAATATACAGTATCACCCCAATTAAAAAATGCTGCACTGCCTAACCCAAGCTACCTACAGACCTCCTTAAATGTGATTAAACTATGAACATCTAATATATACATGATAAAGTCCCCCAAATTCAGATCTGTTTCTCAGTAAAGGAGAGTCTTCCTATGACCCCCTAAACCAGCACAGGGCTCTCAGGCACCCACAAGTCATCTCCACTGCAGGACAAGGCCCAGACCCTACAAGATAAAACTTTGCCAACAATGTGGAGTGAAATATATGTGTGTGTGTGTGAGAACTATGGGTCAAGGCCTGGGGACAATGCTATCAATCCCGTGAAAAACACTAAAGAACTTGGGAGAGACGGCAAAAAATGCAAACAAGCCTTAAGAACCGATAAACGTGAGACCATATAGTACAGTACTGGTCTTACTCGCATGACAACATCTAGAGCTATAGTAGTCCCTGCCAACCATCCCTGATGTGTTACAAAGGGGCTCAACACTTAGTTTATGTAGTAAATAAACAACAAGATAAGAGAGAAAGTCTTGTGTATACAGAACTTCCAACAGCAGTCAGTGATAAACCAAATTTCAAAATGATGGATAGACATTGAAATGGAAGACAGCGGAGAGTAGCCTCGGTGTGTTAGTTGGGTAAACACGACTCAAAGACTTACTGTTCTCCAGAGGGTATTGTTGTACCAAGGCCCCATCAAGACCCTTTAAGTCCCTATAAAGACCCTCTAAGTTCCCATCAAGAGGGTAACCTGGAGAGGAAGGAGGGGCAACTACCCAGTTAATTTTCATGCTCACAAAGAAATATTAGTAGGTATTTACACACAAAAATTATCCCCAAATGTATATCTACACCACTCACTTCTATCATAATTAAAATAAAAAAAATAAAACACACTTCTGTTAGATAAAATTAAAACCATAAAGAACCAATACGAAAGCATGAAATTCTAAAAAAAAAAAAGGTAACCGAGTACGAAATTATTATTAAAAATTATCAGGAGAGACACACATCACAAGCCACAATTTACACATCATAAGGAGAAAACCAAGAGGGGACATAAACCTTGCTGTGGGAGATATGGTGGGCTGGGGCAATACTGGGAGGGGGGTGTGTGAAGTTATACTGGGAGGGGGGTGTGTGAAGTTATACTGGGAGGGCGGTGTGTGAAGTTATACTGGGAGGGCGGTGTGTGAAGTTATACTGGGAGGGCGGTGTGTGAAGTTATACTGGGAGGGGGGTGTGTGAAGTTATACTGTACTGGGATGGGGGGTGAGGTTATACTGGGATGGGGGATGAGGTAATACTGGGATGGGGGATGAGGTTATACTGGGATGATGGAGGGGTTTTACTGGAACACAGAGAACCCACAAGCCACTCATCTTAAACATATCTCCATCCCTATAAACTGAGAAGCCGCATGTGGTCCTGATCCCTGAAACCAAGGGAAGGTACGCAGGTGAATTTTCAGTCCTTGGGGGTTATGACTTTGTGCCAGAACTGTCAAAATGAAGGAATTATTTTAACCCAAGTTGAAGTAAGATAAAATGTGTGTGATGTCACCATGAATGTTCAGTGTCTTAGCTGGGGGTTCTTACACAAAGCAGGATACACTTACATCTCTACATAAAGACATTTTCAAACACATCATAACCTACATGACTGTGAGTACAATAATGATCTCAGTGTTTCTCCTGCCATATAAACATTCATTAATATTATCTCTCACCAAAGTAGTAGTCCGTCATCACTTCATTTACTGTACCGCAAACTTACTGGGCCTAATGATACTGTACTGTACAGGTATATACATAAATCAATGGCTGGTGCTGTGACATATGGATAGAATATTATAAAATAAGAGAGAGAGTTAATAAAATAAGATAAATATTGTAAACAAAATTTTTCACTCAACCTAATCTAACCCAACCCAACCCAACCCAACCTAACTTAGCCCACCCCAACCTAACCTACCATAACCTAACTTAACCCAACCCTAACATACTTATATTGTACCAATGTTCAATTTTCAGTACAAAAACACCATTCATTTTAAGACATAGTACGGAATAATCTGTCCTTAGTATCTCCTGACAGATGGAAATATTACAACCATAAGGAATAGCGACAAGAAGATTAGACAAAAAAAAGTACGTAAAAAAATAATCATCAGTGCTGAATAAACTACAGGTAATACACCATAACTTAAAACAACATTGTAAAATAAAGGATACTGTAGAGGCGACAGATTACAGACAAATACGGAAAAGATATCTCAGGGGTGACGTATATGATTGTAAACTGTCTGGTGTGTTAGTGAGAAATAAACCACTATGAAGATAAAGTTCTGTAAGCCACTAAAGACTAGCTCTGGCCTGACAACATTCCTTCACATACCACTTTCTAATCACGTATATTTGCACAATTATAAGCCAATAATTTTCTACATGCTCTTTAGGAATACAATATCACATATTAAAAGTAGAAAATAAACTAAAAAATATTCCGTGTGTTATTGACAAGAGCTATAATAAATTTAACCCACGTCGTGCAGATAAGTGAAATTGGCATCACACTTTTGGTTACACAGAGCCAAACAATAAATTTTTAGTAGTGTACATGAGTTTCTAATGATGCACTCAAGTTTTTAGAGATGCACTTGAGTTTTTAGTGATGTATTTGAGATTTTAGAAATGCACTTAAAAGGAGAAGCTGCTCAAGAACTAGCTGCCAGATGATATTGATTTATATAGGTTCAAGAGTAATAATAGTCAATCGGCAATAGAAACAAAACAGCGCTGACACCATTTGACTCCTATTTTTGTCCTAAAGTCTTTCAATAATTAACATTATCACACATTCAACTGATGAATTATAGTTAAGTGTAATTTTTCATACTTGGTCGTCTTAAAAGTTTTGACGACTCAGGTGTTGGAGAAAAGACGTCACTTGGGTAAAAAGGTAACATTGGAAAGTTCAGATAAGACATTGAGGATCTGCACAACTCTGCTCCTGGACTAGAGGTATAAGGCTGCACGATGTAGGTTAATAGCGTGTGTGTGTATGTGTGTGTGTGTGTGTGTGTGTGTGTGTGTGTGTGTGTGTGTGGAGGCTTCCTTCACGTGTCCTTCATACAGCATTGCTCTTTGGTGTATGTCTGGAAATGTATACAGTTCACACACACTCATTCTTTCCAACACTCTAAGCAGTTGTAAGATAATATTATAAAAATTACCAGTAAAACTAAAATTCTTTCATTCTCAAGATGTGGAATTCCTTTTCTTCACAACCACAGAGGATATTTAAGTTCTACAACAAACAGAGACTTGCTACAGTAATAAATCTTATGTAAAACTTCAATAAAAATGTCCCACATCAATTCAGAATCAAAAATAGGTTCCCACAGTCCCAGCACTCATGATAGTATGTATTTAAGCTAATGACAAACCTCGGTTCTCGTACAGTATTCTATCTCCACCAAAGATCTCTCGTTACCAGTTCCAAATTAATACAATGGTCATCATGTGTGCCATCAATACTCCCAAACCATTACCATCCTTCTGACCCTGGTTGCAAAATAAGCCACACCTTAACTCTGTGTAATGTTAGGAGTGGTGATCGTGCCTCGGCTGCTGCTGTTGTTGCGAGATTCTCATCAACAAGTAGCTAGAATATCAGTACTTAAACGCCCCGTGCTGAGCCGCTCGCTGGATGAAGTTCTTAACGGTTAATTCGTCGAGGGCCATAAATGCCTCGGTCTGTGCAACTTCTGTCATGTGATTGAGTGCGAAGCGGAAGCAAAACTCCTCCAGCTCCTAGAAAAAAGTAAAAAAAAAAAAAAAAGCAAAAAGCAAAAGCAAATTTTGACATCAAAAGAGACTGACAGTGAGATGTAAAGTTCAAACGGGCTGAATTACATAAATATGATGTCAGTCACACCTAGATCACATGAATATCAAACAATTACCCAACTTTGCACTATCTGATTTAAGACAACCATAAAGCAAAGATCTAAAGCATGTAAGAGGAAACTAACCAGGCCAGGTCACAAGCATAAGGCTCAAGAAGACAGTGAGAAATGACAGCTTGAAGTACAAGATCTTATTTTATAATTGAAAGGATGAGATGAGTGGTTGGCAAACATTTCATCGCCGGCCTATTGAATACCTTGTTATATCTATTAAATTTAGATAACAATGTCTTTATTTTGGAGATGATGAAGCCATGGTTAGGTTAGGTTAGGTTACGTTAAGTTTACACTGAACAGGCGATGAATTGTCCAGTGACGAAATGTCCTAGAACCAAGATGAATGGCTTTTTAAATGCACCCTCACTAAAAAATTACCCTAGTTAAGCCAGCCACTGCCAGGGAGCTAGAACTGTTTAGCGGCAAGACACAAGACCCATGTGGACAATTATATTATGTGCTGTGATCAAGTTTCCCCACCCAGTCAAATGCTGGATCTGAACCTTATATCTGCTGGCTGTCTCAATAGATCAGTGGGGCTTCAGGTCAGAGTCAAGCTGCCAGTCACCTTAATGTACAGTGGATCCTCAACAAAGTCAAGCTGGGTTCCAGTCTTGTTCTCTCGTGAAGTGTTTTGTATCTTAAAATATAAACGGATATCTTAATCATAGAAATTCTTATATGACCCCAAAACTCTTTTATTATAAAGAAGTGTAAGCCATTAAAGCTCATATAAGAATTATCTTAAACTTTTACTATCAATAATGCAGCCATCATCCCTACAAAACTCCCAGTAGCATTGTTCAGCTGTTTTTGTATGTACGGTAGTATTTATCTGCCACACAATGACAGTTCTCCACAGGTCAGTCTCACAATTATGTAACTAACGACAGAAATGGCCTCTTTAATATTCTTTTTAGCTGAACTATAAACAATTCCCAGTCAAAGCAACCTCATCTTTTACTTGTCTGTTATACAAGTCACATCCACTGGCTCAACAAACATGCACTTTCCACAATTTAAAGTTTACGTTACATACAAAAGGTGAATTGAATTAATACTTACAGTGGCTTCATACTTAATGGCAACGGCATAAAGCATGGCAGCATTCTCAGTAGTGATGCCGTGACGGATAATCCGTTCACACTGGTGCTTCAAAGCTTCTTCACAATAAGCATTTGCTAGTTCAAGTAATCCTGGAAATTAAGCATTATTTTTTTTTAAAGTACAGTACTGTATACGCATTTTTCCCTCGGCTTAAAAACTTTGAAATTAATCTGATAACTGGCCTTTTCCTCAAAACTCAGATTGGTCAATATTCCCCATTTAACACAGTAAACTCCCTAACATGAGTGTGGTATGTCTATGTTGTCAGACACTAGAACTGAGGAACTGAGCCAGAAATCACCTTTCTGAACGAGGTCAAGGTCGTATAAGTTGTAACTGACTCAGGCTTCTACAGACTTTACAAACTTGTCACTTGGTCCAGTAATTTACTATTACAAAATACCTTGCCGTACAGTACATTATTAGTGTTTCATTTTAAGGGCTAAATCCTTAATGGAACAAAAATCTGGATACCCTGTCTAGTGTGCTCCTTAAATACAATAGAATATAGTAGAGAAGAGCAGTCCTTCAACTCACCTATAGCATCCTCTGGTGAGACATTAACTGTATCAGTATAAATATATTGTAAAAATGCTCGAAACACCACAAATGAGTAGTCCTTCACCTCAACCTCTCTGTAAAGAGAAAAAAGAGAAAGAAGGTAAATTAACATCAGTGCTACACAACTAAACAGAGAGAGAAGGAATCCCTAAAACACTTTAACATACAAAGCAAACTTTTTTGGAGTGAGAGTTGTGAATTCTTGGAACAAACTGTCAGTGTCTGGTCAAGACCAGACTTGATATAACACTGGTGCAGATACATTCTGGAGCCAGTACATGTCCAGTTACTTGCCAACAGCATAAAGAAACTATTCAATACTAACACCACATCACACCAACCACTGTCTAATATATATATATATATATATATATATATATATATATATATATATATATATATATATATATATATATATATATATATATATATATATATATATATATATATATATATATATATATATATATATATATATATATATATATATATATATATATATATATATATATATATATATATATATATATATATATATATATATATATATATATATATATACACAAATGACACTGTGCGTGATCTGGGTATGTGCACAGTAACCAGATGCGCTTCGTAACAGAATATATATATATATATATATATATATATATATATATATATATATATATATATATATATATATATATATATTTTTTTTTTTTTTTTTTTTTCATGTACTAAATAATTCATCATAAATGTTGGCTAAATGTATGAACATTAGTGATAAAGTTGTCTTTTTTCTCCTTTTTGCATTTTCATGATACAGTACAGTAATGTATATTTTTCCTACTCTGGTGGAAAATTACAATCCTAATACTTGAAGAAAGGACAAAGGCTTAACTTTTATAATGTTGCATAAAATAATTAATAGGAAAATTATAAATTTATACTGAAGGAAAACAGAGAAATGGACATGGAATCCCCACTTTATGGCCAAAAGAAGTATTAAAGTAACTGGTATGATACACACTCAGAGCTCCCCTGGCGGAGAAAAGGGTCACCTACTCACCTTCACTCTCAGACACGAAAAACCACCCTCCACAAATAAGCTAATGGTTGCCTTACAGAGACTTAACCCTAATTCAGTATAGTCAGCTGTCTGTTCAATTTAAGTATCTCAATGTGCCATAAAATTGTGCAAAACATAACACACAATAATCCCTTGAATGATAATGGCAAATGCACACCCAATTTACCCTGAGGCGGGATATCCAGTACAAGCTTCCAAAATGGAAATTTCCTGACATACCATTCCAGACTATAGTCATCCAAGGAACACGAATATCCTCTAAGTAACTTTAGGTCAGATCCTCTGTCTGAAATAAAACTATCCTAAAATAGACTGAGTTACTGCACTGTGAGGCTAAGGCACAGTGGCAAGTGGTTTCAGTCTGGCTACCAACCCACCAGTCATCCATAACCTCATCACACATCATGTAAACAAGTGAATAAAAACCTAAATCTCAGTTTCACTTAAAAATAACAATTAAAACTATATTGACTTCAGACAACCATTCCTGGTGTGTCTCACGAGGATTCAACACTTGATTTTTGTAGAAATAAACAGGCCAGGGAAGAGCCAGTCTGAGATATCCATTAACAACGGCCAGAGTCATGGATTGTGTGAAGTGTGTTGACTGGTCAGACACGTCTCTAACAAACCTCGTCTCCTGATTTCCCTCGTGTGGAACAATGGATGTGTGGGAGAAGGAAGAATGACTGGTTTACCCCAAGGTGGGTTAATTTATCAACCCTGTCTGACATATGTGGAGCTGTGTGAGGACGTCGCACCCTTCAGCAGGCAACGTACCGCAAGACCTGCCTGGTTAAGGAGCTTCATCCATAACCAGAACAAATCCTTCTAAACATCCTTAACGTAACAAGACAGGTTTACTTAACATCTTCCCAATAACCACAGAAAAGAAACAATAAACAGTGAGACTCAAAACCAAGAATCAGTTTTACTTGCCGATGTAGCAGGTAGTGGGTGAGGGGTTGGTCAAATGATCTACCGTAATTTCTATGATTGGAATGAAATGAAGAACAGTTCGTCTCAGTGAACAATTGACTTGGCTCTCTGACCTCTCTACTTTTATTGGCAACACCCACATCATTCTGAGAGCCCTTTCTTTAGCACTGATGGATCCATATTTGGTTGGGGAGGTAGTTTAATCAGTAGTAACAACAGCTGTGTTTATGGGGTGCCAGTAAAGGCTCTATCATGCTGCATGGTGAGTGCTGTAATCACAAACCATCTGCATAGCCTTATAATTAACAATAGTATCTCTCGCTGACCTACAGTTGACTCTAAGATACCCTTCTAGGCTTTCAATGATGGTGTGTGTGTGTGTGTATGTGTGTGTGTTGTGTGTGTGTGTTGTATGTGTGTGTGTTGTATGTGTGTGTGTTGTGTGTGTGTGTGTGTGTTTGTGTGTGTTGTGTGTGGTTATGTGAGTGTGTGTTAAAGTGAGTGAGTGAGTGTGTTCAGTACAATACAATATTCTAAAAACTTAACACCCAAACTTTAAAGAGATTCTCTTACTCTAAATTATTCTCCTTCCAATGTTCTTGAAACATGTTACGGAAGTACTGACATCTAATCTTGAGGACTGCACGATGGGCCCGAATCCTTCGCTCATCTACCATAAAAACCACGTCAGCCGTCTCCTGATAAAGTAAATGATTCTCTATGTAAACTTACTGCACTGCAAAATTTATGAAACAATAATACATGAACAATAAACCCTTTTAATAACAGACTTATCAATAAAGTAATGGATAAAGTAAACCCTCTCAATAGTGGATATTCTCAATAACAGAATCCTCCCAATAATGGACAGGGCTTGCAAGAATTAGTTTGGTATTGGGAGAGTTTACTGTAGATGAAGTTCAGTACATCACCCCCAATATGTGGTGTAACTTAAGTTTATAAACAAAGCCTGATACCTCTTAAGTGGTTCTATGGTGAGGGAAGGAGGGGGGGTGGGTAAAGAAATATATACCATTAAACTCTGTCTCCATGATAACAATGCAATAATTGACGCACATCACGTAGCTCCTCCGAACCAACATAAACCTTCCACAATGACCAAAACATTACAATGACTTCAAAATCATTATCAATAAAGTGCCAATACATAACTTTCAAAATTCAAAGCCTTTTAGTACCCCAGAATACTAAACTACTGTACTTCCACTTATAAAGTCTTGCACAAACTGCATTGCATTTGATGGCAGACAATACATCAACATTCATTATGCCAGATATCTCTCAAGGACAGTACCTGCCACTGCAAACCACACATTGAAGACTGTCTGTATGAAGGTGTGTAAGAGATTTAGTGAGTGAGAGCAGTATTGCCTTTCTTAAGAGTGTAGCTACATGCCTTTCTCCCACTCAGTAAAATATTATAGGCACCAAATTGAAGACTGAGGTAAATAATTCTCTCATAAGTGTGTCCTGAGTTTGAGTCCTGGCCTGGGACAGATGTGAGAAGGGTCTGACACTACCAAACATGGCAGGTTTCCCCCAGGCACAATACTCCGGTTTCCTCCTGTACTAACACTTGTCAATAAGGTTCATAACAATTTAATAAAGAACAGATCATCCACCTGAATGACTAGTAGGCTGATATGTGGTGAAATGACAAATTATATAACTTAAGTGAGCTTTACAAGAGACAGAGCTCCCCTGGGTAAAGTCTGCCTGTACCCAGGAAGCATTATACTTCATGTTAGGTATAGTACAGTACAATATCCAAACAGATAATCTTGTGCTAGATGGTGTGTCTGCAGCCAATTCCACCTAGATATACTGTACTACTGTATAATCTAAACATGATCTAAATCAAAATTCAATCATTTTCTTAAGGACTGTTGAAGTACCAGTTCCAATGTACTTCAGACTGTACTTGTATTATTTTTTACTACAATTCAATGGGCCAGGTCATGGACTGGTTGAAAATCCATAGATTAGGAAAGATTTATTGTATGTACACACAGGATTATTCCTAGAGTACTGTATTTGGCACCCAGGGCAGACCTATCCATTGGCAACCCCTTCCTTCCAGAGATGAATAAATATACAGAAAAAGTAAAATACACAATCGTCCCTAGAGTACTGGGCACCCAGGGCAGGGCATTCCTTTGCCCCCTTACTCTTCCTCTACTGAGACGAATGATAAAAAAAATAATAATACTTTTAAGGAATTTTGGATTATACATAGTAAATATTATAAATGTTTTAGTGTCCTTCTATTAATATGGAAAATTATTATTATTTTTTTTACTAAAGTATAATGTAGCCTACATCAAGTGTAATACAGTACAGTATTCGTAAATAAAAAGCAGGTTTGTAAATGTGGATGATATTTAGGAAATGTACAGTATATATAAACAAATGTATTTCCTAATTTCAACAAAATTTACACAATACAACAAAGCACATACAAGTAATTCAAATATACAAAGTACAGAAACCAAACTGTATATAACTACAAATTACACATTAAATAAAGTATTACACAATGAGAAAGGTGCAGCCTTCTTCAACTCACTTTTATCAGAAACTTGACCAATAGCACTAGATTGTTCTAAAAACATAGGAACCACAAGATACAAGCGGTATACTTTCATCTAACGCCAAAAAAAATATATACTATATATTAGTTTTACAGCCTCATCGTTCGTGACTTAGCTTCAGCAAACTTACTAATTATTTCATCAAAATTAACTGTCTTGGCACATTCATTTTCGATGGAAATCATAGCTAGGCTGTTCAATCTTGCCTGAGTCATGCTCGAACGAAGATAATTCTTGATGAGTTTCAGTTTAGAGAAACTTCTTTCACATGATGCAACAGACACACATATTGATAAAAAGAATCTCAGGCACAATGACAAGTTAGGCAAGGTTTCACAAAAGTCCCATTTGACAATAAACATCAGGAACTGCAAGACTGTCCATTTATTTGCTTCTTCAGGTGTGATTTTGGCAGCCTCCATGTGTCTGCGAAATTGCAAAATTTCTACCATGACATCCTCATCAGAAATTTCATTAAAAATCTTGGTCATGCTTGAATTTGAAATACTCCCCTGAAGTTGTTCTTCTTTTGCAGAAAGCAAGTAGCTTGGCTGAATAGCTGCAAATATTGACAAGATGTTATCCATGGCCTTTGAACGAGCATCCAATTCTAAACAAAATCGATCTAAGCATTCAAACTTTGATCTCATTTCCTCTTGCATTGTCAGTCCAGCATCCCTAACCATCTCTCCTGGCATCATTTTCTTATGTCTTATCCTCCCTCTTGTTTCCACAGAGATGCCCATTTCTTCACATTATGTAGTTGCATATTGCACTGCCAGACAGTGTGAAATATTGAGATTAAATGTTTTTTTTTCATTTTCTCATCTACATTGTACATTTTCTATAGATTTACATATTTATAAATTATTTTTCCATCCACTTTCACATATTTGATGATTTCGCAAGTGTGCTTCAAATAACTGTATAGTACGATAATACGGCGTTGGAAATCGAGCATGCTGGGACAGGGAACATGTTCCCACTTCTCTATTCCTCACTTCACATGTAGTTTTTGCAGAAAAATAAAGGCAATGTATTTTACGGGTGTTCAAAAACTGTTAAGCAAATTTTATGAGCTCTGTTAGTCATTATATACAAGTATTAAAATGCTTAATGATTGTTACACATTCAGTACAGTAATAACCATATTATATACTGTACTGCAGTAAATTCATGTATTTTAAAATTGTGTAAATAAAATATTTAAAATTATTTTTATGACTTCTATTATCCTGTAATATAAGTCTATACACAAAGATTAGGATGCTGAATTACACCATCTTCAACCTCAGATTATTTCCTAAGATTCAGTGCAAATGAAAGGGCTCGCTACGCTCGCCAGACTTCTCAGTAATTTGGAAACCCCCCTACTCAATTACTGGGTGCGTCCCTGTGAGATGCTCCTTGGGAGGCTTCAAGGTCAGAAACCTTTGGGTTCAGCTTCCACCATGTTTTAAACCCAGTTACAAAGCTAGATGCTCCAATCCTTTTATCACTATCAGCAAATAGTCTGCAGCAAAAGCAAAACAAACTCTCTTTGGATGGAGAGTAAACCATCCAAGTTCTTAAAACCGTCTCTCCATTTAGCAGAACTTTATAAAACCATGCAGGAGTGAGCTCTCGTGTCTCTCCTTTCAATTTCTCTCCTGGCCTTTGTACTGAACTAAACAGTCCATCCCTATTTTGGAAAGGTTTTCTTCCCCGTTTTATAATATCATCTCTTAAATCCTTTGGTACTGGGATTGGCCACACAGCTACATCAGAATATACGGGTACCAGTATTTCAGTTCTCTCTTCATCGGTTTTGTCCTCTTGTTGATGTGTTGGTGATTTTCTTATATCATATGCGTCTTTTCCCTCACTTTCAGTACTTTCAAACTTTGAAGGTGAATTACTATCCTTTATATGTCATCATTTTCACTAGAATATTTTGCTGAAGACTTTTCCTTTATTTGGCTTACATCCTCACTCTGTAGTCTCTGTTCTTCACAACATTCCCCTGCTGTACTTGAGATTGATGGTAAATTCACATACTACAGTCGACCCTCGTTAATTCAGACCCCTTTAATCCGGATTTCGGATAGGGTAATTCGGACGAAATCTGAACTAAGTCATTGTTGATTTGGCTCCATATTCGAGTATCAGTGTTGTGTTGCCCTGCAATTTTCGTTGATATTTCAGTGATTAGGGATCTTTCAGCCTTGTATTTTACATCATGATCTTCAAGGGGGAGTAATACGCTGAAGAGGAAGTATGTGACCATTTCTGTGAACCAGAAACTGGAACTTATAAGGAAGTTAGAGGCTGGTGCTTCGGTGGCTAGAGTTTGTGACGAGTATAGTGTTAAAAAGCAAACAGTTTCGGACATATGCAAGGCTAAGGACAAACTCACTGCATTTCCTTTGAAATATAATGCAATATTATGCAATATTAACCCCTAAATCAGTTAATTCAGACAATCGGCTAAAACGGACACCCTACCCCCCCTATTAGTCCATTTTAACGAGGGTCGACTGTACTTTAAAATTGATCCAGACATTTCCCGGGTCACCTGTTCCCTTTCCTTTTTTACTTTTCTTTGCTGAAATCCACTGGGGCGGTTTTTCTTTATCTTGAAAATCTTATGCAGTTATGCCAAATTCTGCGAAATGAGGAAAAAAAATACACGGAACATACACAACATAGAACGGACAAACTGTAGTTTTGCAATATTTATATATATATATTACATTTATAGAGCGCTTCAGTTATCACTACAAGCATTATGCAATATGCACGCAGCACTCGGTAGCCTACCAATGTATAATTTACCATTATAAACAATTTCAAACTATTGAGATCTACAGTGCACTTCTCAAGGATTATTCCTTCTGTTTACAGATACTTCTGTTGGGGTCAGGAAGACAGTGGTATACACTGTACAGAACTCCAAAACCGATAAATGAGGCGTTTAGCTCACTGATCACTCTTGTGGACACCTCACGTATCTAACTCTAACGTTTTTACTATGAAAAAGTAGAAGAGGTACCGATCACACTTACCCAAGGTCAAGGATCAGATCATCAAAGTAAAATCATGCAGCATAACAAGACAAGACAACAGCGTACGTCAACCTCCTATAATGTCTCTGCCCATAAAGAAGGCTAAGAAGCGCGAGTTGGCAATTTGGCAAGTAAGGGAAGACGGGGCCTGGGAAGCAGTTATGCATGCGCATTCGATTAATTTGTACGTTTTCTTTGTTCTGTGAATTTGAAAATGAGATGGATGAAGGGGCAATTAAATTGAATGACGAAATTTTCGCACTGATAATTCGTAAGTTGTACTTAGATTTTGTCAAAAAGAAAAAAGAAAGAAAGAAAGGCTACAGAGGACAGATATTTATTTATTTATGAGCCTCATGGTACCCCCCTCTGGCTGTCACCCGGGGCGGACCGTCCCCCCCACCTTAGTACGCCTCCGTGTACACAGCTCCAAGAAGAGTCTCTACGGTTTTATGTTTGACAATATGACAACGGACAAAGGATTTTGACAACACTACCGAGAAATCAAGAGTTGCAGTGTTCATTTTGAAATTCATAGGATCTCTTCATAAAGATACTTTTTGGAGCGAGAGGACACAACCTTTATTATATTCTCCCTGAGTCAAGGCTACTCCTCTATTCCAATTATATAACTCAGAACAGTAAACTATTATCACCATACAACAAAAGGTACTCGAGCAAAACATACACACCTCATCATCTAAAGCCAGTGCCATGGCCTGTGCTAAAGAGGAGCGAGTAAAGGTGGTGACACTGACGGGCTCGTATGTCACACTTGGTGAGGCCCACAGAGCAAACACCTCATGTAGACTGCTGAACCCTGTCTCTAATGGGCCCACTACACTCTGAGCTAGAAGAAAAAATTAAATATTAAAAAATATTGAAAATATCTTAGCTTGATACTCCTACAGCAGACCCCCAAGTAAGTTGTGAATGTAGCAAGATAATAATTTTTTAAGTACAGTAAGTCCTCGTTTAATGTTGCCCCCGACAATGTTCCGTTATAACATCATAACATCATCACGGACTACTTTATACGGTGCATCACCCTCTCTCACCCAGTCAGAGCGGGAGGAGGAGCCACCCTCCGGGTCTCAGTGACTCCTCCCCCTCCTCTCCACTACCCACCACACACACTCGCTCCACCTCCGCCCATCAGTGAGTACAATACAAAATGATTTAGTTTATTTATCTTTTGGGATGTACAGTACAGTATAATACATACTATTTTCTATACAAATTCCATTGAATTTATGTATATGTAATGTTTATTTTATGAGGCAAAGGGAGGTTGTGGAACATAACTAGTGTATTTTATCTATTTCTTATGGGGAAAATCGATTCCGTTAACGTCGTGGTTTTCAGGAACGGAAACACAACGTTAAGCGACGACTTACTGTATAAGACTGGAAGAGCTCAATTAAATCTGTCTAATAATTACCATGTAAAAAGTGAAAGACCTGAATACCGTACTGTATCGTAACAGTCATCTATGGCACCAAGGAAGCAACTCAGTGGGTCTACCTTTGAATCTCAGAGGATACTTGTTGCTGATCCCTTAGTCATAAAGATACATACCTTTACAGTGTCCCCAGAGATATATTTTAGAATTTTGAGTCATTGCAGCCGAGAGGTGGCAGTAATGTGACGAGGCAATGTCAACAATGCGACCTAGATCCTGCGCCACTCTGACCGGGGCACACTGATTGGCCTTATTTCCTGTCCCCAACTGACCATAGCTGTTGGCACCCCAAGCCCACAAGCTGCCCTCGTCACTTAGGGCAAGAGTATGAGAATATCCACAAACAATCTGGGGGAAATGAACTGTGAAAGTACGGCTCTTGTTTCTCTTATTTAGTATATAACGAAAGAACACCTACTGATTAACATTAACAAATAACTATATAAAAATAAATAAATTGATCACTAAAGATACATGAATCATTTATCTAATCACTACTTCTTACTTTAAGTATTTTACAATATGGTTTCTCATATAATGCAAAAATACCATCGATCTGTCTATTACCAAAAGAGGTTGAGGATTATCAAGAGAGATCAAAGTCACACCAGCAATTCCACACTCCTGGCTGTGTTTCCTTTGTTGCTATATAACCAACTGTCCAAAGGCATCCTACCCACTCCCCATTAACACATGTATAATAATAGACTAACAGCACAGATCTGGAATGGCTGGAGGGTCACCATAACATGAACAACAATGCATGAAAAGAAACCCACAATGGCAGACAAATATTTATTCCAAACATTTTGTCTGCCATTGTGGGTTTCTTCTCATACACAGGTCAGGGATATTCTACTGCTGATGTATATTGGGATGATAAATATTACAACTTATTTAATACTATCAGGAGAACCAATTATCTGAGGGATCCTTCTGAGAGGTGGGAGTGATGCTGAGTTTCTCTTCACTGTACTGTACTTCAAGGGAGAGGAAGGGAAGATTGCACACAGGTCGGCTTCAGGTTGACTGTGACCAAAGATGAAAGAACAACACTTCCACAATAGTACCAGGTAGTAATTTAGCTCCTTAACTATGAAGATGCCACTTTTAATATTTTATTTAGTTAATGCCAGATGATTTTTTCAGCACAGAGGAAACACCATACACAAGAGGTTAAAATATTACTGATCTAATCTTTATATCAGGAATAATGAATGTTTCAAAATTTTTTCCAGAGTAGTTTAGATGAGGATGCTAATGAGGACAAACCTTTGTGATGACAACACCTTGGAGGGCCGTCACTCTACACGGGTTGTGTTGGTTCACGTTATTGCCAAGACCTAACTGTCCATTGCTGTTCAGGCCCCATCCATAGACCTGAAGCACAAAAGGTAAACAAATACACCAATATGTCAAGGATTGGAGTCTTGCTTGGTTCGGGCACACATGAGAAGGGTGTTATCCAGTATGATCCTCACTACTAAACATCACTGGCTTTCTCTGGGTACAGTACTCCAGTTTCCTCCTGTACTAACACTGGATAGACCAACCACCCAAATGGCTAATAAGCTGACAATTGGGAAAATGATACGTATATACAAATCTCCATTTCTGGATAATTCTTATTCTTCAATTAAGATCTCTGTGAATAATCTACTTACCAAATAAAAGGAAGCACAAACACAGCCTTATATTACTACCTGTACCTATCATCCCCTGCTGTGTTCCAGGACATGGTTAATGTTGTCATTAGTAGTCCTCTAGTTATAAAAATACATAAAGACATGGGTAAAAACATGGACCAACCTCTCCATTATCCATTACGGCCATGGAGGACGTCTGACCACACGCTATATCCACCACTCGTCTTCCTCCTATGCTGGCGATAACCTTCCTAGGAGTGGGCTGATTGGTTGTTGTTCCTGAACCAACTTGCCCACAATTGTTCTGTCCCCAAGCAAGTACCTGTTGATAATACACTGACTGAGCACAATACGTGTATTTACAATCCAAATGTAACAACAAATGTAACCAATCAAAATGCCACACCCTCAATGTTGTAACTATGATAATAATTCATGCGCCAACCAATTAAATATTCAGACAGACGTAAATATGTACAATAATCAGAAATATATTAACTAAATGTTATAGTATATACTGATTCTTTACTAACAGGTGTCTCAAACTGGAATTACAGAATATTTTGTAGAAGTTAAAACGAGACACGACCAAAGGGTGAAAACTAAATATCACTTCAAGACGATAAGCTCTGTCTGGTCTACGGTCTAACCTCGCCTTCTTCCGTCAGTGCCAGTGAATGGTGTGACCCAGCAGCAATCCTCGCCACACGTTTGTTGTGCAGGTGAGTAGTGACCAGGTAGGGTGTGAGGCCTTGATTAGTGGAGCCATTCCCAAGTTGACAATACCCGTTGTGTCCCCACGAATACAGTTCTCCACTTTCTGTGTACGCTAAGACATGTGGACCACTTCCATAGGCAATACCTGTGAAATAAAACTATCTGATACATCTGATTGTTGTATTGTACAGTATATATATAATTCTTCATTTTAATGTATTCTAAAGTTTTAACACATAATTCAAAAAATTTCCTTTTACCTAACTAGTGTGGACCCACGCAAGGAGTTGATAACCTTCATTTCTTCTTGTATTAAGTTACCAGACTAATAATGAAAGAGTTATACATACATCAAACCCCTTTTTTTATGAGTGTGGAATCTAGCAAGTGATATACAATACCAGTATGGGAAACAGACCACCATCAAGCCCCCTAAGCCAACTCCACTCATTTGACCTTACCAGTGGCAGGAGCATGGTACAACACCCTACAATACTTACTTAAACTGAATGAATATTACCAAACAGCTAACCAAGTAATTATTAATATGACAATACAATACTAATAAATATAAAAATTTAAATGAACTACAACAAAATGAAAGGTTTGTAATTATAATGGCACCAGTTTGTTCATGTTACATAAAGATGCCTATCCATACCTTTAACCTTTTTCTGACACAATGGTTCAATTTTTCGAGGTTCCATTGTGCTGTTCTGGTCCCCGACACCAAGGCAGCCTGAACCATTGAACCCGAGAGCATAGACGTCGTCATCTTTTGTTACTATAACCGCTTCGTTACCAAGACTACCTGGAAGTGAAAAATATTCCATTGATAAATTTGAGATTAGGGTTACAGGTAAAGGGATACTGTAACCATCAAAGAATACAGCTTTATGGTACAATGTTTAATTTACTGTTCTCTGGGCAGATGGGTCCAAAAAACATTAAGAAACTCAAAAGTTAGGTTTGCAACACGCAAGAACATATTTATTAAATTTGTGCAATGGATACAGTATTAAGAAATCCTGATGAAAATTTATTTATAAAAAAACTCGGTTTATTTTTTTGCGGCCCGATGCACCAATGTGGTTGACAGTACTGCACGTATTGAGCCAATGAGGTTTGAGGAGCTTCTTCAGTTATATTATTTCAGCCAATCAGAAGCAAGTACAAGTAATCCTCATCGTTCCCACCAAGTTACTTAGATGCTTCCAGATTCGATTCAATATACAATTCTGTTGAGCAAGGCATTCTATCTGTTGTATATTTCCCTAGTAAGTTAAATTAACATAAGGTAAGATATTCAAGGTTAGGTTAGGTTAGGCTAGAAATTGTTAGGTTAGAAATTGTTAGGTTAGGTTAGTAATGGTTTTGGTTAGGTTTCAGTTCCAAAGAATTTACACATGATATGCATGTCAGAAAAAATATGAATCATACAGAAATCCATTAAAAATATTTCTGAAAAAAATGAAAAAAAAGAAAGATGAGGCAAGTTTAAGTCACATGATCACTGAATTTTCTTTTTCCAGCAGTTATAAAAATGAGTTATTGAAGTAAAACGATCAACAAATTATGGGTCACCTGAAGAATATCCACCACCAGCTTATTTCACCCTAAGATTAACTAGCCTAACACTATTCTAACCTAACATCTGAACCCAACATTATTCTAACCTAACATCTGAGCCTAGCACTATTCGACGATAACTTAACAGTATCCTAACCTAACCCCACCAATCCTAACACTATTCTAACCTAACCCCACCTATCCCAACACTATTCTAATCTATCCTTATCTAACACCATTCTAACCTAACCCTTTCTATCCTAACACTATTCTATCCTAACACTATTCTAACCCCACCTATCCTAACACCATTCTAACCTAACCCCACCTATCCTAACACTATTCTAACCTAACCCTACCTATCCTAACCTAACCTCAATCCCCCCCTCTCCCAAATAGCATTAGGGTAGATAATCTTTAGGTAAAATAAGGAAATAAACTGAGGTGGAGATTCTTCATGTTATCCAATATATCTTTTCTGTATATTAGAGCAAAACTTTCTTATTTTAAACCATTAATTTACAATACAATTAAATAATAAAACAATATGCAATTTTAATCTCTATAAATAACGTGCAAAATATATGAATAATAAATAGATGTAACACCTTTAATAACACAAAAATACTAAATAATTGAAAAAAAAATAAAAGCTTTCTTAAACAATCACTATTATTATCATTCTTACCAAAGACACAAGCCAATTTTATTTTCTCAACAAATTCTGGCTTGAGTAAACTGAATATCGGCCATTTCTCCAGTTCCATTGTTACGTCGGCACTAAAAATTGAATTAATTAAGGTAACAGCATTAAATTTAATTCTCCAGCTGACTCTGACAGGTAGTAGTAATAGAGAGCCAAGAGGTTTGTTGTTACTGAAGGAGGTGAGAGAAAGAGAGACTGCGCACCTCTTACTTACTGATGACTCCTGGCAACTGTCTGTGTCTCTCAATCTCTCTTTTTTCTCTCAATGCCAATGCCTTCCCTTACACTCACTAGATGGCAGTGCTACCAGTCACTTCTCTTTTTTCTCTCGATGCCAGTGCCTTCCCTTACACTCACTAGATGGCACTGCTACCAGTCACTTTCCCTACATCTCTTATCATGTATCTATCTCACCTACAGTATATCCTTCTCATCTGTGTCTTGGGCCAGGACTCGAATCCATGACATATTTGTGAGAGGTACATGTATGAGTTTATTTCCTCCACATAAAAACGGAAATATAATTGTTCATTTTCACTTAAACGTTGAAAAAAACACAATAAAAAGAGCCCAAGTCCTCTAATACATACCCGAGTCACATCACCCATGCCTGAGTCACACTGTAAAGTATTGTATATGGCCAATTGTCAAATTTCTTTGTTTTGTCAATTTCAATTCAATTTCAATTGTTTATTCCTTGTTAGAGGAAGCGGGATCCTAGTGCTGTCACTAGGCACCCCTGTACAATGACACCAGAAGCATCTGGCAAGTGACAAGTATATACAGTATAAATATTATAAAGGGGCTTACTAAAGCCTAAGGAAGGAAGGATATTCCTTTAACACATAATCAATATTATTTACAAAATATCTGGCCAGTATGGGGAGGATCATCGTGTCTCCGTGGAGTGGTGGTCCAGCAGGCGTCACGGAAGCGTTGTGTGTGGGGACATCTTAGGAGGTAGTGGGTAAGGGTGCTGCTGTCGGGTCTTCTCCATAATGCACAAGAGCGTTGCTCAGGGGATGCGGGGATACCAATCTCCCAAGCAAAGTCATACCCAATGATGATACGGGCAGCAATCACGTCCCCTTTCCCGTAGACGTACGAGAGGTCAGGAAGTTTACGGAGGATTTGTTTGTCTATTTTCTCTTTGTTAGGCTCACATACATACGTACACGTAAGAGATCTCGCACTAAGGATGGAGGTGAGAAGGAAAACCCACAATGGCGTTCTCTCTCTCTCTCTCTCTCTCTCTCTATATATATATATATATTGTATGTACAATGTAGTGCTAGGGAGTTGCTGTGTGGTGAGGAGCTTGTTGAGAGGTCTTGTCTGTTTGAGAGCATTTTGTAGAATGACCTTCAAAGTTCAAGTTTAGAAGCTCCAAAGTTGTTGGTAACGACAGCGAGGCTGGGGGTATTCATATGATTCTGCCGGATCAGCTCGAGAGGTGTTAAGTGAGCGGCGCTGCTGAATGGCCGAGGTGAAGGCGGTAACGGGCCAATCACCCATTCAGTTCAAAAGCGAGACCCATCACATTCGGAACTCTTTGCTGGTAAGCGAACAGCAAGTGATCAACCAGCAGTTGTAGGGGAGAATATCCACTACAACACCACACCCATGCCCGAGTCACACAACCCATACCCGTCACACCACCCATAACTCAGTCACACAACCCATACCTAAGTCACACCACCCCTGCCTGTGTTACACCACCCATACCTCAGTCACACCACCCCTGCCTGTGTCACACCACCCATACCTCAGTCACACCACCCCTGCCTGAATCACACCACCCATACCTCAGACTGATAATGTTGACTACAGTGACCATGTTTGATACAGTAAAATAGTGTTGATGACGAAGAAAAATCAATGTGAGAAAAGCATATGACAAGGATATAGATTAAGCAGTGATTAGAAGAGTGAGACAAGAGCAAGGGTGAATAAATGCAGCTTGTGTAGTGTTAGGTGAAAGGGCTCCAAGTGTTAGTGGGTTCAGCAATATTCACATTAACTTCAAGTATGAGTAATCCAAAATGGCAGTAAAAATGTAGGTTTCTTATACATTAGTGTTCATGTTTTAGCAACTCTCCACCCACATACAAGCATGGCAGAACAGAGAGAGAGAAAATCTGGGTATGTGGTACTGTACAGGGATAAGTTTGAAAATGGGACGTACTGCATGACTGCTTCAATAAGATGTTTCACCGATACTAAAAACACCATAATCTTAGGTGTTGTTCATCTCAAAGTTGTCACCAAAATCACCTTCGTCTGCACACCACCAACCTCCTGTTAGGTATATCAATAAAATAGTGTCTACAAGAAGTATTCTTTATTTACAATAAAATATTCTATTCTCCTATAAATTAAAAAGAACAGGTAGTTAAAATTACAATGAATCTACTGCCTCTTTTATATTCATTGGTGAATAAAGGTGGTATTGTATTTTTTCAACTTCTAGAGATGAGAAAACATAAAATTCTTTTATAATTGGCCAATTTAAGAACTTTTGTACTGTTGGAACTAAAGTAGAGGGTCAACTTGCCATGCTCATCACATACTGTACCATTTGTGGGAGGCCAACTAATAATAATTAATGTAATCCTATATACAAACACATATATACACAGAATATCATCACACTTCAATACACCCACAGTCCTCCCATCGATGTCTCCCATCTCAAAAAAAAAAAAATAAATAAATAAATAAATAAATCAGAGCACAGTAGGAAACGGAAAACAAATATATGTATAAAAAATATAAGCAAGACAGTCAGTTAAATATTTCTAATGATATATTCATATATCTTCACCCAGATAAGTACACTAATTTTTTTAACTGTCCCTAAATAAATCAATATATTTTGAATACATTTCTGCAAAAAAAAAAAAAAAAAAAAAATATTGCAGTACCATTTCCATCGTGTCTATTCTGTTGTTGATATTTATTTGGCATGTTACAGCAATATCCCGTGTAACTCTTTAGTCAGTTCATGTTAGGAAGAAAGTGGAAATATGGTTACAGTGAATACCCGCATTTCATTACAAGGTCAAAACTGTGTGGATGTGAGTGAATATGTGTGTATGGGTGAAGATGTGTGTGTGTGGAGACGAGTGGCATTATATCATATATAATAAGTGACAGGAGGTAATGGGACTTGGCTTCCTACACCTACCATCATTCAGAGTTCCTCATGACCTCTCCCTTACCCTCCCTCTCCATGCAGTTCCTGGGAGAAAATTCCTATTTAAAACTTTATATTCATACAGTTTATGAAATACATCCACTTAGGTACCTCTTCCTGTTCCAACTTAAAGAATGAACCTAACTTGCTTTTGCGCATCTTATCCAGCTATGAAAATACAGAATATAACACAAAAACACAAAGTAAATTTAGTTTCAACACAATACTGAGAATAGTATAAATAAAACATTCTATTAACACACCTTCAGATTTCACATTAACAAAATATAGCAAAAAAAATTATGGTTCAATCTTGGTTTAATTGTACATTTTCTTTAAACAAATGAGAAAAAAAAAAATATTTTTCTTGATATTGTGGGACATTTTTTTGACAAGTTTTACCTATTATTTCTGTCGGACCAGAGACAGTCCCATGTGAAAGCATTACACGGGTCACTACAGATTCTTAGCGTTGAGCAATAGGTAACGATAAAAAGTAAATGATTTGCCTTAGGGATATACTTTATCCCTAGTGCAACAATTTTTCATACTCTTGAGTTAGTGTGGTAAAAAAAAAAGAGCAAATTTCATAAATGATAAAATAATTTGATTTCACAGATGCAAATTAAAGTTTAAAATATTTTGTTTTTAAATTATACATAATCATTAATTTCCACGAGAGAAGAAGAGAGTCAATTAAAATGATCAAGTCTGTATACGGTATGTATTTAACTATCAAACATTCCTCTATACACACACACACACATTCTGGTCAAACGATTTATGAATCCTACATTATACTTGACAGACATCTTTTTAAAACGTTCCAATCTAATTTATCTCACAGGTAGTATCTCCTTCAGGTAACAGCCAATTCATTCCTAGGTAACTCTCACTCTCTTATACAGTGGTCCCTCAGTTAACGAGCGCCTCGGTTAACAAGTTACCTTCCACAAGATTCTTAACTTCGGTTAACGAGCAATCCCTCGATTAACGAGTTTCTTATGAGCCGACCTCAACATGTTTTCGCTTGCATTTGGCGGTCCACCAGCTGTAGTATTAGTCCGCCAATACAGTAATTGGTTCTAGGGCTTAAATTCCTTACCATTTTAAAAAATATCAAGAAGTTTATACTATTCAATAATTTTAAGTTTAATATTATATTTTTTAGTAATTTTAACAATTATTGAACATAATTGAAGGTAAGGAAACTAGTTTTATGCGCGCCATCCAGCCTGTCAACACACCAAACATGCGTCAGTCTTTGTGTCTTTTTCAGTGGAGGTAACATCTTGCTTGAGACTCTCTTCAACTAAACGCTTTTTTCTGTTTGCAAGCAAATTATTAGTCATTTTGAAATTTATTTTACATATTGACAATATATAATGCAGTGCAGTGTTGATTTAAAGAAAATAATCTTGAATTACACCAAGAGAACTAAAATTTTATTGGTGAAATGGCACCATGGGGTGACTTCTCTTCCACCCCAATGCCTTCTTTTCTCCCTTCTCCTCCATCCCCATTCTAATTCCCATCATCATCCAGGAGCCTTCTACATACACACCTCAAAGTAAGTGTACTTTTCTACCTTTTTTGTTGAATTTAGGCAATTTTCGGTGAGCTGGAACCAATTACCCAAAAAACCCACTGAAACAATGGTTTAGGTTAACGAGCAACCTTCTAGAATGGATTGTGCTTGTTAACCGAGGGACCACTGTACATTAATAACGTGGTCTGTGTCATTCACCTCTCGTCATTAACAATTATCTTTTGATTCGGAGCAAAACTGTGGAATAATGGGGGCCCTCGTACCACTATTCAATACCTAATAAATGTAGATACTAACTATATAAGGACATCAATAGACTGGAAGAACCCACTCTAATGATAAAAGTTTGGCCTCTTATGAACTAGTTGCCCCATTTGGCTTCTCATGACATTTGCCATATCTCAGGGTAGACTGTGCCACATTAATTATTTTCACTAACTGGAGAATAGTCAGCAATTTTTTTAATACAATACATAGGGGATGAGAACATTAATTTGTGCCAAAACCCATAAAACTAACTTTTTAAACAAAACAAGTACGGTACCTACTGTAATTGGTTTATAATGTACAGTACAGTAAACTTTCACCTATAGCACTACAGTATATGGGGCATGGTATGTAAAAGCAATCTAAGAATTCTGTTTCTTTCTCAAAGTTGGTTTTCTCTTCTAATGCCAGAAGAGCTTGACAAGTTTCTGGTTGTAAGGAGGTGACATCTTTAAAATAAAAGCAGAATTTATCTGTAATATAACACAAATGTGGGTGTATGTATGTGTGTGTATAAGGGGGGGGGGGCAGTTTTACATTCACCTATTATGGCAATATTAACCAAGGCAATAGATTCTCTCTATACATGAGAGTTTACTGTACATACAGTACAGTATACTATGATATGCTAGGAATTACTGTAACTCTATATATATCACAGAATCTTTCCATTTCTTAGTCCTCAATACTGCCTATACTTCTCTTCCTGCACAACATACTAGCAAGAAATACCTAGCCTTTTCCACTGCACATAAATAACTAAACTCATTAAACCTTTCACTACGGGGACACTGCTTTAAATATTTTATTTGGTGAACGCCTGACCATTTTATTCAACATTTTCTCACGAGACAAACATTACCCTACTGAAGGACTTTTTCCCCATTTGCATTTTACCTAATTCCTCTTCTGATTCAGTGGGTCAAAATAATAACTAACAGCTTCCCCTATCCTAATATGAAATTACCTGACCTCAGAATCACTTAACTTGTATCTTTGGCACCAGCCATCCATAAACCATTCCCATAACTGTCAAAAATTTTGGCAAGCTTACATAACCAAACATCAGACAGACAGACACACACACAGACACACTCACCACCCTGTACTACTACACAGGAACAATTCTCATCCTAATACCATGGACAATATAAAATAGTCTTCTCCGCACAGAATAAAGAACTAAAACTCATACACATAATATTCCAAAATACTTTATCATATATTTCCTAAAATTCCATAAAAGCACCAAAAATTTTCTCTCTCTGAATGTCCAACGTCTTCAACAGCAAACGTTTACATACATGTTCCTTTATTCAGTACCTTAAGTGGGTGGTGTAGTGTAATTCTCTTCCCTGTGGACAACCTTGCATACGACTCACTACTTTCTCGGAAATTCTGTTTAAATTATACTACAATATGCATCTGTGTACATTATTTTTCTTGTGTTTATAACCTAATCAAAGTCACTGACCAACATATATCTAAATAAAACAGTAATTCTCTTTGTAAAACATATACAAATACTCGCTGACCACAAAAAATGTCCAATTACTCCCCAAAAAACTGAGGAATAATTATTTGTGTAAAAACTTACAAGAGCTTAAAAATCTAGTCAGGTCATTAAAGAACATTTAAAACAATTACACTTTTAGCATTTTAGTATACATGACCTTAAGCTTTGACCCCTCCTGACCTCCAACAATAAATCAGGTGTAGAACTTTACATGTATAGTAGTTACAGTTTAGTAACCATTCCTTCACCCAATCATGAGACATTGTGTACACCAGATCAGAACAATGGATGGAGGCACGGAAAGGAGTGAACCAATATGCCCATCAGCTTGGCAATGGGCATAAGGTCAATATCCATTCATCCTGGACAAGGAAGGTCATAACAAAGTAACAAAGAACAGACCAACTCCCCGAATGGATAGGATGTTAAGAGGAGACATGATAAATATTTTAGTATACATGACTGTGAATTTAACCCCTTGAACTCAATCAACTAATTAGGGAGAGAACTTGGCACTGTAACAACAATCAGTGGTACAAGATAAAGAGGTTCCAGGATAAACGATTCCACTCACAGGATTCTCCGTAACACTAACACGGGAGTGCCTCCATTGGCTCGTGCCACACTCGACGTAAACATGCTAACTCAATGAGTCTGATGGGATAATGAAAGTGTTTAAAATTACATAAAATTGGCCCCTCAAGAGATGTGTAGAGGGGATATATTTGCTTTAAAATATCAACAGCACTCAACAAGACTCCCAAACCACTACTACTACAGTATATCTTCACTTTCAGTTTCTTCAACCCAAATGGATGGCAAATTCATTCTTTATGGGATTTTCAACAAGTTATACCATACAAAACTGCCATTGACATAAGTGTTAATTCTGGAGGTACACGAGTGGCCTAAAAGACTCTCGTTGCAAGTGTTACTGATGCATCACTGACATATAAGTGAAGTCTCTCATCCTAAAAACTTCTTTGGTACACAAGATCAGGACGGACATGCACACAGGTAGGGGACAAGGAAATACTGCATGCCCCATCTGCTCGGCTGGGAACACAAGACCAATAACCATTAAACAGTGACTTTGGCTTTTGACCCAACCTCCATAAAAAACTAGTCAAGTGTAATACAGAATAGAATCCGCAGTACATGTTTGGTAAAAATCCAATCATTAAGTTTTCCAGTATCTGTATATCTGGCACAGAAGCATTTAGTAACTAGCACTTTAGCAGACAGGGGTGGGCTGACCTTAAAAAATCAAACAGGTAAGGAACTCTGTATATAATTTCTCTGGTACTAATATGATCAATGTTCCTCCAACCAGCCTACAGATATTGTGTACATGAACATCTAGCAGCATCGGAGTACACATGCCTTTGTGACCCTGACTCCCCTCAAAATTACTCACATGTAGAAATTTCTATTGTAGTGTGTGTGTGTGTTGTAAGTTTGATTAATATCCATCCATCTTCAGATAATGTGTATTGAGTCCCGGACAGACAGATGTACACAAGCTCAAGTGCAAACCATTACACTATGCCCCTCAGCCTATGGTGATGGGGCATAATAACTTTCCTTAATACATGTCTTACGAATTCCTCTCAGAAGAACTTTGATTTCAAAACTCCAAAACCTCAGACACCAAACTTACTTAACAAGAACTGACCTAAAGATGGTTACCTCATAACCCTGTTGGAGCAAGTAGCTGTAGTTAGTCGACTCTCTACTATAATTATTTGTACAAAGACATGCATACGTGACAATAATGTACACAGTCCATTAACTAAAGTGGTTCTTGAAAGCTAATGAATTTCAAAACAAATCAGTACAGAAATCCTTGCCAGCCTGACTAAAGGCATTGCCAAACCTCAGAATAGAGGATCACTCCAGTGTTGACCATATCGGGTATTCCAATGTGGATCCAACCTGTAAAACAACACAACAGAGTAAGAGCCCCACACTAAAAATACATGTTGCTAGCTCAGGTATGTAGTCTCTAATACAGTACCAGTGTAGCTATGGTACTCTAGCATTAAAGGATTCTGTACCAGCACACACACGACCTGTCTGGTGGGGAAAAAAAAATACTGTGAGGAAACAAATAAATATGCAAATAAATCACTGTAGGTGCATGTGATCCATGTACTGTATGTATGTATATGCTGATAACCACACAGGTAAAAAGAAAAGAAAAACACAAAGTTCCCAAGTGCTTGGGTATTTCGTGTTGTCTTTTTCCCTACGTGTGTTATCAGCATATAAATAAATAACTTGTTCATTGAGTAGATCTAGATTCATGAGATTAACAAAAAAAAATTAAAATCAAATAAATATATAATTCTACCCTGAGAAGGTTGTCATCAACCTTCCTGGGGTGGCATAACCAACATTATTTGTATAGTGGCACCTAAACATCTGAGTCTACCGTAAGTGTAACCTTTCAGTAAAAATATAAATAGACTTTTAATTTCAATACCCATTCTAATGACTACCAGCATCGACGCCATAAAGAACGTTAGAAGCCATGAGTAATCTTATAATGTAACCGTTCCCTTTACAGAATACAAGACTGTTTATTGAACTAACCCTCTTCTATTAAGACAATCTCCCTTTTTGAAATTGATATCTAGAGGAAGAAATGAAGTGTTGGTTAATATTGGGTAAATTTTTCATGGTTGGGGGTGGGGGGAAGAAGAGAAGGAGGAAGAGGGTTCAGCACTCAACATAGGTAACATCTCCAACATCGCTTTCATCAGACTAGACTTTGGGACTTGAAATTTAAAACAATTTTCATTTTCTGGACACACAGACAGACAGACAGACAGACAGACAGATGACAGTGACTGAGTGAATGAATGGGTGGGTGAATGGGTGGGTGAATGTATGTGTGTGTGTGGGTGTGTTGTGAAATAGCCTCAAATATGAAGAGCCTAATGATATTCTGAGTGAGTGAGTATGAACTCCCAAAGACATAGACAGAGACTCAGTGAACAACATGAATCTATGTTACATGTGTTTGTGGCACTTTTTTTAACATGGAATATATAAATATACAATAAGGTGTTAATTTACATTAAAATTGAGTGATTGAGTGTATGAGAGCATGAGTGATTGAGTGTTTAAGAGTGAGTGTATGTATTCGAGTGTGTTAGTACATGTGTACAGTATGTGTGTGTATGTGTGTGAGTGTGTGTTGGGAACTATAATTTTGAATGATGTGTCTAATAATGATGAATGAATATGAAATCCCAAAGATGATGTAGGAATTGACTGGCTAACCTGTATGGTATTAACCACTGTACAATATGTATGCAATGTGTGTACAGTATTTATGTGGCACTTTTTTTAAGGAAGAAATATATAAATATACAATAATGTTAACTCACATAAATGAAAATAATTCCCATGTTGTACAGTTGTGTTATTTTTCTAGAATTTCTGACACAACTTTGATGGCCAAAATCTAAGATTTTCTTTGATAATTTCACTGAAAGTTATAGATCCAAACACTCACACAGAGGCTGTATAAAATTCAGCAAGCTGATTGTAATAAGTGTTCTTGGATCATTAATATTACAAAAAGGCAGACTTTGGGTGTCCTCTTGGTTACATTATCAGGCAGCAACACTGGTAACGAACACTTGCACTTTTCACAACCACCACACCACTCATACACATTAAAAAAGGCATACAGTATATTTCACTGTGCAACAGTTTCTGCCATTGCTACACTTTTAGCCTCTACACTCATTGTCTGTGAGGTTAGCAACGAGGAACGTGATATAGATAAATCCACATCCATAGGATGAGGACTACTGGTTCTCTTCCCAGTTCTGGCAATTGATACAGAAGTGTTCGGAGAAGTCATCTTGGCCAGGGACTCAATAGAGTCTGGGTCCAAATGGCGGGCTAAGTCTTCCATCTGGTTTAGTCCAGAATAAGTAACTGAAGCCTCGCTGTCTTTGTTATTACTCCCTCCAGTGGCTTCTGTTGTAGAGCTGGGCTGAGTAGGTTGAGCAATGCTTGCAGGTGCAGAGATTTCTACCCCACCTCCAGATGCTCCGGCGGTGCTTCCAGGAGGACGCCCATACAACAGAGCGTGAAGACTGGGGGACGACGAGCGGTTGTCACGCCACGGCATGTGGCCACCTCCCTCTCCCTCATCTAGGAACCGGTCCATGTAGTCACTGCAACACCCACAAATAATCACTACACTCACATATAAAGCTGTATCACTGTAGCGATCCTTAAAATTACAAAAAATAAAGTGTGTATTATAATGACCTATTAAAAACAATTACTAATCATTAAACCTCCAACCCTCAGTGTAGAGAGTAACAACAAACCCTACATATTACTTTAATTACTTGAAGCTTCAGAAAAGGATCAGTGATAGTACTATATAATGTAAATTAAGAGCGTATGGATTTTTAACTTAATTTCCAACTCTTTAACTACAGATAATTCATGACAGATAATGTTACAGTTATCATGTCAAGAGAACCCGTATTAGCATGTACACACACACACACACACACTCACACACCCTCTTAGAACCCTAAATGATTACTACTGTATATTGTAGGACGTGCAGTAAAGAGACTTAATGAGATGGAAACTTACGTAGTGCCAGGATGAACTATGTATTTTTTCTTCTCAATTCTGGTTTTTGTCGCGAAGAGGTCGTGTCTTTCCGTCTTCTTCCAGAGATAATAAAACTGTACTAACTCTCCCACCGATCTCGTTCGAACCTGTTAGTGTATTAAAGACCCATGAACTATACACATTCAGTACAGTACATGAGTACAAAGCCTTACAGTACATTACAGTCAACACCATCTAATACCAGACTAATTCTTGTAAGTACTACAGTCCATTATTGGGAGGATTCTTTTATTGAGAATATCCACTATTGAGAGGGTTTACTGTAACCATTACTTTAATGATATAGTTTATTGTACACATATTGAAGTTTTAAATCACTGTCATCATCACCGAGAGAAGAGAAGAGACCACAGAGAGAAATCAAACACACAGACACGCATACACATACACACACACACCTTATTTTGTTGTATGAGGTGGAAATCTTTGCCGTAAGTTTTAAGACCGTTTTCAAAATTTCTACACTCCTCTTCCGACCATAGTGTCATAGTGGAGGCCAGCGGAGTAGGGTTCATACGGTGTCTACGTAAAGCTTCTTCTACATTATACCCACATTGAAGTAATAGATACAAAGCCTGTTGGGGAGAGAGGAAAAATACATAAATGAATAAAATATATAAATCATCAGGTACTTTACATGAAAATCACCATTGACAAAATACAATTAAATACAGAATATAATTAAATAAATGTATATAAATGGGAAGGGGGACTGATGCCTAAAGTCCCCATTCTTTATGACTGAGTAAGGAGCAAGCTGCTAATGATTCACAGAGAACGTCAATCTGCGACAAACCACATTCTCCAGTCAGGGTTTGGAAATTGTGGCAGGGCAATTATAATAATAATACATGTAATAATAATAATAATAATAATAATAATAATAATAATAATAATAATGTAATAATAATACTGAAGTGGGTTCTCATCTAACCATGCCATTGGTTTCTCAATTCTGAAAGTAAGACCCTTGGGGAACCTAATCTAGTATCTCTATTATGGGTTCACTATACTGTATTATACAATAGATTTTCATTAATTGTCCTTTCTTTGGCAGGGAGTGGTGGTGGGGGAGCAGTAATGCAAGCTTGTCAGAATCAAGAGGAAGCACACACATAAATCTTTCCTTCGTTTGTTGATGCAATTCACTTATTCTCACAGCTGTAGGATATATATATATATATATATATATATATATATATATATATATATATATATATATATACACACAGTCTCTCCTCGACTTACGACATATTCGACTTATGACAACCCGGACATATGACGGCCATGGTCGTATAAAATATTTTTCACATTACGTATTTTCGAGTCCCGACATTTGGTTGGGACTATTAATAAGGGGATGCAAATGTGTGAAGAAATGGATCAAAATGTTTAACGTTTTGCAAAAGTTGACAGACTGATCCAAGATGCACTTGCTTGCTACAGGGAGATTTACAATGAAAAGAAAAGGCAAACTGTGCATTCTAAATTGGACATATTTTTTAAGAAGTCCCCCACTGCTGTCTCCTCACGCCCCACCACTGCTGCCTCTTCACTCCCTAAAAATGATCCAATACCTTCAACAAGCAAGTATGTTAGCCTGTCTGAAGAAAGCAAACTTCATGACCTACCCAGCCCTGTCTCCTCCTCTGCTTCATCCAATTAATGTAGTCTCCATGCTTAATTAAAAATTATATTAAGGCCCCCCGTGTGCATTTAGCTGACTACATTAAAGGTAAGTGCACAGCAACACTTTATTCAATTTTCATTATTGATGACCTTTACTGTACTGTATTTCATTTTAGAATTTCTATGTATTATTTTCGCCTTTTCGACTTGCGACTGGTCGTCGGGACGGAACCCAGTTGTAATTCGAATTGGTCGTAAGTCAAAAAGGCGAAATTAATACATAGAAATTCTAAAATGGGTGTCTCTTTTTCTTCTCAGCACCACGAGAACTCTCACTTTTACGCTTGCCAGCCACTTTAAAGGGAATTACAAACGAAAATTTCGTCAGTACACAGCGTGATCACTAACGTTGGGACTCGGAAAAAAAAGTAATGTGAAAAATATTTTATACGACCATGGCTGTCGTATGTCCGGGTTGTCGTAAGTCGAGGAGAGACTGTATATAAAAGCTGCAAGAAATCTGGTCTACCTTCATCATGTCACACAAGACAGCATCAGCCTTTACTCAAATGTCTCCAGGAATTCAAACACACACACTGCTATTTACTTGATGTTTCTTCCTCACAATTTGTACAGTACATCCTTCAATCATTATGTCTTCCCCTCCGTCTCATTTACCATAATTGTTTTTTTACAGTAAATTATGTACACTTTTATCCACCATTCTTTCTCTTCTCTCAACATGCCAAACCACCTGTGAAGACCGTCATGCAATACCGGTTCAATACAACTTTTTAATATATTTCCTTATTTTCTTATTCTCTGTATGCATCTTATTTATCAAACATCTTACTCTCAAGAAAACCATTTCAGTTGTTTTTCATCTCATCACTCCTTTGGCATCCAGAGATCACACTTTGCACCCATATAAGATAGGCAACTTAATAAAGTTCAGTACAAGTCCAGTTTTGCCTCCTCTGGCAAGGTAGCTTTTCTTCCAAATCACTATTTAGAGCAGCGTCATCTGCAAACAGCAGCTGACTCACCTTACATTTGCATCCCGTATCATTATTCAACAAACTTGCACCTGCTTGAGGCTTGATGCACTCCCCCACCCCCCTTCCTACTCCAGGGTAGTGGGGCAGGTTACCCCACTTTCTTCTATTCAGTAACTAAAAAGAAAAAAGACCAAATAAAAATAGGGTGTCTGAGAGTATATGGATGTAATCAGTGACAGAAACAATGGTGAGAGTGGATGCAAGGAACCTGGATACTCTTGTTCTGTGTAAATAAAGAGAGAGGTGAAGTGGGGAGGACGTGCAGAGGGAGGAAAGTCAAGACTATCAGAAAGATGAAGAGAGGAGGGAGGTCTTGATAGCACTGTTTACTGATGAAATGTAGTCATGTAACAGAACATAATGAAGGTCAATCCCAGATTATAATAGTTTATATTAAAAGCTGAAAGTGAAAGGTGGGATTAAGTGAACACATAGTAATAAAACAGGAAACGAGAAAAGAGAGAGTGAGTGATAATGATGGGGACATAACACAAGACTTGATAATAAGAAAATAGATGAAGGGGGAGAGAGACAAATACCACCATGTACTGAAAGAAAGATGATGAGTGGAGAAAATACACAATAAAATACAATAGCAAAAGATTTCTAAATGTACACAAGAAGGTGGGATAAAACAGAGAGAAGAGGATTAGTGAATGGGAGGAAGTGTTGTCTTACTGATGCCAATTGCGCTACAAGGGGAAATGCGGCAAATGTCTGTCCCTTACTCCAGATGCGTAATCTATACCGGTTGGGTAGGTTTGAGGCTGAGGGTGAATTATTCAATCCAGTGAGAAATTGATAAAAAGACGATGAGCAGAGAAGAGAGAGAATGAAAATGAAAGATTAAACTAGATGATTGAGACAAAGTGAACACACATACATGTACAGGTAGGTGAAAGAGAGTAGGAACTGAACAAGAATGAGATCAGTTTAAAGGAACAATAAAAGTGTACCTTGGGTGAATGCCTACAAGAGCAGAGCGGAAGGAAAAAATGAAGAGGAGGTGGGAGAAAGATGTAGGACAGAGATCGTTGGAAGCTGGAAAACCAAAGAGAATGGTTCACAGGCAGTTTGATCATAAAACGAAAATAGACGAAGATTATTGTGACCAAGAATGAGGTGCAAGGATGGTAAAGGAATGTGTGAAGGTGTGAGTGAGGTGTGGTTATGAGCTTGGGAGAGAGAGCCACCCTGCAAGGTAACTTAACTAGAGTCTGTATTAGTGGCATGTATGGGTACTGCTACACCAAGGACAGATATCACGCCCACCTGTTCATCATCTCTGACGTGCTTTCCGAGGGGGATGGCAGCAACACCTTGAGAACCAGGCGGGGGATGACTTAGTGCCCGTAGGTACTCCTCTACCTTTAAAACAGAAATGAAATATACATGTATACAGCCCTGACAACCGCAGAATTAAACACAACACATGAAAATACATTACTTACTGGAGCGAAGAAGAAAAAATAAAATTAACAAAACACTGACACCACATAATGAGAGATCATGTTAGGTCTTGTGAAGGGTCGTCAATCTACCTGTTTAGGGCTTAATTTGCCAGGCTCCCACAAGAGTTTATCTTCATTCTCATAAGGCGGCGTTGCACCGTACGCTTGTAGACCCTCGGGTACCTGTGCCTGGTAGGACGAACCGATCATAATAGTTTTATGCCAGTCCTCCTCCTCCCCAGAATAATCCCCTTCTTCCTCCTCTTCATCTTCACTCTGTTGTCGCGAGCTGCCCGTTGACAGGATTCCTAGAGGTTTGTGACCTGCAATAAATTTAAAACAAAATTAGTTAAGAAAAGGCAGGTTGAATATTTCTAAAAAGAACGGAACTAAATTAACTTTGATCAGAGGAGATTCTACCCTTCACAGTAGGCTGATGACACTAACATCACATTACAAAAATAACCTGATACAAAGGTGAAACAAATGGCACTCAAGCTGCCACATCTACAGTATAATCATGATATTTAATTTATTATAGTTTACATTATCAAATCCCGTTTTCAAAATCAATAACTAGTACGCAAATTTTTTTCACCCTCCAAAACACTTCTATTTAAAATTCTCAAACCAAAGGTGCCTTCAATACTTCCTCTTCTCATTTTAGTGTAGATAGGATAATAACTGCTCCTCTTTCCCACACTGCACTACTAAATACTTCATCATATTGAGGCACTGAACATCAATGCCATTATTTTATGTTTTTACGTCCATTTTCCCAAGTTGACGCAAGCAAGTCATGATTACCTGAAAGCAGTTCTCCATCCTGTGTGGTCTATCGTCTAAATTCGTTCATTATGACATCTCAAAACAGACAACAGCGGAATCAAGGCTTTACTGTATAAGAATGTGATTTGATCTTCACTCATGTATATAATAGAAAAAGTATCAGTAGAGAAAGAAAGAAAGAGGAGTTACTCTCTTCCTTTGATTAACCACCCAGGGACGAGAGGAAGACACTGAAGACAGCACCGACAAATACCCCGGGTCGAAACAACTCCCCAGATAACGATGAACTTTGCTAGAGGCCGTAATGATGACCCAGGCATTAACGGCCGATAAAACTGATAGGTAAACCCAGTAATCGCCTCAATACGTCTCGCCACACTCACATCTCAGAGAACGCGAAGACGATGGGGTCGGAGTGTCGCCGTTGGTATCCATGTCTGCATAGAGTTGGGCCAATTCTGACGTCTTTTCTCTCCGTTTTCTCTCGGGCTTTACATCTGGTTTTATTTCCTGGAAAGTAAGAGTCATTATTAATCGTTAACCTTTCTCTGGGAGTGATGGTGTGCATAGGTATATTGATGAGCAACTAAAAACGTGTGTGTGTGACTGGGTGTTGATGACTGGTGGGTAAGGAAGAGGACTGGTTACTTACTAGGGACTGATGACTGGTGGGTAAGGAAGAGGACTGGTTACTTACTGGGGACTGATGACTGGTGGGTAAGGAAGAGGACTGGTTACTTACTGGGGACTGATGACTGGTGGGTAAGGAAGAGGACTGGTGACTGTTACTGGGGGCTGATGACTGGTGGGTAAGGAAGAGGACTGGTGACTGTTACTGGGTGTTGATGACTGGTGGGTTAGGAAGAGGACTGGTGACTGTTACTGGGGGCTGATGACTGGTGGGTTAGGAAGAGGACTGGTGACTGTTACTGGGTGTTGATGACTGGTGGGTAAGGAAGAGGACTGGTGACAGTTACTGGGTGTTGATGACTGGTGGGTAAGGAAGAGGACTGGTGACATACTGGGGGCTAATGACTGGTGGGTGATTCGAAAGGCTGGCTTTATGATTACCAAGTATACATAATAAAATTAGTCTTCTACCTACCTATTCTGCCTACTTACCTTACCTAACATGCACAAGAGAGAGATATACACGGGATGGGTGTAATCAATGCGGTGGTTTGGGGATTCACTTTGTATTTACTGCATGCTAGTTGAAGGTGTGTGTGTAGGTGTGTGTGCGGTGTAGGTGTGTGTGCGGTGTAAGTGTGTGGGGGGTGTAGGGGTGTGTGTGGGGGGTGTAGGTGTGTGTGTGGGGGGTGTAGGTATGAGTGGGGGGCGGGGTTGGAGGTGTGTGTTTGCGGATTAACCTTGGTAGGTATAAGGTTACAGGAGTAAACCCCAAACGAAAAATCTGCGGTGGCACCCCGCATCAGGCACACATGAGTACAGAGCTCCAACAAGACCCCAACGATGGTGTAGGTGGTAGAGGTGACCACCATGGGAACCCAACGACTACACCGGCGGATGAAGGCAATGCCTGATAGACAGGCAACTAAGGTGAAACCCAACAAACTGGGCTATCGGCAGTCCATTGCAACTCTCTCTCTCCCGGTCGTTGTAACACTTGCACCACTGGATCAGGAAAAGGGAGAGCCAAGACGTGTTGTTGCAACCTGCGCTCCTGCCTCACCACATAAATCAACTCACGCAGCCATCATCCAGCTCATCATCATCAAAACCCCTGTACCCCAAAAGTCTTATGATGACGGGTACGGGCAGAGATGACTGGCGGGAGTCTCTAGACACAACTCTGCATATGGGCGGCACAAATAAGATGATCGTTTATGCACTGGGATCTAGGCAGCAGTGCAATCCGGTCCTGTCTGTGCGACTGAGCAGCCCTTTCGAGGTGACACTCTACTCACCCCACATAGGGAGGAGGCTAGAAAGGGTTTCCTAAACATAACCTGCCTAAAAAACCAACCTGACTGGGCAACAGCACCCAGTAAGGTCATCCTTATGCAGTCGAAAACACAAACAAAATCACATATCCAAACAAAAACAGACTATGTATACAACCTCTTGTGGTCGATGCATGGAATGTCAGGACCCTTCTGGATACTAGCATAAATGAGCGTCCAGAAAGAAGTACTTGCCTTGTGGCAAAAGAGCTGGCTAGCTATAACATCGACATGGCAGCCACCAGTGAGTCCCAGCTCCCAGAAGAGGGTCAACTCACAGAGCAGGGGTTTGGCTATACCTTCTTCTAGAAGGGTAAGCCTGCTGCGGAGAGAAACTGCATTCATGGAGTTGGTTTTGCCATCCGCCAATGCATCCTACACAGGCTAACTGAAATGCCTATTGGCATCAACAAGTGCCTCATGACGCTCCGAGTCCCATTGAATCACTCACATCATGCCTTTTTCATAAGTGCATACGCCCCAAAACTGATTGCAGAGGATGACATCAAGAGGTTTTTTTATGCTGACCTCGACAGAGTGCTAACCTCTATCCCCAGAGAAGATAAGGTTGTGCTCCTTGGTGACTTTAATGCCAGAGATGCTAACATTTGGCAGGGAACCATAGGGAGAAATGGACTAGGCAAGTGTAATCCCAATGCCCTCGTCCTCCTCAGCAAGTGTGCTGCACACAACCTCACTATCACCAATACAGTGGTCCCTCGGTTAACGAGCACAATCCGTTCCAGCAGGTTGCTCGTTAACTGAAAAACTCGTTTACCGAAACCATTGTTTCAATGGGTTTTTGGGTAGTTGGTTCCAGCTCACCGAAAATTGCCTAAATTCAACAAAAAAGGTAGAAAAGTACACTTACTTTGAGGTGTGTATGTAGAAGGCTCCTGGATGATGATGATGGGAATTAGAATGGGGGTGGAGGAGAAGGGAGAAGAGAAGGCAATGGGGTGGAAGAGAAGTCACCCCATGGCACCATTTCACCCATAAAATTTTAGTTCTCTTGGTGTAATTCAAGATTATTTTCTTTAAATCAACACTGCACTGCATTATATATTGTCAATATGTAAAAAAAATTTCAAAATGACCAATAATTTGCTTGGAAACACAGAAAAAAGCGTTTAGTTGAAGAGTCTCAAGCAAGATGTTACCTCCACTGAAAACAGAGGGAGACTAACGCCTGTCTGGTGTGCTAACAGGCTGGATGGCACGCCAGAAACTAGTTTCTTTACCTTCAATTATGTTCAATAATTGTTAAAATGACTAAAAAAGTTAATATTAAACTTTTAAAATTATTGAATAGTATAAACTTCTTGATATTTACTAAAATAGTAAGGAATTTAAGCCCTAAAACCAATTACTGTATTGGCGGACTAATACTACAGCTGGTGGACCGCCAAATGCAAGCGAAAACATGTTGAAGTCGGCTCGTAAAAAACTCGTTAATCGAAGGATTGCTCGTTAACCGAAGTTAAGAATCTTATGGAAGGTAAATCGTCAACCGAAATCTCGTTAACCGAGGGATCACTGTACCTTGTTTAGGCAGGCCGACAAGTTCAATGGTTCGTGGCAACACCCACGATCCAAACACTGGCATCTCATTGACTACATCATTGTTAGAGAAAGAGATCGCCGAGATGTCCTCATCACCCGTTCCATGCATGGCTCAGACCACAGTGACAATGATCATCGGCTTGTCAGAGCCAAGCTCTCACTTCAGGTCGCCCCAAAACGGTGAAGGCAGCAAGTTTCCAGAAGAGGTTTTAACATTTAGCATCTGAAGGATCCAGCAGTAGCACATGCTTTCAGAGAGCAGCTCGAACACGGGCTGATAAACAACCCAAATCCCAGTGCCGAATGGGATATTCTCGACACTGTCATGACAAAAACCTGCAGAGACCCTCGGCCAGATTGAAAGAATACACCAGGATTGGTTTGATGAAAATGACCCGGCAATCAATGCACTCGTCGATGATAAACGTGCCGCTTTAACTGACTGGCAGAACAACCCTCAGTCTAGGACCAAAGCTGATACCTTCCGCAAGAAGAAAGCGGCAGCCCAGCGGCAACTTTGCAATCTAAAGAACGACTGGTTTAAAAATAAAGGGGTGTTGGTGGTACAGCAGTAGCGTACATAACTCTCCCCAATATGTCAAGGTTCGAGCCTCGGCCCAGACACACGTGAGAAGGGTGTTATCCAGTGTCACCTAACCAAACACCAAAGGTTTCCCGGTCCCTGGTTTCCTCCTGTACTAACACTGGATAGAGCGCCCAAATGGCTAGTAAGCTCATAAGTGGCGAATATGATATAAAAAATAAAAAATAAATAAAAAATGTGAATCACAAAAATTTGCAGATCAGTACAAGATTCGCGAATTTTTCAATTCAAATAAAACATTTTATGGCCCAATCACTCGTGCCGCAGCTCTCCTCCGCTCAACCGACGGTAATTACACAATTAAAGATGATGAAGGCCTCCTACAGCGTTGGAAAGAGCACTACCATTCACTGCTTAAACGAAACACTGATGTGGATGTCCTGACTACCCAGCAGGTCCCTCAGCATCCAGAACTGACCCACCTCAGCTATTTTCCATCCCTGGATGAGGTAGCTACTGCCATCAAACAGATGAAAAATAACAAGGCCTCAGGGCCTGATGGAATCCCAGCCGAGGTGTATAAAGCAGGAGGACCTCTACTTGCCAGCCATCTCCACCCTCTCTTGGAGAATATATGGGAAAAAAAGGAAATCCCCCAAGTTTTTAAAGATGCCTGCATTGTCAATATTTATAAGAACAAGTGAGACCGGTCAGACTGTGGCAACTACCGTGGGATCTTGCTGCTCTCTATAGCTGGCAAGAATATCGCCAGAGTCCTCCTAAACAGACTTCTTCCTAAGGCGGAAAACTTCCTTCCAGAATCTTAATGTGACTTTAGATCATCACGTGGCACCACTGACATAATCTTTGCTGCCCGTCAGATACAGGAAAAGTGCAGAGAACAGCGTCGTGACCTGTATATGGCGTTCATCGACCTAACCAAGACGTACGACTTGGTCAACAGGGAAGCCCCCTGGTGGACCCTCAGCCGTTTTGGCTGCCCACCAAAATTCATCACCATTGTGAGACAACTCCACGATGGCATAAACGGCAGTGTCCTGCACAATGGCACCCAGTCTGAGTCATTCCCCATCCAAATGGGTTAAACAAGGGTGTATACTGGCACCAATTCTTTTCCATTTTCTTGGCTGCCTTCCTTACTTGTGCCAGAGCCAATTTAGCCAGCGGGGTGGACATCGGGTACCAGATGAAGGGTCTTTTCAACTTAAGACGATTCCAGGCAGGAAAAAAGGTGTCGACAGCCTCCATTACTGAGCTTCAGTATGCAGATGACCTCACTGAAGCAGGAGATTCAGATGCATATACTTCGGCCAGAATGACCTCAGACAGCCTTGGTTCAGCATCCATCCAGCTTAACGGTACTACCCTCACTAATGTTACCCACTTTTGGTATCTTGGCTCCCACCTGTCCACCACCGCAGACATTGAGAAAGAAATTCAGCATCGGATCAGATGTGCAGACTCTAAAACTGTGTCTTCAGCTCTAGGGAGATGAAATTATCTACGAAGTTACATGTGCTGTATATCGAGCAGTGGTCCTCCCCACCCTGTTATATGGCAGCAAGACATGGGTCACATACAGAAAGCATATCAAGGCACTAGAAAACTTTCACCAACGTAGTTTACGTTCCATCCTCTGAGTTCGCTGGGAAGACAAGAGAACAAATGCCAGTATTCTTGCTGACATCAACTATTGGAGCATCGAGGCTACCATTACCCATGAACTACTATGCTGGACTGGCCATGTTACCCACATGGACGACAGTAGACTGCCAAAGCAGCTACTTTACAGTCACCTGACGAATAGTAAACGTAACGCATCTGAAAAGGTACAGTGGGGTATGCTATAACGAACGGATCCTACTACGAATATTCCTATAACGAACGGTTTTATCTATAAAATTGAGAATGCTATAACGAACGCAACTCCTACAACGAACGCGGATGAATACCGGACTATTTCGCCTGGCGCATGAATATTGTTGTACCGCGACCCACAACAAGAGCGTCAGGCGCCATCTTTGTCTCATTGTGTAGCCAGTGCACCACTGTTATTGTTGAAATTTCGTCTTTTGATGTGGAAATTCGTGTTATTTGTATAACTATTTTGTTATACAAGTATACAATTGTAACAATGAGTCGTCCAAAGCGAGTGAGAAAGCTAATAACCCTTGAAACTAAGAAAGAAATTATAAAGAAACGTGAGAATGGAAGAAGCATTGCGAAACTTAGTGATGAATATGGGATGGCTAAATCGACTATATGTACGATTTTGAAGAATAAAGAGGAGTTAAAAACTGTGCAAGTGGCTAAGGGAATCTTTAGACTTAGCAAAGCAAGGTGTAATGTGATTGAAGAGATGGAAAATTTACTCTAGTGTGGATAAAGGAGAAAGAAATGGCAGGTGGTAACATTAGTGAAGCTATAATTTGTGAGAAGGCTAAACAATTGTTTGAGGACCTTAAAGCCAAGACTCCCAGTGGAAGTGATAGTGATGTGCCAGTGTTTAGGGGTACCTGCATGCTGAATAACACTAAGGTAAGATAAAGTACCGTATTTTTTACATTTTCCACAGAATTTTTTCAGTGTTAAGCGGTTGTATTTGGGGGCCTGGAACGGATTAATCCTATAACGAACGAGGTTCTGGAACCAATTACGTTCGTTATAGCATACCCCACTGTATAAGGATAGTCTTAAGACAAACCTGAAAAAGTGCCAAAACAACCCCCCTCACCTGGGAGACGATTACCCCACATCATAACACTTGGGGGATCATCACACAAGGTGTCAATACTTTCAAGTTAGCCCAACGCTGGAAAGACACTGCCACCGCCCCTCCGGCACTAGAAGTAGCCCCCCACATGTGCAACTTCTGTTATCGACTCTGCCGGTCCCGTATCAGTCTCTTTAGTAACCTTAAAACTCACCAATGAAGGTGACACCCTTAATAACTCATATCATTGTATCATAGCTGGATGATCATCATACTCAATTCCGAGTGACAGCAAAGTTGTAGTAGTAGTAGTAGTTGTGTGTGTGTGTGTGTGTGTGTGTGTGTGTGTGTGTGTGTGTGTGTCAAGAGGAAGTACTATGACTTGAATGACTATCTTTACTGTTGATGCTTCACTCACATTCCTCTACCATTATCAGAGACTTAAAAAATAAATAGATAAAATAAAATAAATAAATAAAAGTAAGAAATAATCAACTTCCCCAAAACAATTCTCATTCATCCCCCCACACACCACAGATACACATGACAATAAGCATTTTACAGAACCGCCCCACGACCACCAACCTTTTCGTGATTATTTACATTTTCCTCGGAGGTGGAAGATCTCGATGATATGACTTCGGGTTCCTCCTGCTCCTCTGTCTCGTTCTCGACCTCTGCTTCATTCTCGATCACTTCCCCGTTACTGTTTTCATTCTCATTCTGGTTAGTCTCCCCCTCTCCATTAGCTTGCTCCTCCACCTCTCCTTCCCCCTCCTCGGGTGGGTATCCTCTATACATAGCCAGCAGCTGTGCAATGGGCATGTCCTGTTCCTGGGGCAAGACGTTGCTTTTTAATCAAGGTCTACAAGTTAAAGGGTTAAGAGTCAGTATTAAAAATAAAAGATAATAATGAGTCAGTTACTGTTACCTTTCACCATATAATACTGAATAATTCCCACACACACACTAAAGCAATAACTTCCATTAAAATAAGTAAAACTATTCATTAATATGTACCTAAATATTCTACTATATACTGAATATCAGATAAACATGTGATATAGAAAAACATTATATCACTAAATTCAATGTTTGATAAAAATGGATTGGTAATAACAGGAGAGAGGGTAACACCAGCACAGTCTTGTTACTTAGATGAAAAAATATGGATGTGCCACTACCTATTACATATCCAACACTACTGTATACCTATATCAAACACTTAGTGCAAATATTAAAAAAATAATAATATTCAACAGCACACTTTTAAACCATGGAGTAAGTTCACTATTAATATCATCATCATCGAAACTTACGGTTCTAAGATATTTAGTCACTGGTTCGGCAAAATCCTAACCATGGCTTCATCACCCCCAAAATAAAGTCATTATTATCTTTATCTAATAAAAATAACATGGTATTCAGTAGACAGGTAACCACAAGTTTTACCATCTTTCTTGTTTACTCATTTGTAGGATGTAAATGGAGGTTTGATCCTGACATCCAATTTTCCATCAGAATAACCCCCCCCATAATGTAAATACAGTAGACTTATTAACCCAATTAAATATGCTAATTTTCTTTCCCTCCCCCAGAAGCTCTTGTTATGGGGAATATATGACCACTGAAAACCTGTACAAGCAGCCCTCTCTCAAAGGCTGCTGGGCTACAGGTTCTGCCAACAAAAAGTATTGTCACAGATCAGTCCCCCATCTGTATGATTCTCCTGTTAATTACTGTACTGTACTGTATACAGAATCTGCAAAATCATAATACTATATTTTATCACAGCGTATACAAGGGATTATTGTAGGACTAAAATCGTAGCTATCAAGATACATTCCCAACTCCACAACACACTGAAACCAATGTTACAGTTACTGTACAAGGTTTTAGTATTAAACCATCCTGTACCCCAAAGCTGGTAGAGCCACATGATGGTTTAGTTAGTTGCTACAAACTTTATTGCTTGTCTGTTACAAAAAGAATGGATTCTCCTTGGACTCTGCACTCTACATAACAGGGTTGGTTGATTTAAATCACTGATTTTCATCAGTAGAGTAAATAAAGGATACCTATACTGTACAGTACTTACAGGTAGTTTTGAGGCATTACTGTACTAAAATTTGTATCTGATAGTAAGCCACACCTCCAGTTTGCCACCATTTCTTAGGAAAGAAGTGCAGCTTATATTCGTCAAGATAATGTAATGTATACTGTAACCTGTACTGTATGTGAATAAATGAATATGCCTAAAAATATACAGTACTCTCTTATGGGAATAGAGAGAAACAATTCAATAAATGAAGAAAACCACAAGAGCAATGATGTACTGTACAGTAGGTTCTCACAGCCAGATTTGTAGTTTTACACAACTTCACAATTCTAATCCAACCTTGAAGATGACTTAGCTGTTTAAACAGCAAAGACAATACAGTAGTCTGATACAGGAACTTATAGTAATAAAAGGGATCTTTTTTTTACTTGTTACATAACCGGTATATGTACAGTATTTGGAATGTGGAAAAATTTTCAAATAAATCTGATTTAAATTTAAAAAATCACCAACCTTGCTATCTAAATACTGTACACTGAAGTGATTTTGTTGAGCTTTACTTTATAAACACAGTAAACAATGCACGTGCACGCACACACACATTACACAGCTATACAAATTACTTCTCGTACTGTATGTATTCTAACTCAAGTCACCACCATACAAATCACACACTTACAGTGAATCATATAGTATCATGGGCCAAAAATTTGTAAGATTAATTAAAGAAAAAGAAAAAAATGCACTGGCCAATTTCTATGAAGATGATGCATTACAATGGTACAACAAACAGTGTAGTACCAGAGAGAGTAACTTAAGGTAAGGTACTGCACCAAGGAAGACATGTTTCTCTTATCATACAGTTAATTCTGCCCAAAACAGAAGTGACATAAATTTGACCCAGATACCGTCTAACCAGCGAATAAAAGATCCCCTCACCTTCTGCGGTTCATCAACGCCACCCACCTTCTCTAGGTTATCGATCTCTTCCTCGCGGTCTGTGCCTTCTTCCATATCCTCCTCCTCGTCTAATGTTCTCTCATCGTCGTAATCATCGACTAGCATTTCCGCCGTCGGTTCAAATTCTCCATCGCCTGCATCACTTTCACTGCCGGCGGTCCCTGTACTCTCTTTCTGCTGCTGAAACACAACACGTCATGTCGTATTAGTTTGTGCGTTCTTTTAATAATTATAAAAATAATAATAATATAGTAGTACATTATTGTCCACTTAAGGAGTCACTGTAGTCCATCTAGTACCAAATCTTACAGAGGTTTCAAGTAATCTTACTTTCTTTTGTTTCATCACACTGTTGGATTAATGCTAAGGTGAGACCACTGCACACACTGAATTTCCCAATGTTATAACAGTACGCACTCAAAGATTAGTTTGAGTAATATAAAATTAGCTTCCAGATGCATTTGTGACTACAGTATACAGTACAGTACTCTGAGCCATTATTTGTTTATTCATTGGAAATTTGGTGACCATAGTAGCATAATGCATTACAGTACTCTGGAAGCACAGTTGGATCTTAAATTTAACATGACCAGATGACCTATATTGTACTTCCTAACTGTAACTGTATAACTGCAACAATGTATTGAATACTGTACCGGTAGATTACTTTTAAACCCCAAAATATTATCAGTGACTAATTTTATCTGGGAGGTGATTACATATCTTTAGATAATCTTGTTTAAGTCTGATTATATTGCAACATGTCTTGTATTTCCCAAACAGCAGAACACAGTAACTACTTTTTTTTAAATTACACTCTTATGTTAAAAAAAAAAAAAAAAAAAAATGCCGAGAATAGAAAATACTGACCCAGATTTATAAGAACAAAAGAACATAAGAATGGAGGAAACTGCAGCGGGCCTATTGGCCCATACTGGGCAGTCCCGTTTACACCCAACCCCTATTGCTCATATAAGCATCCAACCTATGTTTGAAGCTATTCAGCGTATTCGAGTTAATGATGATATTTGGCAACTTGTTCCATTCATCCACAACTCTGTTTCCAAACCAGTGTTTACCTATTTCACACCTAAATCTAAATTTGTCTAATTTAAAACCATTGTTACGAGTTCGCTCCTGGTTGTATAGTTTGAGTACCTTTGTAATGTACCCTTTGTTCAGCCCTGACTTCCGCTTATACACCTCTATCAGGTCGCCCCTCGCTCTACGTCTCTCGAGGGAGTGCAAATTAAGGTGCTTTAACCTGTCTCTATACTCAAGGTTCCTAATGCCCGGGATTAGTCTTGTCATTCTCCTCTGAATTCTTTCCAATGATTCTATATCCATTCTGTAATACGGTGACCAGAACTGAACTGCGTAATCCAGGTGTGGTCTCACAAGAGCAAGATACAGTTTTAGGATGACCTCGCTAGTCTTGTAACTAACACTCCTTTGTATGAACCCAAGTACTTTATTTGGAGGAAAGAGATATTCACATGCCTCACTGTTCCCACTAAATAACACACGTTTAGATAACCAATGATCAAGGCCCTAACCTAATCTAATCTTTATTCTCGACATAAGCTTACCTTTAACCTAACCTTTACACAAACATAACCTAACCTTTATGCTAAGTTAACCTAACCTTTATTCTAACCAATCCTAACCTAACCCTCTGCAAAATAGGATTGGGGGTGTTGCATCATCAGGTGAAATATGCTGGGGTGCCTAACCTCCACAATTTCACACCAGGAAAAAGTATGCAGCAAAACCTACAGGTGGCTTTATACAAGCCAACTCCCCAAACAAGAATCACAGCAATGTTTGACCCAGATTGGTGTAAATTGAACCTCACCACCACTCAGATTGCACCATGATGAATCCACTAATGAGCATAAGAGTGGGTCCCTCAAAACCTAATCTACACTGGATCAAAAATTATTTACAAAAGAGGTCATATTAGTGAATAAAAACTGAATCAGGTGTGTGTTGTACTATTGCATCATGCCAAAGTAGCAGACAATTCCCTTCTCTTCACACCTGCTTACACCATACTCACACCTATTCCACCATACCCACACCTACTTCAACCATACTCACCACACCTACTTCAACCATACACACCACACCTACTTCAACCATACTCACCACACCTACTTCAACCATACTCACCACACCTACTTCCACCATACTCACCACACCTACTTCAACCATACTCACCACACCTACTTCAACCATACTCACCACACCTACTTCAACCATACTCACCACACCTACTTCAACCATACTCACCACACCTACTTCAACCATACTCACCACACCTACTTCAACCATACTCACCACACCTCTTCAAATCCATACTCCCCACACCTGCTTCCAACCATACTCACCACCACACCACTCACCACACACCACTTCACCACACTCACCACACCTACTGTACCACCACCTGCCATACTCACCACACCTAAGCTTAACCATACTCACACCTACTTCAACCATACTCACCACACCTCCACACCATACTCTGCTCACCACCTACAACCTGCTTCAACCATACTCACCACACCTGCTTCAGCCACCCCACCTACTTCAACCATACCCACCACACCTACTTCAACCATACTCACCACACCTAACCACCATTCACCACCTTACTTCCCACAGCCCTCACACCTACTCAACCATGCTCACCACCCTGCTTCAACCATGCTCACCACACCCACTTAACCATGCTCACCACCTCACTTCCAACACCTCACCACAACTCCCCAACCATACCCACCATATACCACACCTACTTCACCATACTCACCACAACCATACTCACCACTACTCACCACACCTACTTCAACTCACCACACCTACTTCAACCATGCACCCAGGCTCACCATACCAACACATTCAACCATACTCCCACCACACCTGCTTCAGCCATAGCTCGCCCACACCCGCCTTCAACCATGCTCACTTCTCACCACCAAGCCACTCACCACCTACTTCAACCATACTCACCACCACCTCACCATGCCACCACCTCTTCACCATACTCACCACACCCACAGTCCACCACACACTACCATACCCACTTCAAGCATACCTTGTTACTCCAACCATACTCACCACACCTACTTCAACCATGCTCAGACTCCTTCCACCATACTCTAACCAACACATCTCAAGAATGAGCATAGTAAAGTCCTACAGAACTCAGTCTGGTAAAACATAAAGAATAAAGGTAAGCCCTTCCTACAGAACTGTCTGTATAGGTGTTGATGATGGTAGTAACTTGTAATTTCCCTACACTTACCATAATTGCTCCTAAACACCCCTTTTTGAAGAGCTAGGGAGATTAACCATTTTAAAGTGGCATCCTAACCTAACCTAACCACTTTGATGGTATCCTAACCTAAGCTCATCTTCCTAAATAACATTAGGTTGGTTAATCACATCAGGTGAAATAAACTGTGATCGAGATTCTTCACGTGATGACAAAGTTTTTCTGTTTTTCCTTTGCTTTCTCTCTTATTCACATTGTTAGCATTAAAATAAATCCTGTAGTAAAATCGCCATAAAAACAATGAAACAAACCTTTACCTAAATTCAGCCATTTTTTCCTTATTCCATCTGTTTTATTCTATGCATTATTAAAAGCAAACCCTTCTCATTATACATTATGCATTTTTTCCCTCGAAAAATAATAATGATAAAAAACTATATTTCATTCCCCAATTTACCATACAGTATACTTCATTGCTTATTTCACCTAAAGTTAACCACCCTAATTCTAACCTAACCTAACCCCCCCCAAAGATAGCATCAAGGTGTTTAATCATCAGGTAAAATAAGCTGGGGTAAGGCAAGGGAGGCAGAATCTTCATGTGATTTACTATTTCTACACTTTTTTTTAATAATGAAGAGTTAAATATTACATCCTTTACTAATTATAATTTTATTTTAAGCCATAAATATTCATAAAATAATAAAAATAAATTAATATTGACTAACTGACAAAGGTTAAATTCTGTACCCAATATATGCTGTAAATCCCACAATGAGCTTAAACCAGAGACTTTTTAATGGTCCATATAAATAGGAAAAATTTCAAAACTCATATCAGGGTAAGTTTTCCTTCAAGTAAGTACAGTAATTTAATATATTCATCTATCATCATCTTATATAATCTATCTTTGGAAAAAATTGTCAATTAGATAAACCAATAAACCCAGAGGAATGAAAAATAAAAATAAAAAAATAAAAAAAATCCCCAAATGAGTTAAAATTTACCCACAGAAAAATTAAAAAAATAAATATCTCGAGTAATTTCTCTTAAAATAAATGATTTATCTTAGATTTATAACCCAAGTTTGTAAATATATATAATAAGTATAGGTAGAGATGATGGAGTAGGAGGTGGAGGTGGTAGTGAGTGACGTCGTCCTCCACTTGTCACACTTGATCCTCATAACGTCACGACCACAACACTTTTTATCACACTTTAACCACTTTACACTTTATTATTAACATTGAGAGTGGTTTATTCCTGCTCCTGAACCTTCGTATTATACTTGGTTTATATATGACATAGGTTTACCTTCCTCTATGGTCTTAATCACTCGGAATGATAAGAAATCAAGAGCCAGCACGCCCAGTCAATCGTCATTCACTTATCATTACTTATTTCGATCTTCCAATTACCTATTTCTGGGACTCTCCGGTGGTAAACGATTGTTGAATACTTTGTGCAGTGATTGGCAGGCCATGTACAGCCGGTTTGGTCTTTTAGGGTAATAATTCACTTGATCCCTTCAAAACGTGCCGCACTGGTCACGTCCCCCCCACCTCGACCCAGTGTAAACAAAGCCACCTACTGATTTCCTTTCATCACATCTAAGGTACTGTTATCCCTCCACCCTCTTTATCAATTTCAACAGAGGCTGGAATATAATTTATCTGATAATTTTTCCGGATTAATACACAGTTTCTGCTAAAAATAACAATATCAACAAGAATTGATCAAACTTCACCTCCGCCATGTTGGTTTCTATCGGGGGACGCCGGGCCCCCAGACCCTTTGCAAGAGCATCTGTGATTGGTTGAGAATCATCTATAACTCAGTCCTTTCTTCTGATTGGATAAGTTATGTCCAATGATGGCTGGGGCGCCAAATATATGGCGGGTCTTTCAAAATGTGTTAATTGTACATCATACCAAAAGCACTTATTGTACTAAGCATGTATATATATATGTATATATGTAAATAGATAGATAGACGAAAAGATACACACTGGAACTAAGAGTTTACTTATCCTGAGAGTTAGGCAGCATTACGGTATAGAGAGTGGATGAATTAAGAAAAATACAAGAATATAGTAACACAGTATATGGAACAACAACACCAACAATAACTTTGTACAGGGAAAATGGTACATAGATTATACTGTATTTATCAAGAATACAGAATAATTTACGTACAAATCTATTAGGGGAATATTTTTGTAAGTAGACAAAAGATATATACTCTAGATTCTAGAGTATGAAGTGAAGGACTATAGTTTGGTCTTTCCTGGAATAGACGAGGAAATGCCGTTTCGATCCTTCCCTCTAGTCATATGGTCAAGGGTTCTATCTATCTTACATTTTCTTTATGGTGGATTAGCGTAATTATTAACCTTGTTACACGCTCAGAAACCTTAGTCATTGAAGAATATTGTAATACAATCTCTGGATTTGGTATCAAAATGTAATGACCTCAATAAGTTATGATTCCTTAAAGCCCGACCTCTCGTTTGTCAAGTACAATAATGAAGTTTGGGAACAATGACCACAGTTACAGAAAATAACAGCAAGAGTTTTGAGAAAGTTAGTCATTGCATTAGAATTAACTTTTACTGGCACGAAAATTGATGCTCGGTCACTGTCCATATCCCTGTTTATGCTCGTTTCAAAATTTCCTCAGATACATCTAAATTTCGATTAGACTTTAAATTATAATTTTCTTTCCATAAACTTCTGGTAGTGTTCTCTGAGGTCAATTTATAGTTAAATGAATTAGGAGTTTTAGTCTCCATGTTGTTCAGTGTATTGCCTGGTACAGTATTTATGAATTGTGTCATCTCATTGGTTCTGTTTATTTGTATGTAGTGTTATCATGTGCTGCAGTTTCAATGGCTTTGTGAACAGTTTTTATCTTATGTCATTTGCTAGTGTTTGGGTATTTTTGTGGTCAACAATATCTCCTCTGTATTGTACCCAGCTTAGCTCCTATCAATGTGGTTTTTTATTAAGTTAATTACATCCAAAGGGAAGCAGACTCACCAGAAGACATGTGACCTATCAACATAAGAAAATGAGATACTGTATTATTTAGTTAGAAATCAGACTTTCCCTAATGGCAGCAAATTTTAGGATACAATTTTAGTCTGCTGGTTCTTTTCAATCCCTCTTCAGTGTGCTCCTGTTAGTTGGTCGAGTCAGTGGAAGAAAATAGTGTTATTCCTTCCAGAGGTATAACTATTGACTAACATAACTTCTTAAATCAAGTTCTCTTGTGTTTCCATTGTCATTTGATTTTTTAACCTACTTATCTGTTCTCACACTGCCTCGAGTCCATCTCCAATTTCATGAAGTGCAAGATATGTTGATTTTTTCTTGGGTTATTTCTGACATCTTAAGCTTAGAAACAAGTTTGCATTAGTCCTTGTATTAAGGAGAACATGAGTGGGCTTTGTCAATGTCTATAAAGTATACTTTAACTGCCTATAATGCAAAAGGTCACCTAAGCAGAGTGGATATAAGCTTGTTCCCTCTCTTGGATGGGTCTGGCTCGTAGGGTCTTGCAGCTTTCCATACCGTGAGAACCTACACTACAATAGAGTTGCTGTTTATAGACACAACACCTGGCAGGCAGGTCATAAAAACAATCACCTCACCAGCAAGACCCATCATACAGTACTGACCTCTTCTTTATTCACTACTAAGGATTAACCCCAGATGGATTAAGTACCTGTGACTATCAGGGAACTTAGGGACAAAAGCACCTCAGTAAACAGGCAGGAGGTGTCAATCCTAGTACAGTATGAATGGACAGCTAACTGGAAGTAGAGTATATAGTTGGCAGTGAATTGATCTTGGCACAACAGAAAGTCCAGTCTGTGGCATTTCTTCTGAGTGTCATTGTCAGTAAGTTTGATTTATCTTTCACTGGCAGCCATTCAGAACTACCCAAACACCTTTAAGTTTCTTTGAATATGGGTGACCTGAGAGAGAGTCAACCCCAGGCAGTAATTAACAGGATAAATCTGATATGAATATCATGAAGCCTCAAGATTATTCTTTTAATATTTTTACATAATAAAGATCTTATAAAAATATATTTCAGATGTACCAGTTTCAGTCAAAAACAGAAAAAAATCTGTAAACCATATAGAAAATTTATACAGGTTGCATGTACAGGTATCAAGATACAGGTAATTGTACAATGCTCCCAGTACATTCTATACATATTTACAAACTTGTATACTGTACTACTTGTCAGGCATGGGGCAATTAAGTTTAAAATTTAACTAGTTAAGTTAATTTTCATTTTTTCCAGTTAAGTTAACCTGCTTTTTTGAACATAACTAATTAAGTTAAGATTTTTCAATTAAGTTAAGTTAAGTTAAGTTAACCAGTCTGTGTTAAATTTACTTAGGGGAATTTTCATGTGGATTAAATAACTTAATATCCTGTAAATGTTTTCCAGAAGAGTCAATGAATACTGTAGTACTGTAGTTTGAATAACCTGAATAGTGAGGCAGTTTGGCACACAACTTCCTTGGTATGAATAAGTCTTGAGATAAAATAATTATAAAGTCTTGGTTTTTTTAATTTTTACTAATTAGTTTTTATCATGTAAATAATATAATTATTTCAGGATGCAAAACCAGGTTTCTTACTTGAAGAATTATATCATGATAAGATAAGAATTCTGCATATCAAATAAATATAATCACTGAAAGTTTAAACTCAAACTGTTTCTTCACATACTTATTACACTTTATAATGCTAAATAAATACATTGGATACTCAAGGGCTGGTGTGTTATATATTATTTGTGTTTATTTTTTCTAAGGAGATAATTGGTAATTAATCGAAGTTAATCAATTAAGTTAAAGTGTTATTTCAAAAGTTAACTAATTAAGCAAAGTTAATTTAACTTAATCGTATGATTAAGTTAAATAATTGCCCCATGCCTGCTACTTGTACTACAGTTGCTTCAATTTGTCTTACAGTTTTTTTTACACATAATAGATAGTTGATATTTGTGTATCGGTGAACATGACCACACACAATGTTTCTGAAATAACATAACAAATTAACATCAAAGACACCACCGCCACCACCACCACCACCACCACTGCCCAAGTCGCTAACAAAGTTGTACTGACCTACAGGATGATAGATGAATGGCCTGGCCCCTCACACAGGATGCTGCTGATTTACATAATGAAGTGTAGGAATAAAGTACAGTAGCTCCTGAATAAATCCACTGTTTAAATTTTTTGAGCATTTGTTTACACTATACATGCACTTCCCTAACTAAACTTCAGACGCTTTTTCTATTTATCGATAAGCTTTTCTCATTTAGATCTTTTTCATTTTTGTCTAAATAACTAGCACTTCCTGAACCCTCAACTCATTCCTACATTTCTCTAAACAATCTCAAGCCATCTTACTCAAACATTCTTCATCTTAGGTGATTCTCAGTAACGTATCTACTGTATTCATCTAAGTAACCCAAACCTGCCGTAACTTTGTACATTAGTATAGGAACCACACAGCCAGGCACAGACCACATCACTCATATTAAACCATCATACCAAATAATATATGTGAAGGGTTCTGTACAATGTAAAAGATTTAAAATACGTAGTAACACACAAAATAATATGCATTAAAAACTACACACTCAATACAACATGAGAATGGGATTCAGGTTATTAAGCAAATTCTTATAACAGGACATACTGTACTCTAAAAATATAATTCCATAATATAAATAGGGTGATAAATTCAATTATATCATAAAAGTGATAAATCACACAAAACAGATGCAGTACATGTAGCAAACATACAATTATCAAAGATTCTCTAATTCCTGTTGACTGATGAAATCCTGAAGTGTGGTTGAATCTAAGGATATAAGGAGGTTCTTGATTCCATCTGGTCCCTTTTTGGAACGGATGAGCTTATGGTCTTTAAATTCAGTGAGCTGGGCCCGTAGGGTTAGGTCAGAATTAACCAGAAAGGCTTCCCGACAGCGTTGATACATGTCATTGAAGGATAGACCTGTAAAAAAAATAAAAATAAAATAAACAAACTTGATTTAATTATCCTCTTTTCCACATTAAGTAACTGTTCTAGCCAGTTCCAAATCTTACCAGCTCTGTTAACCCCTTCACTACAGGAACATCACTTTTAATACTTCATGTGGCTAACGTTAGATGATTTTATTTAGCTTATAGGAGACCCCATACACAAGGGATGAATGGACCACTTCTACTAACCCATTCACTATGGGGATGTCACTTTTAATGCTTCATTTGGCTAACATCAGATAATTTTATTCAGCACAGAGGGGGAGCCGTACACAAGGGTTAATTCTGTATCAAATATATCACTTAATCAAACATGGCAACAACCCTATTCTTCATTCCCTTCCAACACACGTGAGTTTACTATGGCAACTAAAAGACCTAAACAGTATAACTACTGGCAACCTATCTTGTCTACCAAAAAATATACCAAAAGATTCTTAAAAATATAACTAATTCAAGTGAAATATTGTGAATGACTCCAAAATAATTTCTGTAATGTCATATACTGTTAAATGATTCAGAAATAAGTGTAACAATAATATTCTCAGAGACACTAACCCACATAGTTGGACTTATCCTTCTGGTCCAGCTGATGTTTAGCCAAGAGCAGGAAAATCCCTTTGGCATTTGGAGTTAATGACCTGTAATAAAGTTAATACAATGTGGTTATGTAGATCTGTAAATATATATAAAATAATTTAATACTTTGATAAGAATTTGAAGAAGAAAGAAAGAAAGTGAGAAGATAAAGAAGAAACAAAGGAATAGAATAAATAATTAAGGAAAAAGAAACCATTTTCATTCTAAGGGTTATATACACTCGGGCTAAAAAGTAACTTTACGTAAAGGTTAGATGAATTTAAAAATAAACACCGCGACTCCCATTGTCTCGGTTAAGTCGTCAAAAACCCTTCGTCAATTGTGCAAAATTGTCTCTCCAAAAATCATGTATTAGAGATAAAAGGGGTACAGGAGTAACAATACAAACTTGAAGACATGAACGAGCGAAGACAGTGCCAGAGATCCTGACTGTTGTACTAGCAGGGAATTTTCGTAAGATGTCTCCTCAGAGTAAGGCGCCAACGTTGTAGCGTCACACCAGAGAGCATTGTAGCTGCTCATTTTACCGCTATCAAATACTGCAAAAAAATAAAAATAAAAAAAAATAAAATAAAATAAATTAACAAATATGAAAACCATATAAAATACATATACTGTACTGCATAACAAATGGTACCCTGTGTAAAATATATTGTCTCTCTCGGATAGCTCTCAGTATAGTCTTTACAATGGACTGTAATATATGTAAAAAAAATACATGTAAAGATTAACAAAACACCACGTCTACATTTTCCGTAATAGTTACACCTTAAAATATAAAAAATCTATAAACGTAATAAAAAAAAAAAAATCTTAAATGTATGTGTAAAATCCAATAAAATATGGAGAACAGAATCTTACTGAGAGGAGCGTTGATATGATCAATGGACGCCAAGAGGTGAACGTTGGTGATTGAGGCTAAGTGGGCAATAGCTGACTGGGTCTTGTCTCCACGAAGCAGAGGGCCATCTAGGTTGTGGATGATAATAAATAAGGATTCTGCATTAGGTTTGCTATAGATTTCTTCAATGAATTCGAGTTGTTCTTGGATGCTGTGGAAGCTGCCGGATTGATCTAAGATATCTTCCGTTATGTTATTTAAAATCTGGAAAAAGAAAATAGGAAGTGGTGAATTATATCAGATCCACATACAGTGTAATAATTTCACCTCATAGGAACTTCAGTCTGCCTTTTAATCTTAAAAATTTACCTTATCCAATAACATACTTTGGTACTCTCATTTAAACACTATTGATTATATTTAGACAAACTTCTAAAAGTGCCATTTACTTTACCCCCCCCCCCCCCCCAAAAAAAAAATTATTTGGTTCCTGTAATATCCTCATTAATGCCATCTAATTCTTTCCAAATATTTAATAAAAAATCAAAAACAAAAACAAAAGACTGAATTTAGAAATCCGTTTTTGTTGCCGTGTGGATATCTCTCATGACCTGAAAGATTCTCCTCAGCAGAACACTGATAAATAACCCGGAGAAGAGTCAGTAGTTATAGGAGAGGGAACTGAGGGAACACATTTAGTACAGTATAACATTTGCTAAGCCACTTATTACAGGAACCTAGGAAACAGCATTACTGAAAGCCATGGGGGAAGCATTGTAAAAGTCATGTGGGAGCATTATAAAAGCCACAGGAAGCATTATAAAGGCCATGGGGAAGCATTATAAAAACCACGGGGAAGCATTATAAAAACCACGGTGAAGCATTATAAAGGCCATGGGGAGCATTATCTGCCAAACTAAGACACCCATAATAAATAAAAATCTGAATACAGGTAACACCTTGACCCAAAGGTATGGTATGGTCCACAGACACCTGAACACACAGAAACAGTCTGTAGCATCCACGATAACGTACATTTTTTAGTGTAAGCGACGGAAAGAATCCATTAACGACAATGTGGTCGTATTCGTCTAAATATTCTTGCTGGAACTTCGATAACAGGTCCTTTTTGCTGCCGAAACCATACAGGAATATACTGAAGCCTTCACTGAAAGGACAAAAGAAGCAAATATTTGTACAATATTCTTAACACCTGTGGCCATTGATTGGTGTTCTCCTACTGAGTCATGATGCAAGGTGGCTACTGATTGGTTCTCTCCTACTAAGTCATGAAGCAAGGTGGACACTGATTGGTTCTCTCCTACTAAAACAATGCAAGGTGGCCACTGATTGGTGCTCTTGTTCTTGCTTTGCACTCCAATCTCACTTTATCTTTTCGTCTGAATCACACAATACAACCAGGTACAGTATATTGCATTAAAAAATAACAAAAACTTCCTGTAGAACTGTCGTGATGTTGAAGTGACTCAAAACCTCACCATCTATCAGTTGTTTCATTGTAAATAAAAGACAAGCATCCCTCATTATGCAAAAGTTTGCTCCATGAAATTTATATTCTTACACCTCTTCCTTGCTGTATGGAAGCTATTCTCATTAATACATATATGGTCCCTTAAGGTGACGTGTCAAATTTATGTCTTACTAATTTTGTTAATGTACAGTACAGTATTAGGTACTAAATTACAGGAGATAAGGTGGGTTTTAGTGTTGTTTATGAACCTTATTTTTTATTTAGGTATAATATTGGAGTTTTCTTGTAATTGGGTAACTGAACCCTATTTTACCCATATGTTGTGTTGTGTTGTTTTGTTATGGTTATCAAGGAACTTAACCCAGTCATAAAACAAGTGTTACCTGTATACCTGTACATGTATTCTAACGACCAAGTCAGAACACCAGAGAAACTAACCATAAAAACGTCATCCATCGAGGGAACATCTGTCTGTGTTCTTCAATCAATGCCTTTCTCTCTGCCTGATGAGTTGCCGTTACACCCAAGAGAATTGACTGAAGAGCGTCCGGTGCTAATCTGGGAGTTTCCAGGCGACTGAGCGTGTGGTCGGAGGTGATTACTTTTCCTAAGTCTCCATTTGCATTGAAATATTCGTCTGACCGACCAACCTGGAAAGAAAACACAAAGATAAAGCATGTTTCCAGAATAAATAAATAAATAAATAAGAATACAAATTTTATCAGCTTACCATTAAGACAAAGCCTACAAATTTTAAGTGTACTGTACTGTATATTGTGTTTAAAATATTACTCTATGCACTATTAAATGTTCAATTACTTTATGTTTTTTTTTTATGGGTAAATTCAAAGCTAACACCGTCTTATATAACACAAGGATTTTATTAACACTATGTATTGACAAACTGAGAAATATCGTGATACCATTTCCACGTCCTTGATCTTCCTCCCTCTTCCAACTTTCCCTGGGGTTCTAGAGGGAGTCTTTCCTGGAGTACTACTTGATAATGTTTTCCTAATAGGTGTTCTCTTTGGTGTTCTGCTCGGGGTCCTGATGAAACTCTCGGAGAAGTCGTCAAAGTTCTCCTTACTCTCGTTGTCGTCATCATCATCAGACTCGCTTAAAGAATAGTTACTTCCATCACTATCCTCTTCTGATGAACTTTCCTCCTCACAAACTATTTTTTTAATACCTGAAAACAAATAAAATAAAAAGCTTTGAATATCCCTCTTCTATGGAAAACAAGTGGGAGGGTTGAGTGATCTCAGGCGAGTCATCAAAACTTCTCTTAAAAAAAAAAACCCTTGTGTATGGTTAAGTGAAGAGGGCAAGTGACCAGAGGGAGTATGTAAGTACAGATGAGAAAACCCTGAATCAATAACCATCCTAGCAAGCAGCCATGTTGAGCACTGTACTACTAAATTCAAGGTGACAGACGCAGAGTGGAATGCAAACCTTAAGAACTTAATTGCACCTCAGGCAGAAAACTTGCAACAATGTGTTTTCAATTATCCCCCAAACTACCTATTTTTCTATCATTTACACACATTAAGTATTCTAAATGCGATACAGTAGCACAATATAAGTAAAATATTAATCCTGAAAATGCTGCAGTTAATAATTCCAATCACCAATGATCTGTCCTTATCAGCTTTCTGGTGGAGGGGAAGGAAGCGAAGAAAATGAACAAGAGACACATTAACTCTAGCTCACAAAGCCTATGATGCTATAAAACACTTCTGACTTAACCAGGGGAGGTACTGGGTGTGCAAGGAAGTAAACAAAAGGATCAGAAATAGATTATCAAGATCAGAGAGAGAGAGAGAGAGAGGCAGGCATAACTTACGGTGTTTTACTCTGTTCCTGAAGTTGTAAGGTGTTGTAACCTCCTGGAAGACTTCTGACGACCTCTGGTGACTCTTCGGGGTTCTGAATCCATCTGAAAAATGAACGATTGACTGAAATGCCTCTTTATGCTCCAGCAGGAATAAAATGATTCGTGAAAATGGCCTCCGGATCCGGAGGAGGTTTATAACTTAGGAACTCAGGGAAGCAAGCAAACACTTTACCCCATTGAAACAGGGTAAGACAATACCACACTAAAACCACCTTACATTGTTTATTCTTCATTAGTTTTTATGAGCAAACACTTTACCCCATTGAAACAGATTAACGAACTGCCTTCCATAAGATCTTCAATTCGGTTACCTTAACGAACTTACGAACCGACCTCAACATGTTTTCGCTTGCACTGCTTTAGTATCAGCCAATACATTAATCGGTTCTAGGGCTTAAATTCCTTACTATTTTTGTAAATATCAAGAAGTTTATACTATTCAATAATTTTAAAAGTTTAATATTCAATTTTTTAGTCATTTTAACAATTATTGAACGAAATTGAAGGTAAAGTGACTAGTTTAATGCGGCATCCATTCAGTCTCTCTCTGTTTTCACTGGAGGTAACATCTTGCTTGAGACTCTCTTCAACTAAATGCTTTTTTTCTGTGTTTCCAAGCAAATTATTGGTCATTTTGAAATATATTTTATATATTGACAATATATAATGCAGTGCAGCATTGATTTAAAGAAAATAATCTTGAATTAAACCAGAGAGCTAAAATTTTATGAAATGGCACCATGGGGTGACTTCTCTTCCACGCCTTCTATCTATTTTCTTCAGTATTTCTATATTACCAAAAAACAATTAAAATGTTAACCAGATACAGTAATCAGAACTAACTTTTTGCTGCTGAATTCGGTGTTCTTGGAATTTTGGTAGTCCTAGGTGAATCAGGGTAATGTTTCAGGGAAGATCTTGGGGTTTTGGGGGTCCTAGGTGAATCAGGGTAATGTTTCAGGGAAGATCTTGGTATTTTGGGTGTTGATGGAGAATCGAGCATCTTGGCAGATCCAGCCTTTTCTAGCATACCCCACTTCTTCTTTGGGGTGCGAAAGCCAAACACGGCGCTTCCTTTGACAGGGTCTTCTCCATCTTCAAATAATTCTGCAAAAACAGGAAGACATTAGAGCGGACTTTTAATTAGTAAAAGCGTTAAGTGTCTAAGGTGTTCAACTAATAATGCTAAACACAATAAACTCCCCATAACCCAAACACTCTACAACTAGTGGTATTAACCCCTTGACTATGGGGAGACCACTTTTAATTAGGTAACTTAGACTTCTGTTATATTAGAAAATAAGGACAAAATAACAGCTATAGATGTGAAGGTAAAGTTCTGCTGAATATCTAGAACTGTTAATCTCTCTATCAAGCTCAGTCATGAACTGTAAGTCAGAAAATATCTAAACTAACCTGTTGGCTTGAAGAAAACATCATTAATTCCTTCATCCATTTCTTCTAGTTGAGGTAAATCATCATTGTCACCAGCAGGGGTCTGAGCACTCCTGTGTCTGCTGCGACCACGTTGTGACAGAGGTATTGGTGTGACTGTAAAAAACAATGTCGTAACTTGTATTAACATTTCCTGTTTAGAAAGATCTTAATATAACAGTAAACCCTCCCAATACTAGACTCATTCTTGCAAGCCCTGTTTGTTATTGGGAGGATTCTGTTATTGAGAAGTCCAATATTGAGAGGGTTTACTGTACAGATACTGCTCCACCAATCAGAAATATGAGTGTGACAACTAAGCCTTGATACAAACACTCTTACCTAATACACTAATCACAGTAATACATATAAACTAATCACAGTAATACATATAAACAAATCACAGTAATACATATAAACTAATCACAGTAATACATATAAACAAATCACAGTAATACATATAAACTAATCACAGTAATACATATACACTAATCACTGTAATACATATAAACTAGTCATCAACGTTTTATTGCTACTTTCCATACTTGTGTGGGTTAGCTGTGATTACCTGATGGCAGCTCTCCATGTTGTAAGGTCTCTTGCAGTCTCTCTCGTCAGGTTCTTAACTCTAATGCCATTTCTTACAGCCTCTTCTCCCTGTCATTCTCGTCTAACCTTCCCCAAACCTATACAGTTCAGTATCAACAAAACAGTATTTCCTTAATGCATAATTTTAATGCCACACAACATACTACAGTGAACGTGTGAAAAGTGAGAGTGGGTCCCATAAGCATGACTGCCTGTTAGGGACAGTGTGGATACAGCACAAGGTATACTAAGCCTTCGGTACACAAGGAGGCAGCATGGCCGGTACTGCACTCGACTGCCTTCACTTCCGCAAGTTGTAAACATAGGTGCCTATGATTTACAGCTGGGTTAACTGGGAGTGCCCGGTATTCGAACCCAAAACTCCAGAACAGGAGGCAGGCGGTGTGTCCGCTCGACCGCTGTGCTCAGTGAACATGTAATGTTCTCTAAATCCAGACCTGACGAACTCAAAAACATGCTTCGGTATCTGAATAAATTACATAATACTGTACTACATAAATCACACCGCAGAAGTTAAAGAACAGTGCTTTTGTTTTTCTGTTGTTTTACAGATAACCTGAAGAATCTCCACCTCAGCTTATTTCATCTTAAAATTAACCACCCTTATGCTAACCTAACCCAACACTTAATGTAACCTAATCACTGACAACACAGTCCATCAATACAGCTGGTGTACCTTTATCTCCAGCATGAAGTTTGGCATACGGCTGCCTTACCTGTGTCCAGTACGTAATCTTTCAAGTGAAATAAGCTGGGGTGGAGATTCTTCAGGTGATCTATTTTATCTTCATCTAACAGTTGCATTTCAGTTTAATGTTGATGGTACAGTGATAATACTCGTATATCTAACTACTACAGCTCTCTTCTGTGCAAACACTGGATAATAAAACTCATAATAAAGTAACTAAGGACAGAGCAAAACATCTGAATGACTAAATGAGATGACAAATAGGGAAATAAATCAAATAATAGATTAAAAGGAATAATAACTCGTTTAGACCCAAACCTAACGAATGTAAATAAGGCTTAAGAAAACCCCAAAATATCCTAAAATACATAAGGAAATAAACTAATCTATGTGTAAATCTTCTCTCAATATATTAATATATGTTAACAGACAGTATAATGTAGTAGCAGAATACAAAAAAAAAGACAACAGGGACCACCACTGTCATCTTATTTATCTATACATCAACTATCCTCACTAACATCAAGACTAAAGAACATTAATTAACAAATATACAATTACCTTTCTTCCCATCGGTTCCATTGCTAATTTTATCCACTAATTTGTCGTTAATAAAGGTAACAGATAAGGTCGTCCTTGCCCTTCTAGGCATCATCAAGTCGTTTTGTTTACACTTCTTCCCGCCATCTCTAAACAAATGACTGACTTAATACGTCTAAATCAAGTCTAGAAGGATTATTTTAACTCATTGTAACACCTGGATTAAATAAATAATAATTAGAATATTGATTTCTTGTTTGAGATAGATATATTAGGTTATAGTGTAATGTAATAGAATTGTTAGTAGGGAGGTGTGAAGTTTGATTTAAAAGTACCGTAATATTCCGAGACTCATAAATCCATTCATTGAGCAATTATATATAAGTGTTGGGCTCAGAGACACCACTAAACAAGCACTGGAAAAGGTAAAATGCGGAACCAATCACCTACTTAGCCCACCTTTATTGTGGCCAAGGTCACTCAAGCATATTTCACCTGAAGTTTAGTCACCCCAGTTTATTTCACCTGAAGATTAGTCACCCCAGTTTATTTCACCTGAAGATTAGTCACCCCAGTTTATTTCATCTTATGATTAGCCACCTCAGGTTATTTCACCTGAAGATTACCCTCCTTAGCTTATTTCACCTGAATATTAGCCACCCCAGCTTATTTCACCTGAAGATTGAACAAAATAACCTTACAAAACCTTTTTTTTTTTTTACGGGAATTAGCCCACCCGGGCACAGGTCAAACGACCCACAACGGAGCCTGGGGGGGGCGAAAAAAAAGAACGGAAAGAAATTGAAAATATAGAAAAAAAGGTTATACTGTATTAATCTACACCACGAAGATGCCGGAAAACCAGCTCTTTAAAGTGAGACAGATTGTAAGAGCATGGAAACACAGAAGGCAGAGCATTCCACAGTTTGGCTGTGTGAGGAAAGAAGGAGGTACTATAAACTATAAAGGGTTATTCTCGTGTGACCGACATCCACAGAGAAATGGTGGGCACCGCGGGCAAGACGTGTGTTACGAACCCACGGCCTTGCCGGCGGTACACAGGATGCCAAATCCCCTGAACATTGCCCGTTAAAGCACTTGTAAAAGAGAGAGTGAAGCAATATTGCGGCGAAGAGAAAGGGGAGATAGATTGTCGACTAAATTGTCGACCTAAATTAACTCAACCTAACCTAACCCCCAGATAGCATTAGGGTGTTTAATAATCAGGTGAAATAAACTGTAGTGTCTAATCTTCAGGTAATATAATTAAACTAACAAAGATAAATGTACTACAACTTGAATATAAAAATGGAAACGTACCAACAATATTGTATTTTTAACCAACCCTAAACTAATAAAAAGGTGATAAAATACATACAGTATTAACCTAACCTAATAATAACCAGAAATAACATTAACATTACATATTATATTAACCTAAGACAATTAACTTGACCTCACATTATTGTACCAGTATGCTTGTCTTACCTCACCAAACACTCCTTATCTTTTATCATAATCACAAACACGGGGATATAGCATTATAATAAAAGTTGCTTGTATGTGTTTGTATTTTATTTACAAATATCCAAGATGCGACTTGCATTATACTTAACGGGTAGTTCATCGTTAACAGTGAACATAATGAGTCCTGTTGCATTATACTCATTATACTTAACGGTAGTTCATCGTACAACAGTGAGCATAATGAGTCATGTTGAAGTGTTCTGCTGAGTTGAGTAAGAAAGATACACTGCACAGGTACAGTATTACACAAGTCAAATAATATTCATAAAAATATATACATATCTACAGAGCTTACTTGAGCTGACACAAGACTTCAGAATCTGTGACATTGTGAGACAGGCAGATTACAGACAGTACTGTAAACCCGCCGAGTATTTGGTTGTATAGCGTAGCCCACTCCAGAAATAATGCCTCCTATATTTCGTTATAGATCAGTGTGAATTGTATACACTTATATTAGCCCACTCCAGAAATAATGCCTCCTATATTTCGTTATAATGTTGAATATACACTTATATTCATCATTATACAGTTACCAAGTATATGATGTGAGCAGAGAGCATTCACAGAAATACCAGAAATAAGTGACAGAGAACAAGAGCGACTGCACTGTGGTTCAACTTTTTCATAAATGAGTGTGAGAAGTTCATTTATCATTTTCTGATATTGTTTTATATTTTATACGAAATATGGATGCAACTGTTACAAAATCACCATTATTATTATTATTTTATTTATCATTTACCTATTCTCTGCAGCGTAATTAATAACTACAGGAGATTAGTAAACACGCCAGCCTGGCCTCTGATCCAAAATGTACAAGTATTAAAAACAGCATCATAAAACATGATGACTTGGTCCATCATACCGAGAGCTCTACTTGTGAGGAAAATATTGAAACAGTGACGAAAATAATAGTAATCTAAGTAAAAAGCTTTACTTGATGTATTTATTAATAAAAAATGGCTAACTTTCATATTTTGTTGTAAGACTACACATTTCAGACGCTGGTTAGAGAGCATATCACAGCACCACACATCCCTACTCCCGAACTTTTTTACTTATCATAAAACAATAATTAAAAAAAAGGATCTAAGCAGCTTTAAAATTAAGAAACTTCCCCACCAGTAATGATGGAGGTTTTAACCAACAAGTAAGAATATCTAATATGTAAAAAAAGAAAAAAAGAAAAAGAAATATCATTACCATGTAAAATAAGTTTGTCACGATGACCAAGAACACCTTCTCACACTGTGCAACATACAACACACTTAAGTCGCCACGATTATTATTACACTTCAGCGTGAAGAACTATGTAGCTGTTGGATATATGACAGACAGTTCACACACACTAGCAGAACCACAATTTGCTCCACACAGACGTAGGTACAGTTGCGGGCAAAATTCCTTGGACACTTGGCGGCATCTGGCTTATAAGTCTTGAGGATTAGAATTTTAACGTATTTTCTCAGATTTTTCCTTGTGTTAAGAAGTGGTTTTTTTTCAATCATAAATATGACCCAAAAGTTGATGCAAGATATTACCAAGAGTTTAGGGAATTCTGTCAGCAAATGTACATGAGATATGGACGGTTTCCTCTGTTGACTAGAACAAGAATAAAGTCGTCTTCGCCTGCAGTGGCACTACTGTACTGGTTCTCTTATTACGCTTGAAATTGTTATAAAGCAGCGGCCACCTTTACCCCAAGTGACTTCTGATCCTAGAGAGGTTATCCATGACTGAGGACTGGACCGCACGGGGGACGTAAATAAGGGGGGCAAAAGTATTAATAGGTCATATTAATACAATTTTAAACAAAGGAATTTGGATATCTTTACACAACTAAATTTTTCGGGTCCTCAGGAACTTAAAATGCATTGTAATTTTATTTCTAGTTAAAGCATTTGTAGTTTTTCAGTATATTCCTCACTGATGAAACCTTTGATATACTCAGCATGTACAGAAGAAAACAGACTAACTTGGCTCCAAAAGTTTCACAGAAGAAAACTATGTCCAAGATCGCCGTTGTAATAAGGCATAAATGAACTTCTTGACTGTTGGAGTAATTATAGATTCGTACAACGACGAAGTTTTACAACACAATGGATAACAATATATGAGGAAAATCATAAGCTTCGTGTCACCGTGGCTTTTTGCCGGGTGAGGGAGACCGGCTCTTGAAGATCTGCCTTCCACGGGCCAGCCAGTTAGCAGTGCGGGAGCGGTGAGGAGCCACGGGGGAGGAAGGACACGAGCGGGAGGGTGCTGGAGGGGCAGCTTCTCCGGGACCTCCCCGCGGTAAGGTCTTTGAGGAGCGTGCAGCATCTGGGGAGTCTTCACCTTCAACTTCTGGTAAGGCACGAAGGTGGGAATCAGGACGAGGTTGAGGTGAAGCACTTTGTGTGCGACCTTTACCATTAGCAAAGTCCACCAACAAACTCTGCCGACATAGCCTCTGGACGGAGGGCATGTCTTTTTTATCTCTATTCTTGTTACGCCGAAATAGTTTAAATATCCCTAGTGATGATCTGGTTGACTCAACAGATGGATCAATTGATGTCTTTCTACGATCTGGGGATTGTGAATCTATAGAATACCGAGAGTGTCTCTTGTCGCTTCCCAGGACTCCGGATGAGGCAGACTTAACAACCTGTGATGAAAGCTTTTGTGAAGCAGATTCTTCCAGCAAGCAGCCAGCACTCTGCCTCCGGAATGACTCCTTCTTTGGAATGTTGCGTCGTCTAGAGGCGACTCTTGGGGGTTTATCACGAGGCTCTTCTCTATCTTGGGAACTTTCAGTTGGAGTGGGAGAAGGAAGAGGCGATGGTCCTCTGGCATAAATCTCATCTGATTCTCGCCAGCTGTCCTCCGTGCTTGCAGTACCACTTCTGTGTCTTAACTTTAAGGGGTCATGACAACCACTGAGCCTCTGTTCTGTTGTGAGTGGAGCAGCTCCACGTGCAAGAAATTCTTCCTTTGCTTTCTTTATTTTGAGTGCACGAAGGTGAGCAGCAGGACTTCTGCTTTCCGGCCGTCCTGAGGTGCGGTCATGCGTGTGTTGGCCAGGGTCATCCACCAATACATCCATATCACAGGATGTGTCGGGGTCTGTAGGAGCAGGAGTGATGGCAGGACTGACAGCTGGCGAGCTGCTCCACCCGTCACTTGTACTTGGACCCTTGAATATAGAGAATTGTCCTGTTGGGATGTTGATATCAACATGACTTGTGTTGGACTTGCTACCTTGGACAAGTGAGCCACTTGCAGAGCGCTGGACTGGCTGAGGGGGCTCAGGATCGGAGGCAATGACCGAAGCGCTCAAAGATTTCAAAACACCACCAGCGGGGTTCACCGTCAGTGAATGAGATGAATCCGGTAGAACAGCCAGAAAGTTACTCTGGGAAGTATTACTGCCATCCTTATTATGGCCAACCATGAGGCCTGCCAAGATCTTCCTTTGTGTCCGAGGAGACTGCCAAGGAGGAGGGCTGGACGGTGGTGAACGGAATGGACTACCAAGTAATTCCTGATTTTCCGTGATGCGTTGATTAAATTTCTGAATAATGTTCCGTACTGCAGGAACACCTTCATTTACAGCTTCCAAGACCTTCCTTTTGGATTCAATTGGAGGACTTGTGGGTGTTGGCATCTGGAGGAGGGAGGCGGTGCTACTGCTGAGTGATGATGGGGTAGGTTGATGGGGTGAACGGGGTGAACGATCACTGGGAAGGGACACGACGGCATCAGAAGCTTCCTCAACACGTGTCTGAACTTGTGGTACATCATCTTGAATAGGAGTTTCCTTGTTAACTACGGCGTTTGATTCCACTGTTTCTTTTTCAAGTGATGACACCACAGCTTCTACATTAAGCTCTACATCTACCGTTACTCTCGGAGGTTCTTTGTTCAAGGAATCGTTTTGGAGTTTTACTTTCACATTTTCCTTTGTGTCAACAGTTTGGTTCTGGGAAGTCCGTGCAAGGGCGCCATTCTCTGACTTGGCTCTCTCAGTCTCTCTCTTTACGGTTTTAGACACATTCACTCTGCCACGATGGCCACTGGTGTCTGTAGAATCATCTTTTCTCTTTAGCAGAGGAGTAACTGGTGTGCTTTTAGTCTCAGCCAGAGCACTGGGTTGACTTTGACTTCTTCGCCAAGGTCCCATGCCTATCTCCTGCTCATCATCTTGACTATCTACGAAGGTAGGTGTGGCCCGGGCCTGCTCAGGATTACGGTTCCCCCCGAGTACGGTGAAGATGGTCCGCTTCGTGGGTACAAAGACATCTGGTGATTTATCTAAATTGGACGGGTCATCTGTTGCTACAGAGGGAAGAGCCCTGAGGCGCCGCCAGGGACCATCGTCAGCATCACGAGAGTTGGCCTTCCGCATGGAGGTGTTGCGACTGAGTCTGCCTGCGGTCAGAGCCTCGTCATCATACACAGTCCTGCTAAAGGTGTAGGCGAAACACTCGTCCCTGTTGTTCTGGCCAAAGCTCTCATACTCCACCTGTGTGAGACATAAATATTAATAATACCTACCCAGGCTTATCATGTAAAAATGTAAAAAAAAAAAAGAACCAATGTATTTTGTTTATCACATTATCTATGAATCTCACATTATATAGAGGTCATAAAAGGCTTAGAATGAAAACAAAAATCAGTACCAAATTCTTAACGCTGATTACTCTTGACTAACCAACAGCCACTAAATAGCAAACTATTATGGTAACACGACAACCATAAGGCCTCTTTCACACGAGCGCTTTTTGTCTCGTGGCTTAGATATCAATGGGACCTTTCACACCGACGTCCTTGAAATCTATTGATTTCTAAGTGTTGTGCAATACTAAAAAGCTGGAGTGAAAGAGGTCTAATATATACACTCGCTCCATAAAGTATCTTTATGGAGGGTCTGATGAATTTCAAAATGAACACAGCGACTCCTGTTGTCTCGGTAGGGTTGTCAAAATTCTTCGTCCGTTGTGTCATATTGTCTCACACAAAATCGTAAAGATACTTTTTGGAGCTTGTACCTGCACCATCATTACCATCACCACCAGCAGGAGATGGGCCTCACCTGGGTGTCAGAGATACGGCGAGTCCTCAGGTCCCTGGCAGCCTGCCGCGCCCCAGAAAGCGTCACTGTGACCTCCGTCTCGAAACTCTTGCTCCCATCTTTAGCTGCCTGGGATGACAACTCTGGCTTTGGCGTCTTTCTGTCCTCCCCCTCCTCTTCAGCCACTACTGCCTTCCACCTCCTTTTTGGTTTCTTTTGCTCCTCTGATTCTTCCTCTGCCCCTGCTTGCCATCTTCCTTTTACTGTTTTCTGTTCATCCTTTCCCTCTTCTTCTTCGTCCTCCGTTACTACTCGCCATCTCCCTTTTACTTTTTTCTGCTCTTCTCTTCCCTCTTCCTTTTCTTCCTCCGTTACTGCTTGCCATCTTCCTTTTACTTTTTTCTGCTCTTCTCTTCCCCCTTCCTTTTCTTCCTCCGTTACTGCTTGCCATCTCCCTTTTACTTTTTTCTGCTCTTCTCTTCCCCCTTCCTTTTCTTCCTCCGTTACTGCTTGCCATCTTCCTTTTACTTTTGTCTGCTCTTCTCTTCCCCCTTCCTTTTCTTCCTCCGTTACTGCTTGCCATCTCCCTTTTACTTTTTTCTGCTCTTCTCTTCCCTCTTCCTTTCCTTCCTCCGTTACTGCTTGCCATCTTCCTTTTACTTTTTTCTGCTCTTCTCTTCCCTCTTCCTTTTCTTCCTCTGTTACTGCTTGCCATCTTCCTTTTATTTTTTTCTGCTCTTCCTTTTCCGCTTCCTCTTCTTCTCCATCTACTACCGCCTTCCACCTGCCTCTTGGTTTCTTCTGTTCCTCTACTTCCTCCTCTTCCTCTACCACCACCTTCCATCTCCCCTTTGGCTTTTTCCTCTCTTCTGGTTCTTCCTCCTCCCACTCGAAGCTGGAGGACAACATGTGTTCTGCTGAGCGAGTGGAGGTGGTGGTGGCAGTCTTCCAGGTGCCTGCCAGGGAGATGCTGTCATCGTCATCGTCCACACGCGGAGATGACTGTAAAAAAAAAAACCCGAATCTGATTAATAAGATGTTCATATTAAGCTTTTATTTTCGACATGTATTCAGGGATCAATGATAAAAATTTTCTTGAAATATTTTTTACATTATTATCTTTTTCCATAACATGAAGATTAAGCCCCTAGATTAATTTTACCTGCTGCTAAAACACCCTAAATGCTACCGGGGTGGGGTGGTGTAGATTAGGGTTGTTAATCTTAAGGTGAAATAAGCTAGAGGGATTTAATCTACATGTGGTGATTGTTTTCTATACTTTTAATACTTCATATCTATCTCACTTTTTAGCTTTGAATTCAGGAATGTGCGAATGATTCAGGTGTTTTGTCAAGGAGGATTGATTGATTGATTGATTGTAATCATTACATCCATGGTGACGCAAACAGCTAGGCCGCAAGTTACCGAATTAGAATAAAGGCTTGCAAAGACTAAAAATCAAATAATATAAGAAAAACACGAGTAACACGTAACAGAAGCTAAAGAGGTATCTTCACTAAAGTCCTATTTTTATCTTGAACTGATGAACTCGAGGAGTTCTGACTGTGAACCCGAAGCAGTAGACACACTACACTTATTCTGTCCATAAATGCTTCGGATTCAAGAGTCTGAATCTGGTGTTCATGGTTCAGGTAGCGACAGGACTTTTTGGGGTGACTGTACCATTGTAAACAAGAGACTAACTGGATAGGATTTAGTGTACTGCCTCACCTCAGCCTCGGGTGCACTGGAGGCGATGCTGGGGGAAGGAGAGTGAGAGTGGAAGGTCCGGACGTAACAGTGGAGAGTCCGTCAGAGGAGCGCCGCCTTGGACCCTCCCATGTCCTCTCCTCTTCTTCTTCCTCCTCCTCCTCTCTTCGTCTTCCTCTTCTTCTTCCTCCTGTTGTTGATGTGTCTTGTATGATATTTCCTCCAGGGTAGTACCACCAGGCAAGAACTCCATTGATTTTGACTCCTCTTGGTGTTCCTCTTCATCATCATACTGTTGCTGCTGGCGGTACGAACCTTTCCTCGATTTGCGTAGTTGTTGGCAGACCTGTTGGGGAGGAACTTCTCGTCACAGAAATCTGCTGAGGTAGAAAGTATATACAACCCTAAAACTCCTCATCTTTTTATTTAATCATTTTCCTGAGAATAAATAAATTTAACTGATATTTTTAAAGGTTATTTTATACAGTATGATACAACAGTGTAATACAAACAATGTGTCAGTCATGAGTTATTGGGTCTTGTTAGCAGTATACAGTATCCACCCACCCCTCCCTTTCAAAGAATACACAAACAGACCCAAGTGATCTCTTTCTCTCTGTACATGACGGCTGCTTCTCCTCCACTCCACTGACTCTCGACGTTTGGAGAGGGAGGTAGTCGAGGGGGATTTAAGAGAACGGAGGGTGGACCCCACCAGCATGGGATGAAGGTGACCCATCTTGTGTAGTAATGCACGGCTCTGAAAGGTTCCGTTAGCTTCAGCCACCAGCTCGTTTTGTTCACCTGAGAAAAATTGAATGTCTTATGTACAGCATGAGAACCTCCATAATACATTATGTCCAGCCACCCTGTTATGTCTCAACACAGGCATCTTACCATTTCTATCATCCCCACATCAATCATATTGCCCCTATCATCCCACCTCACACGTCTCTATCATCCCACATCAATTATACGTCTCTATCATCCCACCTCACACGTCTCTATCATCCCACCTCACACGTCTCTATCATCCCACCTCACACGTCTCTATCATCCCACCTCACACGTCTCTATCATCCCACCTCACACGTCTCTACCATTCCACCTCACACGTCTCTCTATTTCATCCCACTCCCACACGTCTCTATCATCCCACCACACACCCCTATCATCCCACCTCACACGTCTCTATCATCCCACCTCACACGTCTCTATCATCCCACCTCACAGTCTCTATCATCCATCTCACACGTCTCCCTATCATCCCACCCTCACACTGCCCCTATCACATCCCACCTCACACTGCCCCTATCATCCCACCTCACACGTCTCATCATCCCATCTCACACGCCCCTATCATCCCACCTCACACGTCTCTATCATCCCCCACCTCCCTGGCCACGTCTCTATCATCCCATCTCACACGTCTCATCATCCCACCTCACGTCTCTATCATCCCATCTCACACGTCTCTATCATCATCCCATCTCAGCAATGTCTCTATCATCCCATCTCACACGGGCCCTATCATCCCATCTCACGTCTCTATCATCCCACCATACGTCTCTATCATCCCACCTCGCACGTCTCTATCATCCCACCTCACACTGCCCCTATCATCCCATCTCACACGTCTCTATCATCCCACTCTGCCATGCCTCACATTATCCCACTCACACGTCTCTATCATCCCACATTCTCACATCAAGTCTCTATTTATCCCATTCACACGCCCTATCATCCCACCTCGACTAAGAAACAACTGTTGGTGTAAAAAAATAACTCAAAACTCACAAGTTGTTCTCCTCCACGTCATGGATTGGTATGGGTTCCGACGCCTCTGATTCAGGTGATGTAGAATCTACTGGGAGAAAGAGAGAGTTAAAGAGAGAGAGAGAGAGAGAGAGAGAGAGAGAGAGAGAGAGAGAGAGAGAGAGAGAGAGAGTCTTCACCTGCGACAACTCGATCACTTGTTTATGTCTGTCCGGATTTACTTTAACCTTTGGTGGCTGTCTTATGAGCAAGTATCGACAGGTGAGCAGGAAGTACCGTAGGAGGAAGTACTGATGGTGTTTTTTAAGAGAAAGTAGACAGTGTTTTAAGGGGAAGTGCACTGACAGGGCTTTTTAAAGGATGTACTCTAGACAAAAAGGAAGTACAGGGTACTGAGACAGTACTAAGAAGAAGTACAAACAATGCTTCCGTAACATTTATACAGGACAGTGGTATAACTTACAGGATTCTGCCTCACCACCTTTAACTCTCTTTCCCTTGTTAATTCCCTAGGTTGTCTGATTAGTTAGTTAGGGTTTGCTAGGGTTTATAGTGAATCGTGATTTGAACAGCGAGAACTCCTTTCGTCTCCTGCCCTTTCACAGCCTTCACCCCCTCCTTTACACACAGTCACCTCTCCCTCAGTCACCCCCTCCCCACACACAGTCACCCCCTCCTCACACAGTCACCCCCTGCCTCACAGTCACCCTCCTGCTATTGTAGTCACCCCTCCGCCACCCAGTCACCCTCCTCACACAGCGTCACCCCTCCTTACAGAAGTCACCCCCTCCCTCACACAGTCACCCCCTCCCTCAGTCACCCCCTCCTTCCCTCACCCCTGAAGCTCCACATCTTCATCATCTCGACCCGTAGTTCCTTGGCCATCCGACTCAGCTCAGCGTTCATGGCGAGGAGGTCCTGAGGGTCACATGTGTACTGGGAGGAGTGACCCTTGAAGCTCCTACTCGACTCCAGCGTCACTGACTCACGTGCTTCTTGGCCCCCACCAGTACCGCCCTCCCAGCTGCTACCACCCTGTAATGTGTACAACAGTGTTATAGTGTCGTGAGTAAATCAGTGTTACAGTGTAGTTAACATCGATAAACATCATATCTTAAAGTGAGTATTTAGTGTTGTATTTGTGTTAGTCCTGATATTATCTTATTGTAGGGTGACTTTAATGACTGTATGTGTGTGTATCAGAGGTTTTAAGCCAAGTGACCTTTGACCTATGTATCAGGGGCTCTAAAGACTGGAGTCGAGAGTTGGAGTAACCTCTGACCCTGAGTGACAATAGAAACTCACATGGAAGGCGTCGCCGGGGATGGTGATGGCCTCGATGGATGACCAGGTACGGCCGGGAGTGACCTTACCGCGGCGTTGAGGTGAGGCCAAGTCCCCCACCAGCCGCAGGGAGGATCGGCCTCTTAAGCTCCTCTGGCGGTAGGAGGCTGCGTGGCTACCTCCTCCTCCTCCTCCTCCTCGCACATCTCCACGACGCTCCAGTCCGTGCTTGGCCACCAGTGCCTGCTCCAGTCGCTTGGCCTGTGGGTAGGGAGGAGAGAGTGAGTGAGTGAGGGAGACAGGGAGGAGAGGTAGGGTGGTTGAAGAGAGACAAGCAAAGAAGAAGAAAGGGGGAAGTACGGAAGCAATGAGGAAAAAAAGAAGATAGACGGGGAGAAGGGAGGGAAGGAAGGAAGTAAGTAGAGAAAGCAAAAAGGGAGGAAAGAATGTATAAATTTGAAATTAATAAAGTAGAGAGACAAGAAGGATCCTGTTATTAAGAATATCCGCTATTGAGAAGTTCGCTATTGAGGATTTTACTGTATCATCACCTCTCCACCTACAGCTGCCCCCCACAGTACCCCTCCACCTCCCGCACCTACAGCTACCCCCCTCCCCACAGTACCCATCCACCTCCCGCACCTACAGCTACCCCCCTCCCCACAGTACCCATCCACCTCCCGCACCTACAGCTACCCCCCTCCCCACAGTACCCATCCACCTCCCGCACACCACCCCTCCCCACAGTACCCCTCCACCTCCCGCACCTACAGCTACCCCCCTCCCCACAGTACCCATCCACCTCCCGCACCTACAGCTACCCCCCTCCCCACAGTACCCATCCACCTCCCGCACCTACAGCTACCCCCCTCCCCACAGTACCCATCCACCTCCCGCACCTACAGCTACCCCCCTCCCCACAGTACTCCCTCCACCCTCCTGCACCCCATACATCAGCCCCCTCCTCATGCAATTCTCCACCTCCTGCACTTCCACAGCTACTCCCTCCTACAGTACCTCCATCACTCCTCACCACCTCCCTGCACTCCACAGCTGCCCCCCTACAGTATGTTACTCACCTGGAAGAGTAGATCCCCCGTTAGGTTATGGAGTTTCTGGACTTTCTTGGGCGGGACTTTTTTAACCTTACGATGTTCTCTTGGTCGACTCTCCCGCCTCTCCACCACCACCACTTGTTCCTCCTCCTCCTCCTCCTCATCCTCTTCTTCCTTCTCCACGATCTTCAGTTCCTCCTTCGGTGCCTCCTCCTTTTCTAAGCCTTCGGGTGAATCCTTCTCAGTGTCCTCCTTGGGTTCCTGTTCGTCGTGGATGTCCTCTGGTAAGTGTTCCTCCACAACCACACTGCCAGACCAAACCATTACATTACTACTTGTACAGGACACAGACAGGTACACAGGACAAGGACAGGTACATAGACAGGTACACAGGACACAGACAGGTACACAGGACAAGGACAGGTACATAGACAGGTACACAGGACACAGTCAGGTACACAGGACAAGGACAGGTACACAGGACACAGATAGGTACACAGGACATAGACAGGTACACAGGACACAGATAGGTACACAGGACATAGACAGGTACACAAACAGGTACACAGGACACAGACAGGTACACAGGACAAGGACAGGTACACAGACAGGTACACAGGACATAGACAGGTACACGGGACACAGACAGGTACACAGGACAATGACAGGTACACAGACAGGTATACAGGACAATGACAGGTACACAGGACACAAACAGGTACACAGAACATAGACAGGTACACAGACAGGTACACAGGACACAGACAGGTACACAGGATACAGACAGGTACACAGATCGTCCACTATATCAACATAGATGATGGATTGTATAGTATATCTGTCATGTATATAAGAAAGGACTATGGTTTAACCCTTTGAGGACTATGATTTAACCCTTTAACGACTACGGTTTAACCCTTTGAGGACAATGGTCTAAACCACACCTCGGCCTCAAAGGGTTAAGAGGAGGTCATAACTAAGGTGTTGCAGGAAGGCCAACTCACCTGTCTTCAGAAGGCACATTGAGGTCGTGGTTCTGACACTGAACAGTCTGGATGTTGACCTCGGCCCCAGCGTCCTGTAGCTCACGAATCCTTTGTACCAGAGACTCAGCAATCTCAGTCTCGTGTTCCTTGTGGAGCTTGAAGGCGCGCTGAGAGAGAGAGAGAGAGAGAGAGAGAGAGAGAGAGAGAGAGAGAGAGAGAGAGAGAGAGAGAGAGAGAGAGGTGGATTTGATAAGTTTGATATATTAACCAGAATTCATGCCCATCCCACCTTACCTCAAGCACTCCCACCCTACCCCACCCCACCCCACCTCACACCACCTCATCCTACCCCTCACAAGTCGACATGATGAAGAGGTAAATAAACACAAAACAAAAGTAAGTGTTATGAGGTGTAGGGAGAGTCTGGATAACTCATGAATTTCATTACTTTTACTTCCTCCTCCTCCTCACCTCAAGCTGTTACTTAATCTCTCCCTCCTCCTCCTCACCTAAAGCTGTTACTTAATCTCTTCTCCTCCTCCTCCTCCTCACCTCAAGCTGTTACTTAATCTCTACTTCCTCCTCCTCCTCCTCACCTCAAGCTTATTACTTAATCTCTTCCTCCTCCTCCTCACCTCAAGCTATTCCTTAATTTCTACCTCCTCCTCCTCACCTCCAGTTCCTTAATCTCTACCTCCTCCTCCTCACCTCTAATTGTTCCTTCTCATCCATCAAGTGATCTCCTCTCATCTCCAACTCCACGATCCGCGCCTTGAGCTGGTTAATGAGCCGCTGGTTGGCTTCGGTGTCGTCAGCTGCTGTGTTGGGGTTCTCGTCGTCCTCGTCGTCATCACGCGGGGTACTGCTCGAGTCCTTCATGATGATGGTCACTTGGCGGTGTAGCTTCTCTGTGGAGAGTAAATAAACAAAATTTCGGTCAGGTGGAGTGTAAACAAACAATATGGCGGTCAGGTGGAGTGTAAACAAACAATATGGCGGTCAGGTGAAGTGTAAACAAACAATATGGCGGTCAGGTGGAGTGTAAACAAACAATATGGCGGTCAGGTGGAGTGTAAACAAACAATATAGCGGTCAAGCTTCTCTGTGGAGTGTAAACAAATAAAATAAATCGGTATTTCCCACACACACACACTCAAACTAAATGACTCACTGTTCAATTTGATTACTACTACTACTACTACTACCTAACCTAACATAACCCCTTCAGCCAGAGACACCCTCCCCACCTCAGGCAGACAACCCTCCCCCCTCCCCACATCAGGCAGACACTCCCCTCCCCGTACCTAAGGTCCTGAGGTGCTGGTCTGCCACATTATCCATCTTTGAGTCAATGTCACCCATCTGTGTCTCAAGGGCGCGGCAGAGGTCTTCCTGCTGGCGGAGTTTATCCAGGAGGCTCATGTTCTCGTGCAGGAGGGAGCGGTAAGAGCCCTGGGTGCGGCCGCTGTCTGTCCGTCGGAGGTTCGTCACCATGTCCTCGTTGTCATCAGCCCGTCGACGTCTGGTCACGTCCTCCTCGCTGTCGGGACACACGGGAGGGGTTTATACGGGTACTTACACATATACAGACACACACACACACACACACAGACACAAACACACGGAAAAGATACAAACACAGAAACACATTAAAACAAACAAAACCAAGATCTCATTTAACACACACCTACAGCATCACAACACACACCTACAAGAACACTGCTGGTGAAACTAACCTTCCTGATGAGTCGATGTTCCTGGTGATCTCGGCGGGGGCGTAAGGTGTAGTGTGGTCGTGAAGGGAGGGCGTGTCATCCACCACCTCCTCCAGCTGCACCAACACCGCTACTTTAGGTGTGATGGGGTCCTCAGCAGCTAATGTTGGTTCACTCGCTGCTTTGTTCTCTGCTGGATAAACAAGAACACACACACACGTTATTATCATCACGTGAAGGTTAAAGGTGGGGGGGGACCAGAGAGGGAGGGGGATATATATAGAGAGAGAGGGAGAGAGAGAAAGAGGGAGAAAGGACTATTAGATGAAGGTAGACTTAAGGTATCACCGCTGAGGAATATATGCTAAAATTATACTTGCTGAGAGAGACAGAGAGAAAGAGAGAGAGAGAAACAAGATTGGTCACAGCAGGAATATATCAAATACAGTACGATAACATCTACACCAAACGATAGCCCAGGCAGCAACTAATACACCTAACTATCTTCCTAATATTTCCCTGTTAAGACGACTAAGGGAGTGAGTAATGCCGGAGATGAACCAGTTGGCTCTCTCTCCACCCTTGCCGCTTATCATCTTCTGTAGCTAAAAACAAACACACACACACACACACACACACACACACACACACACACAAAACTGGCGCTGAATGTGACGTCAGAGGTTAGTGATGACGTAATTGGTGTTATGTCACGTAGAGGGGTGTGATATAGCCTTGCCAGACGTTATGGTGTGTGCCCCTGCCAGACATAATGGTGTGCCCCTCCCAGCCGTAATGCCTTAGGAATCCTCTATAAATTTATTCCTATTAAGTTTCATATTAAATCTTTGTCAAAAAAACCAAAAAACAGTTCCACATTAATTTAACATCTTGATATTGTTTACATTTTGACTATCGTTATGCTTTTTTTTTTTTGGTGGTCAATTCTTACCTTGGAGTCCCGTGTCTTCAGTTTCCATCTCGTTGAGTGAGAGGCTGGACGGGTGAGAGTGTACTGAAGTGGCTGCAAACTCGGCCGCCATCGATGACTCCGACTTGGATCTGTAGGAAGGAAGAGATTATTATGTCATCTCATGTTGGTGTTGTTGTTGTGAAGGAAGAGGTCTATTTTGTCTTTGTGTGTGTCTGTAAGAAAATCTGTCTCTTATCTCTCCATGTTTCTGTCTCTATCTGGTCTCTGTGTCTATATTTCTGTCTGTTTTATTCTCTATCTCAGTCTACCTGTATCTCCCCCCCGGACCACCAGCACCCACCTGACGAGTCTGGCAGGTTCTGGGCTCTTGGGCTTCTCTTGAACCTCCTTTTCGGGGGCCTTGTAGTTGGGGTCGAGGAGGGCGATGGTGGAAGACTCCGGCCGGATGCCTCGCCGTTCCTCCCACTCATACAGCTTCTTAGTGAACGTCTGGCTGATCCCCTCGAACCTGAACTCCCCCGTTGACGTCTTTATGTAAATCTCCTTCTTCTTGGCTGGACCTCCCTGACCCATAGCCTGACGCATCTTCTCCAACCTGGCGAAACAGTAACCAGAGGATTATCAAAGTGATCTAAAGAGTGACTCACGGTTAATTTGGAAGGTTAATGGCGATCGGTTTGTTATCGTATGGTTAGAGAATACAATGGTGTCTCTGATATGACTCTGGCACAATGGTTGTTAAGTTGTGGGTAGTGTTAGTAGTCCTCCTCACCTGGCTTGTCTCTCTAGGAATTTCTCTTTTTCTCTCTCCAGTCTCTGAGTCTCTCGCTCCACCTTATGTAACTCCTTCTCCAGCCACTGCAGCTCCTTGTCTGACTTATCGCGTCCTTTGTGGCTGCTCTCGGTTTTTCCCTAGACACGGGTTGTCAAGAGAGATTGAGTATTATATTGACTAACACATTACAGCTTTGTTCTAGTGTTAAAGTCATACAATATGAGAAGAGAACAGTGTTTTTGTTCCCAGTAAGGAGTTGATTTATCTTAGCTAGTATCTTGATTCTTTATATATACAGTAAAACGCAACGATACCAATGGGAATCACTCCATAACTCACCACCGGCGCCTTGTCCGTCTTGCCTGACTTCATCTTCTTGATCTTGTGAGCAGAACCCTTCCTGTCCAGCCTAGGACTTGAGCTAGGTCCTCCCGTTATGGGTTTCACCAGCACCTGACTCGCTGAAACTGAGGCCTTAACTTGAGACGGACTGGAGACACTGCCAGAGTTATGCTGAATCTGACCTGAAGCCCTGACTTGTATGTTACCTGCCGAGGCTGATGGCTTCACCTGTGGGTGTCCTGGGCTGGGTTTAATGTGTCCTTGGTTGGCCGAGGCTTTGATTCTCTCCCACTCCGCCATCTTACGGTTGAATTCCTCGCCCAGGTTCTTCTGCAGCTCCTCCACGTTGTGTTGACTCTGACCCACCAGAGCTTTCCGGATCTTCCACTCGGTAAGTTTCTTCCTGAAGTCGGCAGGAAGGTCGTCCTCGCCGTGAATCTTGGTCTTGACGTCCTCTTGGCCTCGTGGGACTTCAGTCTTACCCTACAAGTGGATAAGATGGATAAAGAGCGAGACAAACATAATAAAACCCTCCCACAAAGGTAGAGGTTCATGATGACAGCAATATTTCGACAACCCTAACACAGATAAACCCACCCAAACGTCGACTTACCTTCTCTCTCTCCCTCCAAACGTCGACTTACCTTCTCTCTCTCCCTCTCCTTCATCTTCTCCCACTCGTGAAGTTTCTTGCGGAACTCATAGGGAAGATTATCCTCGGGGTGAGTGGTTGTTACTCCTCCAGGTGGCACAGAAGCACAGCCAGGCGCAATAGGAGGGTGGTGAATACCTCCCTGACCAGCTCCACCCTTCAGCTTCTCCCATTCCTGTAGTCGTCTGTTGAACTCCCCACTCAAGCTCTTCTGCAGGTCAGCTAAGACGCCTGACGGAGGAGATGCAGGAGGTTAAGAGTCATATAATAATAGGTTGAGTGTTTTGGCATGAGTTAAGAGACTAAAAGTGAGCGTGGAATGAGGTTAGAGTGATGGCGTGGGCGTGGAATGAGGTTAGAGTGATGGCGTGGGCGTGGAATGAGGTTAGAGTGATGGCGTGGGCGCGTGAAATGGGCGTGAGCGACCAGATCCTTCCCTTAAATACTAACCTGAGTGTTGCTGGTGGGTGGCTAGAGGCTGCGGAGAGGGCGTGGAGTGAGGTTGGGGTGACGGCGTGGGCGTGGAATGGGCGTGAGAGACCAGATCTTCCGGGGACACCTCTAAGGACACCACAGGGGAGTCAGAGTCGTAGAGAGTAGACGATTCAACACCTGGAAGGACAACAACAGGTGGGTAGATGACGTAACACAACACAACACAACACAACACAACACAACACCGATCTTGTTAAAAATAGCAGAAAAACTAAATTCTTCCTAAAAAAGGCCATATATCTTACTCCTGTGTGTCAGCCGAAGCAACAACAACACTCCCTCTACTCCCTGTCTTTTACTCACTTCCCTACCTCCACTCCCTCTACTTCTCCCTCTTACTCCCTCCCTCTTACTCCCTCCTCTCTCTTACTCCCTCCTCTCTCACTCACTCCCTCTACACACTCCCTCTACTCCCTCCCTCTTACTCCCTCCCTCTACTCCCTCCCTCTACTCCCTCCCTCTACTCCCTCCCTCTACTCCCTCCCTCTACTCCCTCTTACTCACTCCCTCTTACCTAAATGTGGCGGAGAATCGAAGTGGAAGGTGTTAGTCTTTTTACTAGGTGACGGAGGGAGTGATGCCGATACTCCAACACTAGAGGGCCGAGCGTCAGGTTTGGCTGGCTGGTGTTGCTGGCCCGTCAGGAAGGCTTTCTTAACTTTGGTCCAATTCGATGCTCGGCGTGGGGAGGGAGGTGTCATAGGGAGGGAGGGCGGGGCGCGGGGGTCCAACTGAGGGGGAGGAAAGAATGATGACATAAAACACTATACGTTCATCAATACCTATGGTGGTTTTAAATTACGTTCATCAATACCTATGGTGGTTTTAAATTATGTTATCAATATCTACGATGATTTTAAACCACGTCATCAGTAACTACGACGATTTTAAAACAGGAAAATGATTCACTAGCAAGACCAACAATAAAATTCGAAGTTTGTTATGATTAGACTCTGAAATAATAACTTTGGCATTGTATAAGACGTCAAACACGAAGACCAGAAATACAATGATCAGAGAAAGGAACAAAGGCAGAGGTAATGACAGCTCGAGGGGATATACAGTATATATATAGAGACCCAAGGATGATTTCTCACGTAAACACAGACACCATTGAGTCATAGCACTGGTATAGACACGCGCACACACACACGCACACGCAAAAAACATGACGTCATTTGAGGGAGAGACACACGCAAATAAACAAAATGACGTTATTTGAGAGAGAGACACACGCAAAAAAACAAAATGACGTCATTTGAGGGAGAGACACACGCAAAAAAACAAACATGACATCATTTGAGAACAAGGGCAAGAGATGACGTCACACAGGTAAACAGAGCCAATGGGAGTTACCTGTGCTGGGGAGACCTTCCTGTGTCGTGACTCTGGTGATCGGTGTAACTGCCGGGGCCTGTCACCACCACTAACACCACCACTACCACCTCCACCAACACCTCCCTGGGGGTAAACACAGCGATATACCACCAGGGGGAGGCTTCTCTGCTTCAGGTTATTGTCATATATAAATTAAGGGGAAGTGATGAGTACTTAGAATATGCTTTCCTTATCTTAGAGAGAGAGAGAGAGAGAGAGAGGAAAATGAAAAGGAATCGAAATTTTTTTAAATGCTTATCATTATATCACAAAGCCATGTCAATATTGTTATTTTTATCCATTCTGTTCCTGCATTTTTTTCTGGGTAAATAAACCTAACCTAACCTAACCAAACCTAACCAATATGAAGGAGTACTAACGTGAAGGTGACTCAGGTCTTCACTAGAGGGCACGGTGATAGTGAGCTGTGGTTTGGCGCGGCGCACTCCTAAGCTGGTGGTGGCTGTCACAGGTGAGTCGCCCTCCTCTCTGGGCCCCGTCCACACGCCGCCAGCCTCCCACTCACCCTCGCTACCGGCCTCCACCACCACATCCCCAGCCACACCTTCGTAATCCACCTCATAATCCTGTATAATGAAACATCTTATTAACAACAATCATCAAAATAATAAGCAATACTGAAATATATATAAAATAAAGGCTTAATTAATCCCATTATTGACATCTTTTTACAACACTTTACAATCCTCACGTAAATTTTGGCTCTAACCTTCCCTAAAAACGACTAAAATTTATAAAAATAAATAAATATATAAAACGATAATCTTACCCAAATTTAACACATTATCGTAAAAAAAAATGCTATATATTAAAAAATATCCTTAAATATATTCTTATATAATTTAGAAGAAACTTAGAATATATCTGGTAGTGAAGGGTAAATATTATTGGTTTGGTTGTGGCGAGGAAAATGCGTCATTAAAGCGATAGATTGAAGAATTTATGATAAGAGGTTGAAATGTTTGTTTGTGGTGTGTGTGTGTGTGTGTGTGTGTGTGTGTGTGTGTGTGTGTGTGTGTGTGATGAAAACAACAAGACAGAACACAAGAACAAAAATAACACGAGGTGAACAAGATCTAGAAGAAGTAGTGCAGTGGGAGGTCTGAGTTAGCCTTCTTGTGGCCTCCTCAGGTGTTTATATGACATGACACTCGTGACAGACAGCTTGATTGACATGACAGGGGGGAGGGGGGGGACAAGGTGGGCGGCAGAGTGGTGGTGGGTGGGCAGCAAGGTGATGGTAGAGGTGGTGGATTGAGTGGGTGGGTGGTGAAGTGGGGTGGGTGAGTATGGGGTGGTGATGGAGATGGGGTGGTGGATGGTGATGGGGTGTGGTGGTGGTGGTGGTGGGTGTGGTGGTGGTGGGCAGCAATGTGATGGTGGTAATGGTTGTAGTGAGTGAGTGTTGGAGTGGTAGGTAATGGTGGTAGTGAGGTAGGCAGAATGGTGATGAATAGTTGTAGTAATGGTATAGGCAATCAGAGGGTTAATAGCCATCACTAATTAAAACAAAACCACTCAGATAACCATTTAATATCAGACACTACAAATGACTTAAAGACCCAGCAGCCATAATTATGTCTCATCTACCCCGTATAATGATTTAAATGCGTATGATAATCAAAACCCTCATGTCTGATCTTATTCACCAGCCATAGATCAATCGAAATAAATATTAACTAGTTTTAAAAACTCCAAAAAAACTAAAAAAAAACTAAAAATAAATATTAACTAGTTTTAAAAATTCCAAAAAAACTAAAAAAAAAAACTAAAAATAAATATTAACTAGTTTTTATTATGATGATTTCAGTTATAAAAATCACCAGTAATTTTTTTTTTTTTATAAGGGGGAATAATTTTACTCCCGGACGGACACAGAGACAGGGGTTACAATACCTCGGGGTCAGAAGCGGCCGACACTTCTACAGCGGTGCCAGCGTGTACATCGTGGCCCAGTGGTCGTTCTATGGTCGACTTACGGTGGGAGGCCGGGGTGGATTTCTTCCTTACACTGTCCCGCCTCGTGCTGATCATATTCTTTACCTGGGGAGAATATGGGGTGTTTATCTGGGGACAGAACAGGGTGCTCGTAAATGATCCACCTAGCCCACACCTGAACCCACCACCTAGCCCACACCTAAACCCACCACCTAGCCCACATCTGTATCCACCTAGCTCACATCTAAACCCACCACCTAGCCCACACCTGAACCCACCACCTAGCCCACATCTGTATCCACCTAGCCCACACCTGTATCCACCTAGCCCACACCTGAACCCACCTTGCCCCATGCTGAGCGGTGACCCTTCTTCTCCTTGTCGTGGGGTCGTGTCCGGGGGTCACAATCGAGGGTAGCAGCACGACGGTCGTCCTCGGAACTTGAATGTCGACGACCTGGAGACTCCGGTAACTCCAGGAACTGATCTGTGACACCAACATGACACTCGTTAGTATATGACACTTGACACACCATCAACACCTGTTTATATGACACTTAACAACCCCATGACACTTATTAATATATGATTATTGACACTTATTTACTGTATGACACCTGACACCATCAACATGACACTAATATATGATACCTGACACCACCAATATGACACTTGTTTACTGAATGACACCTGACACCACCACCATGACACTAATATATGACACTTGACACTGCCACCATGACACTTGCTTACGCGACACCTAACACAACCAAAATGAGACTAATTGACATATGACTCATGACACCACCAATATGACACCTGACACCACCACCATAGGGTTGTGTTGGAGAGGTGAGGGAGACAGAGAGTTATATCACCAACACTTCATCAACAGCACTAACAGGAGGGAATGTGGGAACTGTCCAGACAAACCAACACACAACATTCTTCTCTTAGGGTGTGTGTGTGTGTGTGTGTGTGTGTGTGTGTGTGTGTGTGTGTGTGTGTGTGTGTGTGTGTGTGTGTGTGTGTGTGTGTGTGTGTGTGTGTGTGTGTGTGTGTGTGTGTGTGTGTGTGTAAGAACTCAATGATTCTCGAAAGACACCTCATCGGAATCCAAACACGTTGTCAATATCGTTTTACAACACTGTACAAATAACCTTAACAGCAACAACAAGCCACAAACGGTGTAAATAACCCAACCTGTTAGAGTAACCTGATCAAACAACAACAACAACAGCAACAACAATATGGCGGCGAATGAAAACCAACTATGTGATTCTTACTTACAAAAGATCTACTTAATGCGAGATTCTTGTTAAGTCCCTCCTCCTCTCCTCTCTCCTCCCTCTCCCCTCCTACCTCTCCTTCCCTCTCCTCCCCTCAGTCTCCTCCCCTCCCCTTCCTCTACCTTCTCTCCCCTCCCTCACCCCTTCCAGAATACTAAACACTTGTACGATGATATTTTCCCTTAATTGTGGGAAGGAGAGGGGGGAATGGGGGGTAGGAGAAGGGAGAAAGGTAGAAGAAGGGAGGAAGGGAGAATGGGTAGATGGAGAAGGGGAGAAGGTGGGAGGAAGGGAAGGGGAGGGGTTGTATTCGCCACTGTAGAGGGAGGAAAGAGGAGGATTTGAGGATGTAGGAGGGAAAGGAGGTGTTTGGGTGGAAGAGGAAGGGGTTTGAGGACGTAGGAAGAGGAAGGAGGGTTTGAGGGGTGGGGGGGAGGAGGAGGAGTTTGAGGGGTAGGGGAGGGAAGGAGGAGTTTGAGGGGGTAGAGTGAGGGGAAAGAGAAGGGGGGGGAGGAGGGAGAAGAACACCTCTAGTGGACTATAGAGCAGTTAAGACCACCGCGTCTTACAGCTCACAGTGACCCAGTTAGGGACGGCTTCTGTAGTGTGGGGAAATAAACTGACCTGATGTACCTTTAAGAACCTGAAGCCTGATTAGTTTCTGCTATACATACCTTAGACCAGCAGGTGTGTGTGTGTGTGTGTGTGTGTTGCTGGGTTGGTGTGTGTTTGTTGGAGAGAGAGAGAGAGAGAGAGAGAGAGAGAGAGAGAGAGAGAGAGAGAGAGAGAGAGAGAGAGAGAGAGAGAGAGAGAGAGCCAACATACTCTAACACCAAATAAACAAGACAATATTCAACACATGGCAACTCCTAGAAACACTAAATCACCGGGAGCCAAAAATGTCAGGAATTCCACCGTTTGAGGGTTGGGTACTTGGCTGGGGGTGGAGGGTCAAATCCCATGTAGAATTGGTGTAGCTGAGGGATATGGGGGGTCAATCCATAGAGAATTAGTCTTAGCTAGGAAACAATAAATTGGTGGGGGGGAGGGGGAGGGGGTCGTTTTAGGGTCGCCTGTATGGGTCGTTTATAGAGGTCGTTCTACAAGTCATCTGTCGTAAGAGAATCACATGTGTGTGTGTGTGTGTGTGTGTGTGTGTGCTGTGACTCCGTGACGTCACACTGTGAATCAAACCGTCCTTCTGATAAAATAAGCCCGAGGAGTCACCAGCTGTCAGAGGGAAGGGGCGTGGCCGTCTGTGTGGAGGGAGGGGTGTGGCCATCTCTGTGGAGGGGGAGGGGAGGGGTGTGTGGCATGTGAGTGCAGGGAGGGGAGGGGTGTGGCCGTCTGAGGCAGGGGAGGGGGGGGGGAGGGGTGTGGCCATCTGGGTGCAGGAGGGAGGGGTGTGGCCCATCTGAGCGGGAGGGAGGGGTGTGTGCATCTGGTGGGGGGAGGGAGGGTGTGGCCATCTGAGGCCTGAGGAGGAGGGTGTGGCCATGTGGTGAGGGAGGGGGTGTGTGCATCTGAGGCAGGGAGAGGAGGGTGTGGCCATGTGGTGAGGAGGGAGGGTGTGGCCATCTGAGCGGGGAGGGAGGTGTGGCCAGTGTGGGTCCAATGTTGACCCGGCCATGGTAACGGTACAGGGCAGTTGCATCACTCTAACAGGATTTTATTTATTTAGTGTATAATAATGAACTTTTTCGCGATAAATGTATCAAAAAAAAAAGAGAGAGAGAGAGAGATGCATTACTGACACATGTGCCTCGGTGTCCCCCTCCCGCCCCCTCCCAGGTGTGACTACCACTTCACTGCCAGACGTAAGGAGTGAGTCAGAAGCGTCGGGTTTTCTGGGTGGGGCAGGGCGGGGCGGGGATGGGGTTAGATGGGGCGGGGCGAGGGAAGATTGAATTGAATTGAAATAGTTTATTTAGCCAGAAAAACACAGATACAGAGTGGATAATAATAACAATATTAACATGGCTGAGCCAGTTGAGAACCTAAGCTCTCCTGTAGGCACCTGATATATACTATACATTTATCTCAAGGAAGTATTGTGTAACATTTAGTATCATCTGGAATAGTACAATAGCATGGTGGTAATAAGAACATATCAGTATGTTACCGCGATTATCACTTCGAAATTTAATAAATACATAAATTATGGTGGAATTGAAAAACAAAAATATAATGGGGGAGCAGTACAACATGGGTTGTATTAAGGTTGAACAAGAGGACAGAGTTGTCAGAATCATGTCTAGTTGGCAAATATGTATATATTGCAATGGTAATTTCTTATCTATCTACATGGTAATTTCCGATAAAACGATTTTGATGGTACAATAAAAGCAGGTACTGTAAATATAGTAGGTGTTACAAGAAATATTAAAACTTAGACAATAGATATTTTTTAAGAGATGATTTAAAGGAAGGGAGCGTAGTCTTTGCTGGGATGGGTGGGGGTAAGTTGTTCCACACCTTCACACCGTGATATTTTATGGAGGTCTGGGACTGAGAGGAGCGCATGGGGTGTGTGGTCTTAGTAGCTCTGGGTGCCTTAAGTTGTATCTCTGATTATTCCGGCACAGCAGTAGGTGTTAATATCCTCGAATTTTAACATTTTCAATTTAGCAAATTGTTCGTTTGTGTGATCTGTTTTTTTTCTAGTTCATTGTCCGTACAACTCTCTTTTGTGCAGTAACCAGGGATTGTGTTTTTGGTCTTGGCGGGAGGTATAATGAGTTTTGTCAAACCAAACCAAGCCAGTAGAAAAACATACATTCACTAGCTATGAGGGAAGTGCTACCGATAGGTGCGGTTATTGTTTGTAAAATGTGAGGTGACATTATCGCCTCAGGGGCTATTCTGGATACTGCACATGTCTATATGTGTCATCAGTTCTCTGGTATGGAAGCTTTGGTCTTGGCTGGAGGTGTAATGATTGTTTGTCAGACCACAGCTTACAGCCCAGAGAACAACAACACATATAGCAGTAACCGGACGTGCAGGTGTACACCCACGTAAGTTGACCAACGCTTCGTAATTAAAGTGAGATTACCTGACCCAGCAGAACTCACGGTCGCAATGAAACAGAGTTCTCGCCGCCGTGTGATTAGTGAAACCAGCGTCATGACCTTGTTAACTCCAGAAACTACACTCCAGCCCGCACCACTCACCTGATCAAACACAGCTGTCTCCACACACCCAGATTAGTGTTAATTAGTGACATCTGCCGGCCTGATCCCCCAATGTAAGGGGCCGACAACTCCTTCTGTGGCACAGACAGAACTCAGTGGCAGACAGAGTCACACTCGTCACAAGTCGAGGTCAGGAGGGGGGACTTCTCTCCCCAGCACCGAGGCTCCAGCTGGCAGCGTCTCCCACAAGAAACAGAGTCCAGTACCGGCCGGGACCACTCTCTTCAGCAGCACCTGTAAACATTCCCCAGCCGCTGTGCCTCCCTCAGGTCACACATAGTCATTGTCAGAGCGATCCATAGGGTGAGTTACTTACGGTGGGAAGTGTATCCATTTCATGTTTGTGTCCGGGAGTCATTGTCTCGTAACGTCGATATATTTATTAATGTGTCCGTGTCATTTAGTTAACTAATAAATAGCTGTACTTAGAAATGTTGTTTAGAGGCACTCCCCTGAGAACATAGCAACGGCGAAATAACTAATCAGCCACGCGACCAAACTTTCCTTACTTTACAATCCTACAACTAAAAATTCTTACTTTACCCTCATTACAATACCATAATGTATCATAATGTACCGTAATGTATTAATATGTACCATAATGTACCATAATATACCATAATGTACCATAATGCATCATAATGTACCATAATGTATCATAATGTATCAATATGTACCATAATATACCATAATGTATCATAATGTACCACGATGTACCAATAGTATCATATTGTACCATAATGTACCATAATGTACCATAATGTGCCAATAGTATCATATTGTACCATAATGTACCATAATGTACCATAATGTGCCATAATGTACCATAATGTATCATAATGCACCATAATGTACCAATCGTATCATATTGTACCATAATGTACCATAATGTACCATAATATACCATAATGTACCATAATGAATCATAATGTACCATAATGTACCATAATGTATCATAATGTATCTAATGTACCAATAGTATCATATTGTACCATAATGTACCA